TGTTGTTCCCGCATTTTGTGGCATTTTTCAGAGTTTGAAAGGAATTTAGCTCTTTTTGTTGCCACGAGAATTCATCTTTTTTTGCGAGAACCAAAAGCCCTTTTTTAAAAAGACTCTTTTTAGCCTTAGAGATGGCTCTTGCTTTCTGTGAGGACACTGTAGGTTCAAAATCCGAAGAGCCAAAATGGCTCTTGCTTTCTGTGAGGACACTGTAGGTTCAAAATCCGAAGAGCCAAAATGGCTCTTGCTTTCTGTGAGGACACTGTAGGTTCAAAATCCGAAGAGCCAAAATGGCTCTTGCTTTCTGTGAGGACACTGTAGGTTCAAAATCCGAAGAGCCAAAATGGCTCTTGCTTTCTGTGAGGACACTGTAGGTTCAAAATCCGAAGAGCCAAAATGGCTCTTGCTTTCTGTGAGGACACTGTAGGTTCAAAATCCGAAGAGCCAAAATGGCTCTTGCTTTCTGTGAGGATACGTTAGGTCCAAAATCCGAAGAGCCAAAATGGCTCTTGCTTTCTGTGAGGATACGTTAGGTCCAAAATCCGAAGAGCCAAAATGGCTCTTGCTTTCTGTGAGGATACGTTAGGTCCAAAATCCGAAGAGCCAAAATGGCTCTTGCTTTCTGTGAGGATACGTTAGGTCCAAAATCCGAAGAGCCAAAATGGCTCTTGCTTTCTGTGAGGATACGTTAGGTCCAAAATCCGAAGAGCCAAAATGGCTCTTGCTTTCTGTGAGGACACTGTAGGTCCAAAATCCGAAGAGCCAAAATGGCTCTTGCTTTCTGTGAGGATACGTTAGGTCCAAAATCCGAAGAGCCAAAATGGCTCTTGCTTTCTGTGAGGATACGTTAGGTCCAAAATCCGAAGAGCCAAAATGGCTCTTGCTTTCTGTGAGGATACGTTAGGTCCAAAATCCGAAGAGCCAAAATGGCTCTTGCTTTCTGTGAGGACACTGTAGGTCCAAAATCCGAAGAGCCAAAATGGCTCTTGCTTTCTGTGAGGATACGTTAGGTCCAAAATCCGAAGAGCCAAAATGGCTCTTGCTTTCTGTGAGGATACGTTAGGTCCAAAATCCGAAGAGCCAAAATGGCTCTTGCTTTCTGTGAGGATACGTTAGGTTCAAAATCCGAAGAGCCAAAATGGCTCTTGCTTTCTGTGAGGATACGTTAGGTTCAAAATCCGAAGAGCCAAAATGGCTCTTGCTTTCTGTGAGGATACGTTAGGTTCAAAATCCGAAGAGCCAAAATGGCTCTTGCTTTCTGTGAGGATACGTTAGGTTCAAAATCCGAAGAGCCAAAATGGCTCTTGCTTTCTGTGAGGACACTGTAGGTTCAAAATCCGAAGAGCCAAAATGGCTCTTGCTTTCTGTGAGGACACTGTAGGTTCAAAATCCGAAGAGCCAAAATGGCTCTTGCTTTCTGTGAGGACACTGTAGGTTCAAAATCCGAAGAGCCAAAATGGCTCTTGCTTTCTGTGAGGACACTGTAGGTTCAAAATCCGAAGAGCCAAAATGGCTCTTGCTTTCTGTGAGGACACTGTAGGTTCAAAATCCGAAGAGCCAAAATGGCTCTTGCTTTCTGTGAGGACACTGTAGGTTCAAAATCCGAAGAGCCAAAATGGCTCTTGCTTTCTGTGAGGACACTGTAGGTTCAAAATCCGAAGAGCCAAAATGGCTCTTGCTTTCTGTGAGGACACTGTAGGTTCAAAATCCGAAGAGCCAAAATGGCTCTTGCTTTCTGTGAGGACACTGTAGGTTCAAAATCCGAAGAGCCAAAATGGCTCTTGCTTTCTGTGAGGACACTGTAGGTTCAAAATCCGAAGAGCCAAAATGGCTCTTGCTTTCTGTGAGGACACTGTAGGTTCAAAATCCGAAGAGCCAAAATTGGGGTTAGCGGGCGTAGCCCGCTAACCCCTTTGGTTTGAGGTACCCCCATACGACTCTTTTGGGGTCCTTTTCCGGATTTAAAAAAGAACCAAGCATCGGATCGCAAAACTGAATATACCATCAGAACCGGCGACACTTTTTACATACTATAAGCTTTTAAAAATTGAAAAAGAATGAAATTGGAATTTTAACAGCCGATTTAAATTGCGTTTCGAGGGGGGGGTCTGCGTTTGTTTGTATGTCGGGGCGTACGCAAAACCTTTGTAGTCGTCAAAAAGTGCCTTCCCACCATCCGTTTGGGCTGAAATTTTGCACAGTTATTGGGTGAATGATAATCTCGGACCGCAAGAAGAGTTTTTTTCAAAATAGGCTTTTAAAAAATTTATATTTAATTTTTAACTTTAGAAGCTAAATTGCGGCCAAAACAATGGTTAGTGATGTCCGTTTGGGCTGAAATTTTGCTCAAATAGGCATTAGACCATGCCAGATAAAGTAAAGAAGAAATTAAATCGAAAGAATGCTTCATCTCTGAGATATTAGAACTTTAAACCTTCGCCATACGGGGCGCCACCCTCCCCTTTGGCGGCCCCAGTCCCGAGCCAGGGCGGGCGGGTCTAGCTTCCCTGAGACAGCCCTCCAGTCTCCCCATTGGCCTAGTGGTAAGCACGCTGCACTGGGAAGACTTGGCTCCGGAGTTCGAACCCCACCCGATGCATGGTTTTTGCCGATTGGCCCCGTGCATCCTTATGGTTTCTAGTGCCGTCACAAAGCGCCGCAGGCAAATTTTTTTGAAGTTTTGCGTACAAGGGTTCATCTGAATAAGTATTCCTTGGCTTATTTTACGATCTTAACAATAAGATTGAGGCAAAAAGGGCTAAATTTCTCTCTAAGGCTAAAAAGAGTCTTTTTAAAAAAGGGCTTTTGGTTCTCGCAAAAAAAGAGGAATTCTCGTGGCAACAAAAAGAGCTAAATTCCTTTCAAACTCTGAAAAATGCCACAAAATGTGGGATCAACCAAAAGTTGCTGGCACTTTATTAAAATGGGCAGATCCAGTTGCTAGCGGTTTCGGCTTGCAAATAATTTCTGTATTATGATCTATTTGCACTTTCTTGAAATTAATCTGTGGACCTGACCTGTGATCTGGGATGGTACCGAGTTTATTATGATTTTCAATAGCCAGCAACTTTTTGTTGTTCCCGCATTTTGTGGCATTTTTCAGAGTTTGAAAGGAATTTAGCTCTTTTTGTTGCCACGAGAATTCCTCTTTTTTTGCGAGAACCAAAAGCCCTTTTTTAAAAGACTCTTTTAGCCTTAGAGATGGCTCTTGCTTTCTGTGAGGACACTGTAGGTTCAAAATCCGAAGAGCCAAAATGGCTCTTGCTTTCTGTGAGGACACTGTAGGTTCAAAATCCGAAGAGCCAAAATGGCTCTTGCTTTCTGTGAGGATACGTTAGGTCCAAAATCCGAAGAGCCAAAATGGCTCTTGCTTTCTGTGAGGATACGTTAGGTCCAAAATCCGAAGAGCCAAAATGGCTCTTGCTTTCTGTGAGGACACTGTAGGTTCAAAATCCGAAGAGCCAAAATGGCTCTTGCTTTCTGTGAGGACACTGTAAGTTCAAAATCCGAAGAGCCAAAATGGCTCTTGCTTTCTGTGAGGACACTGTAGGTTCAAAATCCGAAGAGCCAAAATGGCTCTTGCTTTCTGTGAGGACACTGTAGGTTCAAAATCCGAAGAGCCAAAATGGCTCTTGCTTTCTGTGAGGACACTGTAGGTTCAAAATCCGAAGAGCCAAAATGGCTCTTGCTTTCTGTGAGGACACTGTAGGTTCAAAATCCGAAGAGCCAAAATGGCTCTTGCTTTCTGTGAGGACACTGTAGGTTCAAAATCCGAAGAGCCAAAATGGCTCTTGCTTTCTGTGAGGATACGTTAGGTCCAAAATCCGAAGAGCCAAAATGGCTCTTGCTTTCTGTGAGGATACGTTAGGTCCAAAATCCGAAGAGCCAAAATGGCTCTTGCTTTCTGTGAGGATACGTTAGGTCCAAAATCCGAAGAGCCAAAATGGCTCTTGCTTTCTGTGAGGATACGTTAGGTCCAAAATCCGAAGAGCCAAAATGGCTCTTGCTTTCTGTGAGGATACGTTAGGTCCAAAATCCGAAGAGCCAAAATGGCTCTTGCTTTCTGTGAGGATACGTTAGGTCCAAAATCCGAAGAGCCAAAATGGCTCTTGCTTTCTGTGAGGACACTGTAGGTCCAAAATCCGAAGAGCCAAAATGGCTCTTGCTTTCTGTGAGGATACGTTAGGTCCAAAATCCGAAGAGCCAAAATGGCTCTTGCTTTCTGTGAGGATACGTTAGGTCCAAAATCCGAAGAGCCAAAATGGCTCTTGCTTTCTGTGAGGATACGTTAGGTCCAAAATCCGAAGAGCCAAAATGGCTCTTGCTTTCTGTGAGGATACGTTAGGTCCAAAATCCGAAGAGCCAAAATGGCTCTTGCTTTCTGTGAGGACACTGTAGGTCCAAAATCCGAAGAGCCAAAATGGCTCTTGCTTTCTGTGAGGATACGTTAGGTCCAAAATCCGAAGAGCCAAAATGGCTCTTGCTTTCTGTGAGGATACGTTAGGTCCAAAATCCGAAGAGCCAAAATGGCTCTTGCTTTCTGTGAGGATACGTTAGGTCCAAAATCCGAAGAGCCAAAATGGCTCTTGCTTTCTGTGAGGACACTGTAGGTTCAAAATCCGAAGAGCCAAAATGGCTCTTGCTTTCTGTGAGGACACTGTAGGTTCAAAATCCGAAGAGCCAAAAACTCTCTCGCACTCTCTCTCTCTCGCTCTCTCTTTGTCTCTTCTTCCGTTATAAGTAATTGCAAGTAACACGCGTAATCAGCTCTGTGCAAATCTGGCCGACTGAAATCTGGCCGCTTGGCTGCCGACCAGGAAAGCATGAACATTTATTGGCGATTGGAGACGAGACGAGACGAGACAAAGAAATGGCGACGGCACTGAATACACAAACGACGGTCATGAGCAGGTATCATTAAGGCAGAAATGGGCATCACAATTATGGCAGAAATCAGAATCATATTTAAGCGGGGCACTTCTTAATTTTTTTCACGGTTACTCCTTGGGCGGGCTCTTCTTCTTCTCCTTCTTGGTGGAGCGGGGGACGAGCCGGCCGGTCAAGTCTTCCATGATGACGGCAGTGCAATTTCGGCAGCTTCGCGGCTCTGTAACTTGATAGTTGGGAGACATCTTGTGTTTTTCCTACGTGCATGCTCCTGACGCAGGATCTTGTGATAGTCTGCATCGTCGCAAGCATCATCGGGGGCCACGTTTCTGGAAGAAAACGGCTAACAAGAGGAATGTCGTTTGGGTTTGATCCTTACAGATTGGAGAATCATTTGAAAATTTGTGTCAATACCTAATTTGGGATGGGGATCATACATCGCGAAGCACGAAAATACCCGTAACATACAGTAGCGGTCAAAATGATGTCGGGTCGGGAAATCGTTCGTTGTACGAACCAGATACATCCAAATTTTATCAAAATTTGCGTCTAGGTCAATTATGCTACTGCAGAATCTGATGGAAATAACAAAATCCTGGAAAAAATTAAATTTTGATGCTGAAATTTCGATTTTTAAAAAGTTTCGAAAATTAACTTTTTTCTAAGGCATTTTCGGTTTTCAAAAATGTGCCCATCGTGTTCAGGAGGGTCAAAGGAACACGATGGACACATTTTCAAAAACCGAAAATGTCTCAGAAGAAATGTTTTTGGCAAATTTTTTAAAATCGCGGATTTTGTTATTGCCATTGGATTGCCAGTAGCAAAATTGATCTAAACTCATATTTTCATAAAATGTGGCTGCATCGGGTTCGTACAACAAACGATTTCCCGACCGGACATCATTTTGACGGCTACTGTAGGTGTAGTGCGTGCACAAATCAGTTTTTCCGTTCTATCCAGATCACCCATCTCGCGCTATATAGCATTTACTAGGCAAAAAATGGCCCAAAAGAGGCTCCGAAAATCTATAAAGTTCAAAATGACAAAATCTGAGGTATTAGTTTGCATCTGGAGAGCATGCCGAATCTACTGAAAAAAGAGCAAAAAGAAATTCGGCTTCTGAGAGGGGTCTGGGATTGAACTGGCGCCGGCTCTGGATTGGCACGCCGACGCCCTAGTCACTGCGCCACAGGGCTCCCAGGCACACGACCCGGGTTCGGATTCCTCGGTATCGAAAGGAACGGAATATCTTTTTTGCCCTTTTTTACAATAGCTTCGGCATGCTCTCTAGATGCAAACTAACGCCTCCGATTTCGTCATTTTGCCACCTTTCTAATTCCCCGGCGGTTCCCTTTCGCACTTCTGTTCAAAATTTCAACTATATCTGTTTTGAAATGGTAAAATGCTCTACTTTTAAAATTTGGGCTTGAGTTCAAGTTTTTATGTTATACGTGTTCGCTTTTTGGAATTTAGATTTGAAATCAGTTATTGGAAACATACCCGAGCTGCGTCTTGTGCCCGCCACACACCACGAGATGGCCGTGGCCACGAAGACGGCCATCCGTCTCGCACAGGCAGACGGAACAAACTTGTTCCGTCCGGATCAGCGACAGCAGGGACGCACGGCGCATCTGCTCCACGATCTCGGGCGGGTAAGGCGTCTAGAAAACCGTGTTATGACCCGCGAATGACCTGTTTTGCTTTTCTTATTCATAACCTTTACAGAAACTGGTTGCTGAGTATTCCCGGGGGGACGCTTGAAAAAGTCGAAAATTTGGTCATTTTGGGTCGAAAAAATGGATTTTTCGACCTAAAATTAAATTTTTTTAATTAAGTTTTGTAAGGTTTTGATGCTTAGGAATAGCTATGAACAATTTAGAAGCACTATTTCTATAAAAAAATAGGCTTGACCCGAAAAAAGTTCGGATTCCACCCCGCGAATTCTCACGCCCCCCGCCGGGAATACTCAAGATCGTGTTCAGTTAACGAGATACCTCCGTGCAGCGAGCGTAGGTGATACGCCTGATCTTCCCATCCTTCACGAGTTCGTCCGTCGACACCGACGTGCAACCAGAGATGCTGATCACAACGTCGTGTATCTGAAAGTTCGGGAAATAAACCGGTTCTAGGCTGTTGCGCGGGGCGGGGGGGGGGATTTTAGCGCGGGGGCACCAAATTTTTCACTGTGTTTCTCTACGGCCCTATAAGCAAAAGACGTTATTTTTATTGCATTTTACATAACTTTCAGATATAAAAACATTATAAAAACGAAAATAAAAAATTTGGAAATTTTTCAGTTTTTGGTCAGAAATGTATGAAAAAAGGTCAAAAAATTCGAATTTTCAAAAATTTTAAAAATAGGTTTCCGAACTTTCTAACTAGGAAAATCGCTATAACCACAATAAAAATACATAATACAGTGCGTATCAAAAAGATAGACCCAGTAGGTTTTTGACCTTTATCTTCGTGCAGCGGTATTTTCATGCCTAGCAATGCCTATCAATAGTGTAGCCCCTGAACCGTCGCATCTTTCTGTGTAGCCGAAATTTGAAACAAAAAGTGGTTTTTCCCCTGCTAAAAAGCCCCCCCCCCCTTTCCCAAGAGTCCAGAACCAATAAACCCGACGAGGGGCCGCTTTAGATGCTTTTTTTCTATGATAGCGGGTGCCCGAAATTTATAGAAAAGCTTCTACTTTATGTTTAAAACGTCTGGTTTTCTAAAATCTACGAAGCGTGCACCCATCCCGAGCCATTACGCACCCAATGACGTTTATGACGCAAACCGAGTAAAAAAATTCCGAGATTTCAAAGGTTGGGTCGAACCAAGGATCGAGAGTTTTCGACAGATTTCTGAATGTTAGATGTGTTTTTGTGCTGCTGCTCCATACGCGCCAGATGTAGGCATTCTGACATGGAAGCGATCGTCGCATTTGCTTTCACTAGCCAGATATTTCAGTGAAAACTTGGTTTTTTACGGCTTGACCCTTCCGAATGAAGCTACAAACCTTGAGGAAGCCAAGAGTGCTGCTGCGAATCGCCACGACGACGCCATCGGGATCGACCATGACGAATCCGGGTGCGGCGTGTACCATTGTGCCCGTGAGGATCACGTAGCCGCGTTTCGCCAAATAGTCCTGTAAAAGACACATGGTTGAAAAAGGTGGTGTTCACGCATTGCGCTACTCGGGCTATATTCGCTAACAATTTCAAAGGTTTTATGGTTCGTTCACGCGCTTTGTATTCCTAAAAATAAACCCCTGAAAGTGGCATCGAGACACCTTCTGAGGCTAATCCGGTGAAAGGGATAGGGAGGGCCCACGTAGATCAGCCAAAAACTGCTGACGCGACGGAAAGGGGGTCTCTGCGCTCTCTCCCCTGGGCGCCCTCTCTCGCCCTCCTTGACCCAGTTGCTACCTGCCAATTATAGATGAGCCCTCAGCCACGCGGGCCCTCCTTATCCCTTTAAAGTGATGCGGCGGTGAGAGAGGGCGCCTAGGGGAGAGGCGCAGAGACATTTTCTTTCCCGCGCGTAATCGATTGACTTATGCCGCCCCTATCCCTTTAAAGGGGCTCGGAAGAAGACGAAAGGGTTCCTCCCGGGAAGTATCAGAAAAGTAATTTCGTTGCGCAAAAAACGCAAAACATTCATGAACATTTTAAATTGTCTTGCGCAGGTCTGCGCAAGTTTTAGCCAGACCCAATACAAGCCTTCTTTTAACAGCGTGACCTTTTTTGGACACCGTGTAGACATAACCGACCATCTTGGCCCTCTCCTCGCCGGTGTAGCCGGACCATCGCCGCGGCGCCGAGACTTCATCCTGGTTCTATAATTTGATGGTATATACACTTCTATTGCAAAAAAGTTGGGCTTTTGTTCAAAGACCGACCATTTACCCCCCCATTTTCGAGATTTCAGTCGATCAAAAAAATATAAACCCCTCTTTATTATACCCCCCCTCCTCTAATCCAACTCCCTCCCCCGGGTGATTGAAAAATATAAGCCCGGGGTTACATTAGAGGAAACACCGTATTTCTCTCTCCCTCCTTTTCCCGCCCTCTCTCTCTATCAACTATAGTAAAAAGGTTGTGGTGCCCGTCTGTCCATCTGTCCGTAGCTAACTATAACTCGAAGGCGTAAGGACCTAAAGCTAGGTCTCTTCGGATTCGAATAGAAAATGAAAATCGTCTCCTCTCGCTCATATGCGATTTCTGGCGTATGCTAATTGCCATATTTTTGATAGAAACGTATTTCTAAGATAGAAAACCGCATTTTTTTTGTAACATCTGATAAATCGCCTAATTGCCCACCCAATGACATATCTCCCATCACTAAAAAGCCTTCTCTGGCTTAATAGGCGCAGAACCGGATCCGGACGGGAGTTGCATGCCAATGCACACAGACAGATACTCTTTTATCGATAGTACGATAGGATACATGTTTGGGACTACCTCTTTTATTTTGTTTAATTTTGCCCAAAAAAGAGGCATTGACGTATCCAAGTGACATATTTGACAACACAAAAATCAAAAACAACACTAAAATTCAAACCTTCTTCTTTCGGCCGAATCCCAGCCACGCGCGAATCGCCGAGAACCACCCCTGCAAACCCTCCATAAAAAGGTGTTTTCACATGGGCTGGAAATTCCATTCGAGACCAAACCTATCGTGTGTAGAATTTTTCGCTGGTTTCGAATCTGTTCTCAAATTTGCGAAGGAGCCGGATTTCAAAAGTTACAGTGATTTTTGTCACAAACAGCCAAGTCATGGCAAATTCCGACCTTCTTTCTGGATATTCTCTCTCTCTCTCTCTCTCTCTCACCCTCACTCTATGTCTCTCTCACACGCTCTCTCTCTCCCTCTCTCAATGAATCTCTCTGTCTTTCTCTCTCGCTCTCTCTCTATCTCTCCCTCTTACCATCTCTCTCTCTCTCTCTCTCTCTCTCTCTCTCTCTCTCTCGCTCTCTCTCTCTCTTACACTCACCCGCCGCTTTGGCGACATCGGGGGCAGGTCCTGTTCCCGCTCCACGAATGTCTCGTCCTCGGTGTCCTCAGACGACCCGCCACCGCTGTCGTCTGATTTCTGGAAGTTGGCGTTTGTGGTTGGTCCCACGCCGCCGCCCAACACCGCATACATGGTGCCCCAAAAGTCAACCAGAATGGTATCACCTTTACCACCTATGCGCCCCGAAAGAAAATAGTTGCACCCAAGATTTCAAAACAAAAATTGTGCAATAAGAAAAGGTACACATAGGATAACGGGGGGAAATAACGGGGGGCACTCAAACTTTTTTATGATAAAAGTATTTTTAAATATGCTTTTTTCGGGCTGTAAAAAAAGCTCTTAGTATATTTTTCGGCCCTCTGTCGAATGGCATTTTCAAAATATCGCAAATATTCAAAACGCCGAAAATCCCCCCCCGTTATCCTATGTGCTGCCCATCGTTTTCAAAAATAGTTTTTAGGCTATGAAACTTTTACAATATATTTTTTCGCGTTGTAAAAAATCTCTTAGTATAATTTTTGATGTTCTATCGATTCGCGTTTTCAAAATATCGAAAATCTTGAAATTTGGCTTCCCCCCGTTATCCTATGTGCTGCCCATAGATTTTCCTCAATTTTTGTTTATGCGCTAAAAAATTTCCATTACATTATTTTGGGCTCAAATTAATTCTCTTAGTATATTTTTGGACTCTCTATCGAATGGCACTTGCAAAATCCTACAGTAATTGTAAATTTCATAATAATGAGTGCCCCCCCCCGTTATTTTATCCCCCCCCCGTTATCCTATGTGTACCTAAGAAAACATGCCGACTACAAACTTCACCACTTTATTTTCCCCAAGGTATATATATAGGTTCTGTTCTATTTCGCGGGGGGGGGGGAATATGCTTCGCGGCAACTTCCATCTTTTCGCTATTTTCTCGGGATTTTTGCGACGCCATTCGATAGAGCATCAAAAAATCTACTAAGGATTTTTGTTTTAGCTAAAAATATTGTAAGATAAAAAGTCATAGCAAACACAAAAAAACTATTGAAACAGGTGCCGGAATGTTAGTTTCGGCATTTTCGCTAGTTTTTCGCTACTTGGAACCGGTCATTCGATCGAGCATCGAAAAATATACTAACAAGGGAAGGGCAAGCACACGAACTGGAAATTCGAAAAACGCTCGCGGCTACCCCCAGGTTATCGGCTACGGGGAACACGATGGTGTTGTCAGAATATTCCACCGAGCCCTGTAGAGCGAGATACGGTACTTCCGGGAAAGGGGTCATTTGCATACGCGAAATTAGCATTGTCCTTCGGGTTTATTGGGGACTTCTACGTATGTACCATCAGCTGCGAGTCAGTCAATTGCTAACTGAACAGTTTTTTCGAATAGCTACCAGGGTTCGGATCCACTCAGAACTTTTAATTTTTTGCTTTTTGGAATGTTATTTTTGCAGGCTATTTGACTGTTTTCATTGTTCTTGAAGCAAACTGGCTCTGTACCGATAGCACGGGGCAATGACAACAGAACGGGGCATTGGCAACAGAACGGGGCAATGACAGCAGAACGGGGCAAAGCCAGCAGAACGGGGCAATGGCAGCAGAACGGGGCATTGGTTTGGCCAGGAGGGCCGGCGGCCAGCAGGTCGGGGCATTGCATATTTTCTCAGAAAAACGTATTTTTATGGTCTCTCGCCTACTTTTTTCCCTGATGATAGATTATAGAAAAATCGACGATACTTGGTATGGACTCCGACTTTACTATGGAAATGGTAGAAAACAGCCTAATTCAAGCAGCTTAGGATAGCGCAAAGGCCTTCGTGTATTAAAGAAATATACCATGCAATCAGAAAATCAGAAAAAAGACTCTATCGGTTAGGCTAGTTCAAATAACTAGAATAATACAGAAAAAAAGTTCGATATCCTGACAAACCCTTTTCCGGGGCCCCAAAAATGACACCAAAACTTTAATATCTCAAATTTATAGGCTCTGTAGCAGATTCGGAAATCGAGGTCATAATCAGCCTGGTCGCATCTATAAATGTACAAATTCTCATTCCGATCCGTGTTGCGGGGTATTTTGGACTTCCCTAGTTAGAAACGTTCGGCCTGGTTGACAAACAGTTCTGTGAATCCAAAAAATATAATCAGAGAAAAAAGTAGGCGAGAGACCATAAAAATACGTTTTTTTGAGAAAATATGCAATGCCCCGTGCTGCTGGCCGCCGGCCGCGGGGACTTGGCAATGCCCCGTTCTGTTGTCATTGCCCCGTGCTATCGGTACAGAGCCAGCAAACTTTCTCTTTCAAATCCGAAGTCGAACCCAAAAATTTCCATCTATGGCGGCCGAAATTGACCTGGGTCGCCCCTCCAAAAAGCAAAAATTAAAAGTTCTGAGTGGATCCGAACCCTGGTAGGTATTCCAAAAAACTGTTCAGTTAGCAATTGACTAACTCGCAGCTGATGGTACATAAAAGAAGTCCCCAATAAACCCGAAGGACAATGCTAATTTCGCGTATGCAAATGACCCCTTTCCCGGAAGTACCGTATCTCGCTCTACAGGGCTCGGTGGAATATTCTGACAACACCATCGTGTTCCCCGTAGCCGATAACCTGGGGGTAGCCGCGAGCGTTTTTCGAATTTCCAGTTCGTGTACTTGCCCTTCCCTTGTAAGCGTTTTAATTTCATCTCAAAATATCCTACCGTATAAAATGTTGGTGTGTATCTTTGTGTGTGTGTGTGTGGATGTCAGTTTCCAGGCCCGATTTGAGTGCCTTCCCGTGTCAAAAACGCCCCAATTCTTCGTTACTTGAAGGAATCGACCCTCCTGTTTCCGATGGCGTTCTCAGAATTACGATAAAATATAAGTTTACAAAGTTAAAGCCGGTTTTATTGATTTTTGGGGGTCCGGGAGGGCTAATTTGCATAATGTGAAAAAATACAAATTTCGTCATTCTTGCGAGTTGCACGCGCCTGGGTGGTAGGAGGGTCCGAAGGACCCGAGCTATCGGAAAGTCAAATTTCTTATGCAGAGGCCACATTCCAGCGCCCAAAGCCCGCGAAGCGGGCTTGGGCGCTGGTTGTAATATAAAAAAGTCATAGCAGTCATTTTTTGGGAAACCCTGTATTTTTTTTTGAATTCAAGTTGCACTGGCCCGCAACTTTAATTAAAAATCCAGCACATACGGTAGATGCAGAGTTCGGGCTGCTCTGCAGCTGGGCCGTGTCGTTGCAGGTATTGATCGTCGGCGTGGTCGAGCGCGCCGTCGCGCACTGAAACATCAATGATACCGTATGGCAATGTAGGTATGCTTTGATATTCCTCAAATACTACTGCTAGCTGGCCCGCAACTTTAATTAAAAATCCAGCACATACGGTGGAAGTAGTTTGTGGGCTCGACTGCTGGGCGGTGTTCTGGGGGGCCGGGTTGGAGCTGGTCGGCGGCGTCACGCACTGAAACATCAATGATACCGTATGGCAATGTAGGTATGCTTTGATATTCCTCAAATACTACTGCTAGCTGGCCCGCAACTTTAATTAAAAATCCAGCACATACGGTGGAAGTAGTTTGTGGGCTCGACTGCTGGGCGGTGTTCTGGGGGGCCGGGTTGGAGCTGGTCGAGCGCGCCGTCACGCACTGAAACATCAATGATACCGTATGGCAATGTAGGTATGCTTTGATATTCCTCAAATACTACTGCTAGCTGGCCCGCAACTTTAATTAAAAATCCAGCACATACGGTGGAAGTAGTTTGTGGGCTCGACTGCTGGGCGGTGTTCTGGGGGGCCGGGTTGGAGCTGGTCGAGCGCGCCGTCACGCACTGAAACATCAATGATACCGTATGGCAATGTAGGTATGCGTTGATATTCCTCAAATACTACTGCTAGCTGGCCCGCAACTTTAATTAAAAATCCAGCACATACGGTGGAAGTAGTTTGTGGGCTCGACTGCTGGGCGGTGTTCTGGGGGGCCGGGTTGGAGCTGGTCGAGCGCGCCGTCACGCACTGAAACATCAATGATACCGTATGGCAATGTAGGTATGCTTTGATATTCCTCAAATACTACTGCTAGCTGGCCCGCAACTTTAATTAAAAATCCAGCACATACGGTGGAAGTAGTTTGTGGGCTCGACTGCTGGGCGGTGTTCTGGAGGGCCGGGTTGGAGCTGGTCGGCGGCGTCACGCACTGAAACATCAATGATACCGTATGGCAATGTAGGTATGCTTTGATATTCCTCAAATACTACTGCTAGCTGGCCCGCAACTTTAATTAAAAATCCAGCACATACGGTGGAAGTAGTTTGTGGGCTCGACTGCTGGGCGGTGTTCTGGGGGGCCGGGTTGGAGCTGGTCGAGCGCGCCGTCACGCACTGAAACATCAATGATACCGTATGGCAATGTAGGTATGCTTTGATATTCCTCAAATACTACTGCTAGCTGGCCCGCAACTTTAATTAAAAATCCAGCACATACGGTGGAAGTAGTTTGTGGGCTCGACTGCTGGGCGGTGTTCTGGAGGGCCGGGTTGGAGCTGGTCGGCGGCGTCACGCACTGAAACATCAATGATACCGTATGGCAATGTAGGTATGCTTTGATATTCCTCAAATACTACTGCTAGCTGGCCCGCAACTTTAATTAAAAATCCAGCACATACGGTGGAAGTAGTTTGTGGGCTCGACTGCTGGGCGGTGTTCTGGAGGGCCGGGTTGGAGCTGGTCGGCGGCGTCACGCACTGAAACATCAATGATACCGTATGGCAATGTAGGTATGCTTTGATATTCCTCAAATACTACTGCTAGCTGGCCCGCAACTTTAATTAAAAATCCAGCACATACGGTGGAAGTAGTTTGTGGGCTCGACTGCTGGGCGGTGTTCTGGAGGGCCGGGTTGGAGCTGGTCGGCGGCGTCACGCACTGAAACATCAATGATACCGTATGGCAATGTAGGTATGCTTTGATATTCCTCAAATACTACTGCTAGCTGGCCCGCAACTTTAATTAAAAATCCAGCACATACGGTGGAAGTAGTTTGTGGGCTCGACTGCTGGGCGGTGTTCTGGGGGGCCGGGTTGGAGCTGGTCGGCGGCGTCACGCACTGAAACATCAATGATACCGTATGGCAAAGGCTGGGGCAGGGGGGTGGCGCGGGCGGTGTTTGGTGGGTGGTTAAAAGCATTAGCCACGGCACCCCACTCGTAAACAAACGAAAAAGACACTTTCGGCGTCTCTGTTACTTTTCAACCGTGGTGCTGATCTAATCCAGCAAAGGTGCTCTGTACCAAAAATGAAGTGAGGCGACAAAAAGCTACCGGATCGGGGTTGCCGTCCATGGTGCCGCAAATAACCGAATGACTGAATACCCACCATCAGCCACGTCTGCATGCACAACAAGTCTGCATGCTAATTTTTAATTGAACGCCTATATCCAGAGCAGGGCGCATTGGTTACGGTTAGACGGGCAAGAAGTAAGTGGCAAGGGAATATGTCAAAATCTCGAAAATCAGAATCTCGAATTTTCAAATCTCGAATTTTCAGAATCTCGATATTTCATAATCTGGAATTTTCAGAATCTCGAATTTTCAAATCTCGAATTTTCTGAATCTCGATATTTCATAATCTCGAATTTTCAGAATCTCGAATTTTCAGAATCTCGAATTTTTAGAATCACGAAATTTCCATGGTCTAAATTAATTAGTCCGGAAACCATAGTCCGGTAATTTCACGGCCAGACCCTGAATCCAGCATAGGCATATTTCGAGATTCTCAAAATTCGAGATTCTGAAAATTCGCGATGCTGAAAATTTAAGATTCTGATTTTCCAAATTCCGATTTTCCAAATTCTGATAGGTATTTAAGCGGCAAATGTTAAATTATAATGATTCTTTGCCCATTTGTAGCCCGTTATCTCTGTAATTTTGAGGCTGGTTCCTATCTTTGCTTCGACACCGGTCTTTCGCTTCAAAGATCACTTCCCCTAAAAACTGCGATCGCGAGCCTTTGGCCGCCTTTTCGCGTTGGCATTGCATTTTTTTTTGATCGTTATGCTCCCCACTGGCTGTCTGTCAAATTCTCCTACACCGATTATCAGCCCGCTCCATCGCATCAATCCTCCCATTCAGCCACGCGGTCGACGATTTTGAGCTGCTCGTGCTCTCTCTCTCTCTCCCTCTCTCTCTCTCTCTCTCGTCGCCTCTTTTTTGCTGTCCATTTTCCCTTTTCCCTGCTCCATTAATCCGGGGGCAAATATTGATTCCGAGGTTCGACTTCCGCTTTTGTGCTCACGACTGTACAAGTTGCACTCTCAAACTGTCGAGAAGATTTTCGCATTTTTGTACATTCTTAGAAAGTTATCGATTGTTTTTCATACAGTACACCGCAATCTCGGTCATTCTATGAACAATTTTCATAATTAAAAAGTCTAGAATGATCAAAATTCGGTGAGGATTCCAGAAATAGCATCAGAATTTTCAAATTCACCCGTTTTCACGTTCATAATCATGCGCCTCCGTCGCGTTGCGGTAGCATCTGGCTGTTTGCCAGGAATCAACGCAGGGAGGGGACCGTGGACCAGATTTCGAAGCACCTTTAAAGCAGTTAGGCAGTGTCAGAATCCATGTATTCTTGCCACGTTTCCACGAGACCCAAGTTACACTAAAAACCTGAATATGATTTTGACAAAAAAAAAAATGCGAATTCCGCGAGTTTTCGGCGCGCTGCGTCGCTGTCGATACCCAGGGTACGGAAGGGTGTGCATTAGTGCGTGCGTAGCCTTGCTCCCGCTGTCCACACCCAGCCGGTGAATGGGGCAGGTTTTCGCGCTTCCCTGTTCCTTTAAGTTATCAAAACGAGCAAAGCATAGAATATTCTCAAAATATCTGATACCTTTGAAACAATATTAACTACATATTGTACGAAGTATCAGGTTGGAAGGTAAGTCCTGTCGCCGAGATTTTGGAAAGCTGGCTAAAATCGTAGATAGCTCCAATCTAAACATGCGATATGTCATTTTATAGCTCTTGGGCTGAACGGTGTCGGGAGGTGGGTCCTAAACCGCCTAAATCAAGGAGAAACGAGATACAGGCCCCAAAAGTTTTTCGTAAAATCACACAAAAGTGATTTTGCAAGTTATCTCTGCATAGAGCAATTTGCATGCGATACCTTTAACGCTAATCGATAGCCCCCAAACAGTAGATATCGATAGATGTTGAGATCGTCAAAATCGGACCCTGGATGGCCGAGATATGGCCACTTGAAATTTGACCCATTTCTTAGAACTTTTCTCGATTTCCCATACATTTTTTCAAAATCCGCTCCGCTAGTCCAAAAATAAAGCGGTAATTTTTGGCACCTGTCCGTCGAATGTTTGGAAATGTATGGGAAATCGAGAAAAGTTCTAAGAAATGGGCCAAATTTCAAGAGGCCTTCTCTCGGCCATCCAGTGTCCGATTTTGATGATCTCAACATCCATCGATATCTACTCCTCGAGAGCTATCGATTGCCGTTAAAGGTATCGCATGTAAATGTCTCTATGTAGAGATAACTTGTAAAAACACTTTCGCCCAATTTTTCCAAAAACTTCTTGGGCCCGTATCTCGGTCCTCCTGGATTTTGGCGGGCTAGGACCCTCCTCCCGAAACGGTTCAGGCAGAGAGCCACAAAATGACATATTGCATGTGCAGAATGGAGCTAACTACGATTTTAGCCAGCCTTCCAAAATCTCGGCGACAGAACTTACCTTCCAACCTGATAGAACGGAAATCCTGATGATTCCTCTAGTTTTTGGGTGCTTTGTGACTGTCTTCCTTATAATTCCTTATCAGTGCCACAGAAAAAGGTTGGCTAATCAATGCACCCAGCGGCAGCCATTCCCCTATTCCTCTTCTTCCCCCCAAAATCATTCCATTTCCGTTGGCTATACTCTTTGACTTCTGAATTTATTACCGCTAAATTCCATCAGGCCAAAAATGGTGATACCCGGCAGTAAAAAGGTAAAAAGCCAGCTAAAAACTAGCTTTTAGGTTTTTTAAATGCGTTAAAAAATGTTTCATGAAGTTTTTATAGTTTTACAAGCTCAGATTTTGTTGCGTACTGAATTTGGCCCTGAGAAAGTCATTAAAATAGCACCCGAAGTTCTGCAGCGACCTTTTGACCTGGAAAGGCATTTTTCGACCGGGCGTGACCGTGGAGGAAACTGATAACTTTTTGACAAACAGCTGAAATTAGCTGAAACTATTGCGGCGTTTCTTACTGAAATTGGCGAGATTGTCGATTGGAACGTTACGGAAAACTATTATCGTCTAGCTAGTGTGCTAATTATTTGAACAAAATGAATCTCAAGCCAATTTGGGCGAAAGTCTGGTGCCGGTAAGCTAGACGGGGGATTGATCATTATCTCGAAAATCAACATCTCGAAAATCAACATCTCGAAAATAAACATCTCGAAAGTTCGTTATCTCGAAAGTTCGTTATCTCGAAAGTTCATTATCTCGAAAGCTAATTATCTCGAAAGTTCATTATCTCGAAAGTTCATTATCTCGTATTCGAGTAGAAAGATAATAATACGAGATAATTAACTTTCGAGATAACGAACTTTCGAGATAATTAGCTTTCGAGATAACGAACTTTCGAGATAATGAACTTTCGAGATAATGAACTTTCGAGATGTTTGTTTTCGAGATAATGATAGGTAATCAGTGTGCTAATTATTTGAACAAAATGAATCTCAAGCCAATTTGGGCGAAAGTCTGGTGCCGGTAAGCTAATGGACTTCGTTAAAACTTAAATTAAATTTTTTAGTTTTAGTTAAATTTATAAAACAGCTAAATTTAGTAAATGCTTTTTAACAAATTTACGTTGTTACTTGCAAAATATTTTTTAATAAGTAAGATGCATTTTTCGAAATTTTGCTCGTTACCGTGCGGCTTAAGCGTACAAAAGGCCATTTATACGCAATTTAACAAAACTCAGGTGTTTTGAACAGTTTTCAAGCTGCGTCAAGTACCACTAAATGCGCATATTTCCCGTATAATTGCTACAACATTCTCCGGGTGACTGAGGACGCATGATACAAGTGTCCAGAGCAGTGTAGTGTTGCTCTTCTTTAGGCTACGCAGGGCTCCACTGTACCACCAGACTCTGTGCGCCCCCGCAATTTTCAACTGTTCTAAGCCTTTGTCATTTACGCGTGCCCATACCTAAAACCCAAGGCTTCTGGCGGTGTTCAAAAATTAAAATCTTTCAGGATCCAAAAACCCGCTATCAGACGTTTTTTCTTGATGGCCAATGGGGCCGCCGGGCAGGGCTCCAAGGAGGCGCTAAATCATCATGCCACTGTTAAATTGGGTGGGTTTTGATAGCTTTAGACTATAAATTGATATGCTAAAAGCAAAAAGGAGATAAAAAAGTTATAAAAGCAATATTAAAAAAATAAACGGCTTAAGTGAAGTTTCACCCCGCCCCCAGCCGCCCCCGTCTACCGTATCTCAACTCCCTGTTCATCTACAGGTGTGGAAAGTATACCAAAATGTTCGTCCTGCTCTGGCGAGTATTTTGGTATACTTTACAAACCTGTAGATGAACAAGAGCCGAGATACAAAAGTTGAGTTCCGGCTGGGGGAGGATAAACTGCACTCTAACCAAATAAACTATCATATAAAACTTTTATAGGCGAATCTCACCTCGATCTCTACGGCTACAAGACTAATTTAATGAAAACTGTACGTTAATTCCCTACTTGCGTAGCGATACCGTACTCACGTCAAATTTAGCTCTTCTACTACTTGATCTCAATTTTTACGCTTGGTATTGGTCGTTTATTGTTGCATTGGAAGGAGCAGTGGTACGGAAAATTTTTGTCAATACGAAAGGTATCGATTTTAAGGTATGTAAATGTAAGGGCGGAAAAATGTTCATTGGAGGAAGCGGATATGCTGTTGATTATGTGGGTTATAGCGTTTAATAAATCTTATGAGCAGCCGGAGATCCTAAAATTTCTGTAAATATACTTAATAAGCTTATTAAAGTATCCAAAAATACTCTGAATACTTTATATTGTACTTTTAGTGATGAAAATCAAACAATCTCCCATCGAATCGTCCGAAGTTTCCATCAAAATCGAGATTCCGAGCCATTGGTACTCCCTAATGGTATTGGCGGCTATGATGAGGGTAGGTTCAAGGTATCGATTTTTTGGATTAAATTTACCTTTCAGTTTCTCATATTCGCTACTTTACTTTCCGCAAAATGCTGTATGCTTGGTTTGAAAAGGAGGGAAAATTCATACCGCCCTCGAGCTTTGACAGCCTTGTAAGTTTCCTTAATAAATTTCCTTTATAAATTGTTATTTACTTAATTAAAAAGTGCAAGTTTCCTTTAAAGATTGGACATTCTGAAAGCTTTAGATAAGTAGAGGCCCATTAAGCTAGTCAATTGCGTTTTTCAGGGTTGAATTCAACGCCAAAAAAGCCATTTAGGGCCCGGTGAAAGCGCTAGTCGATAGGATAAACGATACCAGAGGCCTGAGCGATAAGGAGGTACCTTAAATTGCTGTTTTAACACGTTCAAAATTTACTCTTTGGGTACGAAAAGCGTTTTCCAGGTCTCCCAACGCCAAGTAACCTATGGCAAAAACCTTATCGAAGTCAAGCCCAAGCCAATCGTGGTCCTCCTTTTCAAAGAGGCCATTTCACCGTTCTACATTTTTCAGTTGTTCAGGTAACGTTACAGCCGTTTAAGGCATGTTTATATGATTTATAGTGTTTCTCTCTGGTATTGGGACGAGTATATCTACTACGCAACCGTCATTGTCGTAATTTCTCTTGGTTCGATTACGTTGGATGTGTATCAAACAAGAAGCCAAGAAACGAAGCTGCGCAAAATGGTGCATTCTTCGGATGAGGTAAGTTCTGGTAAAGGCGCTTTGATGGCTACATATCGCTTGATAATGACTTTTTACCATTAACTTTAGATAACCGCGATAAGGAGTGACGGTCAGCATGGTGTCGTCGATAGTTCCGAGGTAAGTAATGACACATCTAAGTTATACCAATGAATTTTAATCAAAATTTTACATGGTTTTAGAAGTTTAATAAAGCAGTTTTAAGGTATTCAAGTGTAGTAAAGTGCAGTAATATTAAATAAGTAATATACAGTAAATAAGTCAGTAGCAGGCAGCTAGATCAGTAAAGTATGCTTTTCAGCTAGTTCCCGGCGACGTTATCGTCGTTGGCCAGGGCAAGAGCGTGATGCAGTGTGACGCTATACTTCTGACCGGAACAGTGATTGTTAACGAGAGTATGCTGACCGGAGAAAGTGTGCCGGTGACAAAGGTATGATACCTTAAAAGCTAGCTTAACAGCCTAAGCTTGAAGATCGATTCCAAAAACTTGTAAAATACTTTAGGTAAATGCTTCCGGGCTCGACGACGCCAACGAGGAAGGTTTGGTCCGACTTGACTTCGAAAGGCACGCCAAGCATGTGCTGTTTAGCGGTACGCAGTAATCATCAGTTTTCGTGACTCTAGGAAGTTGTGACATAACTTTATATAACTTTACGAAAACCTTACCAACCGCTTTTGAGGTCCTCCAAACCCGCAGCCAACCCGGCCAAGCAGTCCGGGCCCTGGTCATCCGGACGGCCTTTTCGACAACGAAGGGCCAGCTGGTTCGCTCTATCATGTACCCGAAGCCGATTGACTTTGAGTTTAATCGAGATTTACTAAAGGTATGTGATCTTACTACAACGAAAAAAGAAGTACTTATCTCTAGTTCGTCGGTTTCCTCTGCATTATGGCCTCTTTCGGGTTCGCCTACACGCTGGCAATCATGACTTCACATCATGTAAGTTTAGATATATGTTTTTACGTTTTAATATTGGGAGTATTTTAAGGGTTGAAGTTTAAAGCGTAAATCGCCTCTAAAACACCATAAAAATTTTTAGGCCGACTGGAAGAAGCTTGTCATTCGCTCTCTGGACCTGATCACATGTGTGGTGCCACCGGCACTTCCTGGTAACATATTTAGGCCTAATCAAGCCCCATGGGCCCAGTGAGTGCAACCGTCATTTCCTCTAAGCTTTTACCTACGTACGCAGTGACTTTTACGTACGCAACTACTCGTACACATGAACGTTAGCTTTGACCCGTCAGAACTTACGTAGCGTAACGTCCTTACGTACCATTGAACCAATCAATACCTACAATCGTTCAATCCATTTTTAGCCGCTATGTCGGTCGGAATCATCAACGCTCATCGCAGATTGAAAAAGAAGAACATCTACTGCATCTCGCCGTCCACCATCAACACGTGCGGAGCTGTCAATGTGGTGGGATTTTTTGCAACTCTCTCTATCTTTCTCTCACTCTCTCTCACTCTCTCTCTTCTCTCTCCTCTCTCTCTTTTTCTATCTCTCCCTCTCTCTGTCTCTCTCTCTGTCTCTCTCTCTCTCTCTCTCCTCACTATCGTTTATCTAGGTCTGCTTCGACAAAACTGGCACATTGACGGAGGACGGCTTGGCGTTCCACGCTGCCCGGCCGATACTTCCGAAAAAGCCGGTAAATCTTCTTAACTTGTGCGTAAGCGTAATTTATCGTATCTACGTAATACCAACATTAAAATTTTTATTCAGAATCAAAAGAAACCGTCTTTCGGCCTCGATACCTGCGAGATGGAGCCTGTCGACTTCCCGAAAGGCGCCGAGCTCATCAAGGCGTCGGCAGTATGCCAGTCATTGACTTGGTAGGATTTAATGTTGAAAGTTGCTACGTACCTACGTAAGTATCTCTACGTACTCTGCTTTAAAAAAGATGCTAAAAGGGCCGCTTTAGGATCGACGGAGAGCTCCATGGCGATCCCCTCGACTTGATCCTGTTCAACGAGACCAAGTGGAGATTTGAGGAGAGCAAGGGGTATGGTATATCAACTTACTTGCCGATAAACTAGGCTATTAAATTAAGGCATTTTAATTAAGGTATTATCTAGCCATTAAGTTTTTTCAGGGACGATGCCGAAGACAAACGTCATGCCAGTGTCGTTCGACCTCCAGATGGCGATACTGCGACTTATGACGAGCAAGCGTATCCGGTCATTCGGCAGTTTACATTCAGGTATCGAATTTGAAAAGGTAGAAGTGGTGTATTTTGTCTAGCTCTGCGCTGCAACGAATGTCTGTCATCGTCAGCACCGACACCGATGAGGAGCAGGGGAAGTGCGAGATTTTCGTCAAGGTATGGAATTTCGGGATTTCGCTCTCTCTCTCTCTCTCTCTCTCTCTCTCTCTCTTCCTCTCTCCCTTTCTCTCTCTCTCTGTCTCGCTGTCTCTCTCTCTTCCCCCTCTCTCTCACTCTCGTTTTCTCTTATGGACACTTGGAATTTTAGGGCTCTCCCGAAATCATCGAGTCGTTGTGCGACCCAAATACCGTACCTGAGGAATATCAGAAGGTTGTTAACTCGTACGCTCAACGCGGTTATAGATTGATTGCGGTGAGTTCAGTTCGAGGAACACATTACGCTATGTAATTCATCCGTTGTCATACCCACGCACGTAGCCAAGGCATTTTACAGGCAGCAAAACGTGTCTTAAACCTTAATCGGGCCGACGCGCTGAAAATCCCGCGCCAGGAGGTGGAATCGCAGCTGCAGCTCCTCGGATTGATCGTGATGGAAAACCGGGTGAAGCCGGTGACACGGGTGGTGATTCAGCATTTGAATAGGTATTAAAGGTATCGGTACCTGAAATCAGGTGTCTAGTGCCCTAATTCGTACCGTCATGGTGACTGGAGATAACTTGCTGACGGCGATGAGCGTCGCCGCGGAGTGTGCGATATTGAGGGTTGATCGGAAAGTAAGTGGCACTTATCTTACTCTCTCTCGCTTTCTCGTTCTCTCTCTCACTCCCTTTCTCTCTAAATCTCGTGTTTAGGCCTACCTTATCGAGCACCTCCCGGATGAGAAAGACGAGCACGGTCGATCTGTTCTTGTCGTGAAGGAGGTATCAAAATTTTTAGGTATCAGGTCCAACTTACTTTTACAGAAAAACCACCCTGAGCACGAAAATTTCATTCCTTCAAAATACCTCGGGATGGACGAGATTGAACAGATGCTGACGCCGGATTACCAATTTAGCATTGCAGGTGAGCACGACGGTTTGATAACGTAAGGTCCCGTTAAGGCTCTACCCTCTCCGTCATCATCAAGGAGTACCCGGAGCTGTTGGACAATTTAATGACGGTGTGAGTATAGCTGTAATTAGTACCTTTGGGGCAGCGAAATTCCAGTAGAATGCTAAAGGCAGAGTTAATGTATCCAGCATCATACATATGTAATACACATAGAATCATCCTAATTACGTACTTCGGCGATTATTACGGAATTATGATGTCTAGCTTATGGCTTACGGTAACCAAATTAAAATAAAATAACGCAAAATTGGTATAGCTAGAGTGGCACTACGAGTTTCTCTGTTAAAGGGGCTCCGAACTGCCAAATCAAAGCCCTTTTGGAGACCTCTTTGATTTCTGGCAAATTGCCAGCGGGCGCTGCGGGACGAGAGCCCTCACTCTTTCGATTTTTGCGCGAAGTTGTTTTTGCCCGGTTTCTTTGTGAAAACACTCCAATTCGCGCATTTTGAGCCCATTTTTGAAATCCTGACTCAATTTTAAATAGTTTTGGTATTTTAATCATCAAATTTGGCCCAGAAACAGCCGAGAACGTGATTTCGAGGTGACAACAGGCAATTTTAAATGTGCGAGCTTCCCGCGCCCCTAGGTGTACAGAGGCCTCCCACGTACAGGGTTCAGATTTTCGGGCTGTCACTCAATCTTTGGAATTTCGTAGCCCCTTTAAGGTGTGACGTTTTCGCGCGTATGGCACCGGAACAGAAACTGATGCTAGTCACCCATCTCCAATCACTGGATCACACCGTGGCTATGTGTGGTGATGGCGCTAATGATTGCGCAGCTTTGAAGGTAAGCTAAAGAAAGGCTTGAAACGGAAAAGGTAGCTGTGATTCTTAAGCTTAAAAACTTAGAACTTTAGTCGAAAAGTTAATACGCGAAAACTAAATAAATCTCTTTTTTTTCAGGCAGCCCACGCCGGGATATCCCTCTCCGACGCCGAAGCTTCGATTGCTGCGCCGTTCACGTCGAATGTAATTTTTTTTGCTAGATTCGTACCTTATAGAGCGACGCGGTTTCTAACATCATCTCCAAGCAGTTCAGGTAATCTACAACTACCTTTTCAGATCAACGACATCCGTTGTGTACCCATGGTAATTCGTGAGGGTCGTGCAGCGCTGGTCACTTCTTTTGGTGTCTTCAAATACATGGCGAATTACTCGTTAAACCAGGTAGAGACAATAGACTTAAGGTATCATTTACATACAGGGTGTCTCAAAAAAAAAAACCCCCCGCTAGCGGTCCGTGGGAAGCTCAGATCAGGATGATTTTTATACCATTCGAACGCCCGCGGAAAGGCGAGAAAACAAGCGGGCTTCATTTTCTAATATTTATTCTGATTCGTCCGATATTCAGGGTTTTTCTAAAAAACAGGTATCTTTTCAATAGGAATTTCGCAATTAGCATGCGGATCTCGCGTAAATCAGCCGTTTTCATGGATTTTGGAGGTAAAATTCGCCAATAAAAATACATAATAAAGAAAATGAACCCTCCATGTTTTCTCGCCTTTTCGAGAGCTTTCGATTGATACCTAAACGGCGAGAGTCGGACACGTCTGGGAGCCGCTAGGGGGGGGTTTTGGGACACCCTGTACAATAGCAAATAGCTTGGAAGATACCTTAACAGATACCTCGATAGAATGTAGATTTAGATTTTAATTTAATTATCACCTGTCAAATCCTCCCCTTTTTCAGTTCGTGACCGTGATGCTGGTCTACTACCACCTTGGGGCGGTTCCAGACCTGCAATTTCTATACATTGACCTGTTCCTCGTCACGTTTATCGCCTTATTCTTTGGAAATACTGGGCCTTGTACGTTATTTAACATTAACAACTGTACATCGACTTTTATAGCCGATTACCTCTCCAAAGACCCACCACCTATCAAGCTGCTATCGCTAGCGTCAATGACCAGCGTGGCCGGGATTATGGCAATATTTGGGGTGGTGCAGGTATGGATTTATTAAAGCTCTAAAACTAAGGTATTAATTAAATTATTATCAGTTCATATAAATAAGTTAGTATAAATTAGTATGTTTTTTTAGGTGTACATCTACGCTTGGACCTCCGAACAGCCATGGTTTTTTATGAGTATTTTACAAGAGGGCTATCAGAAAGATCATCTACTTGCGCATCAGGTAAATTTATGAAATTTTTACACCTTGCTATTCTGAATTTAGTTACAAAGTCTCCCTAAAGCTATAATTTAGAGGCTAAGCTTACTATGATATAGAGGAAAAACTAGAAAAAAATTAAGTTTTTTGTGTAAAAACCTTTTTAGAACACAACCATCTTCTGCGTGTCCCTCTTCCAATACATTATTCTGGCATTTTTGTATAGTAAAGGTAGGAGTGATAGAGATTAGTAGAAAATTTCAATTACTTCTAGGTGCTCCTTATCGAATGTCCATCATGAGCAATTATTTATTGTGTCTAGCGATAGCCGTAACTGGGGCGGTAAGTTTCTAAAGCATAAATGGCTTCAAAAATAGGGCAATTATTATTGGTAGGATTGTGTTGCGTTGCATGTCGAGCTGCATGTCGCGGTGCATGTCGCGTTGCGCGTCGAAATGCACTTAGCGTTGCCTCTCGCGTATCACGATGCTTGTCGCGTTGTTACCTTGCGCGTCGCGATGCACACAGCGTTCCCCATTGCGTTGCGTGGCGCGTTGCGTGTCGCGTTGCGTGCGTGGGGTGCGTAGGGTTCATTGTTACCTTGATTATGTATAGCGATCAACGCAAATTACATAGTAAAGCCATAGCCAAATGAAGCCCTAACTTCCCTGTCCCTTTGATACGCAAAAACTGACTCATCTTAAGGTATCGCTTGTGGTAATCCTCTGCCCTCCCAAGATATTCATTGATGGTCTGGAGTTCGATCCAATCCCGCATTTTATCGATCGGTTATTTATTTTATTCACTTGTAAGTATTACCATAGAATTTCGAGTGACTATCAGGTTGGAAAGAAAGTAATGGCACAAAATCTTTAAACCGCTGTAAAAACCCGCAGGAACGTCCGATTTGAAAGTATGATATATGGTTTGGTAGATCTTCGGATGCTCTATCAAGAGACGACCGCTAAAACACCCAAAAACTAATGTACGCGAAAATACAGGCCTCAGAAGTTTCACGGAAAATTAGGTGAAAGCTTCTAAGCGAGATATCTCTGCATACAGGCATTTCCATACGATACTTTTAACACCAATCGATAGCCCTCGAGGAGTAGATATCGATAGATGTTGAGACCATCAAGATCGGAGACCGCATGGCCGAGAAATGGGCCTTCCAAAATCAAAGCATTTTCTGGATTTTGGTTCGGGAGCTGAAGCAAACGCAGCAGTTTTTGGCTCGCGCAGACCAAAATGTATGGGATTTCGAGAAAAGTTCTAACAGGTGGACCAAAATTCTGGGCGCCATATCTCGGTCATCCAGTGTCCGATTTTGATGATCTCAACATTTATCGATATCTACTCCTCGAAGGCTATCGATTGGTGTTAAAAGTATCGTATGCAAATGCCTGTATGCAGAGATATCTCGCTTAGAAGCTTTCACCTAATTTTCCGTGAAACTTCTGAGGCCTGTATTTTCGCGTACATTAGTTTTTGGGTGTTTTAGCGGTCGTCTCTTGATAGAGCATCCGAAGATCTACCAAACCATATATCATACTTTCAAATCGGACGTTCCTGCGGGTTTTTACAGCGGTTTAAAGATTTTGTGCCATTACTTTCTTTCCAACCTGATATAATAATTATGACCGTAATTCGAAAAGTGCCAATTTAGCGCTCGCCTGCTGCGGGGTTGCCTACATTTTCAACAAGTTTTTCGTCGAGTACTTCTTACAAGTTCGGGTGGATAAGTAAGTAATTTTCATCATTAACTTTTTATACTTTTTATAGCAAAAATATTAAAAATTAGATTCAGCAATTTACTGAATTTTTTTAGATACCGTAAACTCAAAAAGCTCAAAAATCCGGGTGACGATTTGCCGAAATGGGAGCGGAATATGTTAAAGTCAGTAATTTTGATAAATGGTATAATTTTGATGAATTTTAGCATTGCTACTTCGCTTGGCTGGATCTCGGGAACGGCGCAAATCTCCGAGAAAATTGAGGAAAATCTGAAGATTACCAAGCGGAGAGCGACGTTCTTGCTGGAGAAGGAGAATGAGGAGGCTGTATGAAATAGAAGTTGGACGAATCGGGTTGAATAAAGCTTATTAATAAATTTATAAACTATACTATAATACTACGTACATATAGTACACTACGTTACGCATTTGCTACGCTACGCTACGATACGATACGTTGCGGTTACAAACGATACGTAACTTACGGCACAATGCGCCACGATGCACGATGCGATGCGATGCCATGATCCACGATGCGTTACGGTACGCTAGGTTGCGATACATTACGATACCTCGCACGATATCTCACGGCAAGCTACGTTACTGCGCGTTGAGATACAATACGCTATGACAGTCGGATTACAAGACGCTACGACATGGGACGATGCGCCAGGCTTGTTAAATTACGTTCCGTTGCGTTATCGTACCACGATAGGTTGCATTGCAATACGCTACACTACGCCACAATTTGTTGCAATACTTCTATTATGTTACATTACGTTTCGTTACGCTACGCTATGCTACGTCACATTGCGCCAGGCTACACGACACTACACTACCGATAGCATTGAAATTTAGCGAGCTTTTACAGGTTACAGGACACCAATAAATTCAGTCTTTAGATCAAGAACACCTGGCAGGGATTTTAGGCCTTTAAAATGCAACACACCGTAAGGTTCGAGCGCCAATGTAAATTCAATTCATCCGGGTAATTCTTCGCTCACCAACGCTTTTTGAACGCGTCGCAACGCATTTACCGGGGTTAATTTGGCTCTCGTTTGACCGAGAAAAGTTGTCACTCGAATAATCCTCATCGGCGTGATGGTGTATATTTTTAAGCGATTGTTGTCTTTTGAGGTTAGTTCAGTCAAAGGAAGCGCTAAGATATACAAAAAACGTTATTGTATACTGTAGGATATCCATATTTTAGGAAGCCAGCCCAATTCTGGTGGCGAATTTCTCGATGGTAGTCGTCGATTTTTTGCAAGTGGTTTTGGGGACGATTCACGATAATACGGCCAAGATTTGGGAAATGGAAACGTTTGGTAGGCGAGATAGAGTGAGAGAGAAAGAGAGATAGAGATAGAGAGAGCGAGATAGAGCGAGGGAGAGAGAGAGAGAGAGAGAGAGAGAGATACAGAGGGGGAGAAAGACCGAGCGAGCGAGAGAGCCAGAGAGAGAGAGAGTTAGGGAGACAGGCAGAGGGAGCGGGAGAGATATACAGAGGGGGAGAAAGAGCGAGCGATCGAGAGAGCCAGAGAGAGAGAGAGAGAGAGCGCGCGCGAGAGTGGGAGAGAGACAGTTAGAGAGAGAGAGAGACAGAGATAGATAGATGAGAGTGAGCCAGAGATAGAGAGAAAGAGAGAGAGAGTGAGAGAGGGAGAAAATTCCCTTTAGGGTCGATCGGAGTAACGTTATTGCTCTACCTTGGCAATTTCCGACAATGGTACCAGACCTATACCTTTATGCTACTATCACTACTACATTTATTAGCCATTTTCCGGCCTAAACATTATAGAAAATTGGACAATCGATGGACCGTCATTTTAATGGCTATTTCAATCTGCATAGCGCTACGTAAGCTACATGTTTGAAAAATCGATAATTCGTAACTTACACAATTTAACGATGCTTCAATTACCTAAGACTTTTAAAAGCTGTACCTTTAGTAAACACCGCCGCTCATTACATCGTCTGCCACTGCTTATATTACAAAATTCCGGGGTATTTTCTGGACATTACGCCGGAATTGCTTGACGTCGGGGAGACGTTTTCGACTGTTCAATCCGGGTTACAGGTAGGTTTTCGACGGATATCGTCCCCGATTGATAGGATTGATTGTGATACCGTTCTTTTCAAGGAGCTAGGAAGTGCATTAAAATATTTAAATGCATAGGTATCGAAAGCTACGCGTCATTGCTATACACAAACAATCGCCGTTGGAGAGAGATTCATTCTAACGTCGCTAAAAGGATATCATAGGCGTAGCTAGGAGCTTTGCGTTGCTTATCAGTTCCACACACCCTTGCCAGCAACAAGCACTGTGTTGCGTAATGGAACCGGAAGCGACGAAGCGGCGCGATCGCGTTACGTGCCGCGGGTGCCCAATGCCCAGGCAATCCATAGCGGGAAACCCACAGTGATGCCTTGACTGCTCTTTTAATTCTCGATTTTCAGGTCGTAATGCTAATTTGTTTGATCGGGACCGATATCGCAATCGTGGCAAAGTTATACAAAATGAAGGTTCTCGGGCAGGGCAGGAGGAAAACAGGTAAATATTTATTAAATTACTACGTTATACTTTTCTAACATTCACGTATTGAATTTGACTAAGTTGATTGTTAATACGTTTAACAAGAATTTACAGTAGTGGCTAAAAATCATTAAAAATATCCAAAATTAAGGCATAACTTTTAGTCGGCCCCTCGCAGGGCACCACGGTAATTCTGGTGGCCGATAAGAACGATGCGAGCTGTGGGAAAGCTGTGGTTTGATTTTTTCGAGATGATCAGAAATTAACCTTACCTAGAAAAAGCAGAGGATGAAGGTATCTCTCGATATAAGGCTGGCATTTGCGTATTTTTACATAACGGTTGCCTATATCACGATGGGAGTGTATTTTCGATACAAATACCTGTGAGTTATGCGGATCATGTTAAAACCACTTTCAAAAAATCGAGAATTTAAGCTGATTCGGTTGAATTGAAGCTGCGCAAAATAAAATTCTATATTTACAGGCTGCCGCCCTCGATAATGCCCTATATGATTTTTGTCGTCATCAACATCGAGCTGACAAAATGCGCGATTTATGTGTTAATCGTTACGCATAATTAAGAGTTCGAAATATGATATATAACATTCTCAAACAAATTTCTTTTACCTTCGCATGTCGGCAATCGAGATCAAGAAAAAGGGAAATAGAGAAGAGAGAGAGAGAGAGAGAGAGAGAGAGAGAGAGAAATGCAAAAAAACTATTTTCACTTTGCGCAATTCAGCTTTAATAATATAGAAATCACAAAGTGTACAACTTACGTATTTGTAAAGCATAAATAGTACAAATTTTTCAGAAATTTTACGCACGCAATCCACATTTTCGCACTTAATTTAACATTTTCTGGAACCTGTGACCGCTGATTTTCCGAGCCTTTCAACTTCCTGAAAAATTCCCACAAAATTAGCGAGGAATCTGGGGCAAATTCAGCGAGTTTTTCTCATGTCCCATTACTTCTAGTCATTAAGGATTCTGGTTTTTGCTGGGTTTCCGGATTTATTGATCTGTAAAAACGAGCTTAATCGGCTGTAATGCTCGGTATATTTGAATATATCGTCCTTGTCACTCGAATTCTATTAATTTCGGTTATAATTTTTGTATTAAGGAGGTTGATTAACCGGAAGGTAATAAAATTAAAAAATAAACATAACCAGTGGAAAAAGACCGCTTCGCGGCCCTTTTCCACTGGACCCCGTCCAGAAACCATGAATTTGAATACCTTCTTTTTTTTGGGTCTGCGATGCAGGTACCTGAGTCAAGGATCCATTCTTTGGACTGCGCTAGGATAATTAGGTCTGAGGCGCTAGTTACTGGTTTTCCCCCAGGCGCGGCGCGGCGCGAGAGCCTAGGCCAAGGACCCATCGTTGGCCTGCGGCGCGAGAGCCTGGGCCAAGGACCCATCGTTGGCCTGCGGCGCAAGAGCCTGGTTCAAGCCCCTTTTCTTCGGCCTGCGGCGCTAGAGCGAAGGTCAGGCCTAAACCTCGCACATCGGGAGCCTAGAAATACGTTTTGTTGCTAAACTGCCAAAAAGCAAAAGGTTGGATTCTCCCAGGACCCGAACTCCTGACCATACGTGTGGTAGACCGGGCGCCAACCCACTACACCACAGGGACGATGGGAACGGCTGGCCTGGAAGGGGTCTTCTTTCTGGGGAAGGCTGCGGGGGGAGGGGTGGCAAAGAAAAGGGCGCCCCAATGATCCCGGGCGGGTGGCCTCCTGGTCACTTTACAAAACTCGATCTTTGAGTCTGAATCTGCTGAAAATTTCTAACGATAATAAGATGCGCGTGATCCCCACTATCGAATACATAATTTGTCCAAATTCCAGCCCGAAATTCCAAATGGGCATCGAGTTATGGACTGAACACCACGGCGCGCAGCCCACTTTGTTAAGGACTTTTTAGAAAAACGCACATAAAAATTTTATTTTACAAAGTCTGAAAAAACGCAAAATTATATATCGGGAGAATTCGATTTTCAATCTGCCCTCCAACAATCAGCGCCTAATTCCTTTTGGATCGCGAGATATCCTCTGAACAAACCTTTTTTTGGCCAAAATGTTAAGGGTTTTCCACTATTTTGCTTGTAAAATCCTTAAATGAGGGAATTTCGAAAAACAAAAAAATGCCTAGAAAGAGGATGTGTTTCTCCACCTCCATGCCAAAAATCAGCGCAAAATCCGGCGTGACGGCCGAGAAATCGGCTGCACAGAAAACAGACATACTTTTCTCGCTTATAGGATAGGATGTAATGTATTATTCCGTGTGTTTCTCTAATCCACCTTCAAATAGGAACTGAACCCAATCGTCGTCGCCGACTTCACGCTCGTGTTTTCCGACCTCGTGATCGTAATTTTGAGTACGGTACACGACAATACGGCTATGATATGGGAAATGGAGACATACGGTAGGCCGCTCTCCCTCTCTCTCTCTCTCTCTCTCTCTCTCTCTCTCTCTCTCTTTCTATGTCTATCTTTCTCTGTCACTCTCACTTTATCTCCTTCTCTCTCTCGCTCTCTGTCTCTCTCATTCTCGCTCATTCTCGCTCTATCGCTCCCTGTCTCTCATCTCTCTCTCTCTGCGTGTCTCTCTCGCTCTCTTTCTCTCTTTCTCTCGTTCTCTGTCTCTCTCACTCTCTCTCATTCTCGCTCACTCGCTCGCTGTCTCTCATCTCTCTCTCTGTGTGTTTCTCTCTCTCCCCTCTCTCTCTCTCACTCTTTCTCCTTCTTTCTCTCTTTCACTCTCTCTCTCACTCTCTCTCTCTCTCTCTCTCTCTCTCTCTCTCTCTCGCCGTCTCTAGTTTACGCTTCAGGTGACGCCGGCGAGCAAGTCCACATGTATCTGGCTGATTTCCGGAAATGGCATCAAACCTATACCTTTATTTTACTGTCCGTTCTACACCTATTTGCCATTTTTCAACCTACCGTATACCGGAAGATCGATGGGTGGCGTATTTTAGGGGTGCTATCGATCCCGTTTCTGCTAGCTACAGGTAAGATCACAAAGCTATTAGATATCTAAATCTTCCAGTTAGTACGCTAAGCTACTATATCATCTGTGACTGTCTATATTATGCAATTCCCGGGTATTATTTTGCGATAGTGGCCAGTCGTCAGGGCATCGCTACCAAATTTGATTTGGCGAGGTTTGGCGTGCAGGTACGGTACGGTGCGCTACAGATTGCGGCTACGGCTATGGCTGTAATGAGGAAGATAGTTATAGCTACAAACTACAGCCCGAAATCTGCCCGGAAATATGGGCTACACTCTACAAAAGTACGCGGTTACGCACGAAACTACAATTTTTCCACAATTACCGCCTGATTGCTAAACTACAAAGTACAAACTTGGACTACAGAGTACAGAAAAGGCTACGTGAAACGGCAGGCTACAAACTCCGCACTAAAGAATCTAACATCCAGCTCACGGATTCTAATACTCGGCTACAAACTTCAAACTACGACTACAAAGGACAGAAAATAAACAGCGAAAACTACAAACTACACGCTACATGCTACAAAGTATGGTAAGAGTCTAGAAAACCCCCCCACCCGGCACCAACTTTTGTATCTCGGCCCCCCTTTGTGCTAGCGAGCTCTAAAGTATACCAAAATGTTCGCCGTAGGCTAATTAGTAAGACTACATTGCAGTTCAGTCGAAAAAATTAGCGAAAAATCAAAATAAGGAAGGTAGAAAAGTTGAAAAGTCGGCTGGGGGGGGGGTTTCCTAGCCTTGAGCCCAAAGTATATTATTTAAAGTACAAAGTACTAAAAGTACTAGTACTAGTATTGAAAGTACTAGTATTTACTACAAAGTTTAATAATCGTCTCCAAACTATAAGCCACGACTAAAAATACAGAATTGACTATCAAAACTAGAAGCTATAAGCGATAGACAACAAAGTACAACACCCGGACTTCGGAGCGTGATGAAGCTGCCAACCACAAACTAGCACTACAAAATAACGAATATAACATCGAAGACTACAGACTACAAACTACAAAATCATCTTCTGAATTTTGAGGGCGTAATGCTGGCCTGCCTAATCGTAATGGATATCCTCCTCATCGTTAAACTCTACCGGATGCGAATCCTGGGAAGAAATCGAACCCCGGCGCGCAGTATCATTAATCATACGGCTAGCGGATCGGCCGCTACCTTTCAATCCGATCAGAATACCGCTTCAAACCTGGCTAGGAAGCGGCAGGTTCGCGCTTTAGAAATTGGCGCAGGTGGCAGGCGAGCAGGGGTAATTTGGGAATTTTTTGGACAGCTGCTGGGGGCAAACTAGCAAAGACTATTTTGGAATTTGAGATGACCAGATCGGGTTCGCTAGAGAATCGAGGGCAAACTTGCAGGGAGCTTTGGGGAAATCAAAACAGTACAGTAACCCTTTGAAGCAAGCATCCAAATTGAAGATTTCGATCGATAAACGGCTGGCGCTGTCGTTTTTCTATATCACGCTTGCTTATATTGCTACCGGGATTTATACGCCGTTGCGATTAGCGTGAGTTTTGAAGGAGAACCGGAGAGCGAGAGAGAGAGAGAGAGAGAGAGAGAGAGAGAGAGAGAGGACAATTATTTTCAGCTTACCACCAAGTCTACTCCCCTACGCCCAGTTTATTTTCATAAATATCGAAATTACGAAGTGTACAATTTACGTGCTGATCGTCACGCATAAATAATTGGTGCTTTGTGCTGAATTACGATACAAATATCCTGAGAGCGAGAGAGAGGGAGAGAGAGAGGAGTGTGAGAAAAAGAGTGATAGTGAGAGAGAGAGAGAGAGAGCGTGCGATGGATATGTGATTCTCACCCTAAACAGCACCGAGTGCATTCCTAAAAAAATGTTTTGTTCGCAAAATTATAATTTACGCAGAATAACACTTACAGAAAATATACTAATCCGGTGCGAAACGTGCTAGATTATCCACCAAACCAATCAGGGATTTGCGACGTCGTGAGGGTCGGGCACAGCCTTGCGTACGCATACGTATCCCTTGCGCAGCTGGCATAATCTCGCATGTGGCCCGCGTTATCATAAAAAATGAAAAAATTTCTCAAAGAATCTCTGCCTATCTCTGCCTCCAAACTGAAGGTACGATGCGATACGCTTGCTGACGCACAAAACGTAAATACATACAGTAATCCGGTACGAAATCGTAGTATGTACGTTGCGTCCCATGTCTTTATTTACACACGCGAACAGTTAGTGATAGAGAAAGAAAAAATGGTAGACGGAACGAGTTTGGGCACGGATTCGGGGCGTCGAGAGGGGCGTGGCGTTGCGTAGCCTTGGGTAGCCATGCGCATCCTCTCGTAGTCGTCGCGACCCGTCTAGATGCCGGCCAAGTCTTCGCCAAAGATGTAGATGCCCGAGACGAGGGCCTCGAGACTGTAGTGCTCGTGGGGCCACGACGCGAACGGGGTCAGGCCGCCCTCCGCCGGCTCCATGCAGATCATCACCTAGAAAAAAACGAAAATACTTTTTGAAGCTCTATAACTTGCTGATTTTTCGGCTATTTTCAAGAAATGTTACCACACAACTAGGACTCGAAAACCCATATCTATGCAAATTTTGAGTCCGAAATACCGTAAAATCGATAAATTATGGGGGAAAAGGATTATTTTTGTAGGTTACCATAATTTTAAATTCCCTAGAAAGGGGCCGGAAACACCGCTTACATCCTCATACTGGGTCTTGTCGAGCATGGGGCGCGTGAGGATGGGCATCTTGTCAATGTCGATGCAGTCCGGGCCGTCAAGGGGAACGTTGCGGAACTGGAGCTCAAAAATTCAGAGATGAACGTCGGTCGACTAACCGCGGGCAGATGCCAGTAGTCGCCAATCCAGCCGGTGATCGGGCTTCCGCACCACGACCTCGGCTCCTCCGGCTGCACCACCGGCTTCGACTCGGCTCTTTCGACTGGGAAAAGGGATTCGGTTCTATCTCTCTCACTCTCGCATTCTCTCTCACTCGCTCACTCTCGTTCCCTCTCTCTCTCTCTCTCTCCAACTCTCTCCGGTCCCTTAAATACCTTTCTTGTTGGCGGCAAAGCTGTCGGTGAGGGCCCAGTCGATGAGGGCGCGATTGTAGGCCTGCTGGTGGATGAATCTAAACGAAAGGTATCGATTTTTAATGCATCACTCGTGACTCACTGTTGGTTGTAGGGGTTGATGTGAGCGTTGGAAAAGTCCTTTTCACCAACTTGCTGCTGCATCTCTAAAGGTAGAGTGGGTTGAGGGAGAGAGAGAGCGAGAGAGAGAGAGAGCGAGAGCGAGACAGAGAGAGAGCGAGAGAGAGAGAGAGAGAGAGCGAGAGCGAGACAGAGATAGAAAGAGCGCGAGAGCGAGAGAGCGAGAGACAGAGATAGAGAGAGCGCGAGAGCGTGAGAGAGAGAGATAGAGCCACCCACTCTTCTCCAAGTCGCCGATCAGGTAGATGTGGATGATGGAGGCGAGCACGACGATGAAAATGACCGTCACGTAGGTGGTGTTTGGGTACGTGGCTCGGAACTCGTACACCTGCAATTTTACAGCTTTTTTGAGCAGAAATCCAGCAAAAAGGTTATCGAATCTGAGGCTCAACGTATATTAGCGGAGCCTGGCGTAGAGAATCTTGATAATGTCGCAAATTTTCCGGTTCTTTTCCGATTACGGGGGGGGGGGGGAGGGCCAGTTTCGTGTGGAGCAGAATTAATTTTTATTTTTTGTGGTGTTTTGGCTTGTTCCCTCTCGTCAAGACCCCCCTCCCCCGTGAAATGACAAGCACCAAAATAGCGACATCTGTAAATTGGGATATTATGAAACGTCGATACATCAAATGTTTCAAATTTTTGGAATGCCGACATATTAGCATTTCGACACAATGAATTTCGGCATTATGAAGAAAATCGCCTGAGCGTAGCGTATCCTATCGTAACGTATCGGTGGCTACCTTGTGCGCATCGGGCATATATTCGGGTGGTGGGAAGCAGCTTCTCTGGCCGTCCCTGGCGATGGCGACGATCGTTCCCCCGATACACTCATCCACGCAGATTCCCTTGATGTCACGGAAGTCGCGGCACAAGTAGCAATTCGCCGGGCCACCCCCATCGCATCCCTCCAGACAGTACTCGTGGCACGGAAGGCACTCCTTTTCCGCCGTCATGTACTCGCTGAACAAGTTTTACGGTAAGTCTCCAGATACCCCCCAGCCGGCCGCACCTCCCGTATCTGGCCGCCTGTTCATCTACAGATGCGTAAAGTACACCAAAATGTTCGTCTTGCTCTGGCGAGTATTTTGGAATACTTTACGAACCTGTAGATCAACAGGGAGCCGAGATACAGAAGTTGGGCCCCGACTGGGGGGAAACTGCACTCTACCCAAAAATCGGTAATTTTTCGTCGAAAAATCTAGATTTTTTGCATTTTTGAATGAAAATTTGTAAAGTTTTTGCAGGGTTTTAAAAATAGTAAAAGCTAGCTTTATTGATATTAGAAGAATTAGAAAGCCAAAAAACACCAAAAAACTGACCCGAGCTGGCAAAACTTGGGTTTGGCGTCGTGGCACGCCGGCTGGGGGTCGGCTGCAAAAATCATTTTCTGCCGGCATATAAGTCCTATTAATGCGCCGAGCAACTTCAAATGTTCGCCTTGGTCAAAGACCTTCTTTTCTGCGACTTTTTCAGGCAAAATTTTTAGAATTTATCAGGTTTTTCGTTTCTTTTTTTCTTTCGCATTATCGGGGGGGGGGAATGATTTTTTTGTTTTTTTTAATGCTTAGCTGAATAAGAAGGATTTTTATTTTTTTTAGCCATATAAAACCATATTTGAACCAGAAAAACTATCTAAAAAGCTTTAAAAATTTTGCCAAATAGTCGAAATTTTCTTCAAAAAAGGTCATTTATGCCCAAGGAATCTAAGTGTTTTCGTTTTTTAATAAAACTTGGAAAGTTTTTACGCTTAGGAATACATAAATAGTTTAGAAACACTTCCGGTATGTATATTTGAAAATCTCTAGAATCTATATATAGATATCTAGAAAAAGCCCCCCGATAATGCCAAAGAACCAGGTTTTGGGCTACGGTTTACTTTACCCCCCCCCCCAGCCAGAAGTTTTTGGCTGTAACTTTTTTATTTTACATTATTGTAGGCTCAAATTAAAACTCTTAGTATATTTTTCGACGCTCTATCGAATGGCGTTGCGAAAATCCCGACAAAATAAGCGAAAATACCGACAACTTTGAGACCCTTCGGCTGTGGGGGGGGGGGGGTAAAGTAAACTCTTACCAGGTTTTGTTATAGGAATAGCAAATACGAGTTATATTTACTACTAATGTATGTGCAAATAGATACCGGTAAAGATGAAGAAGGTCCTCTTCGGGTCGTCGTTGATCAGCTCGAGCCCGTCGGTGATCACCTCACGCACCGGGTAGTCTTTGGGGAATGTACAATTGGCGCATAGTCCGCGACACGGCAGACAGACCATAGCTCCTTTAAAGTTCGGGTCCCGCGCCGGGGCTGTTCCGCTAAAACAGCGCGTTTTCGTGGTTCTGGTGCGTTAGCGGGGGAGCCAAATTTTTCCGTGATTCTCTACGGCCCTATGGCAAAATATAAACAATTTTCGTACCATTTTAACTAGTTTTTAGGTTAAAAAAACCAATATAAAAAATAATCCAAAATTTGGAAAATTATTTTACTTATTGGTTTCATATATGAAAAATTACCAAAAAACTCATTTTTCGACATTTCGACACCCCACAATTTATCCAAAATCTGCATGACCTACACGGGGCATTGCTTCTTGCAGTAGCCGCGATACCAAAAATATCCCACATCGCAGTATGGGCATGGCTAAACCGAAAAATATTATGGCGCTATACCTCGCTATCTCTCCCGCTCTCTCACATTGACGCTCTCGCTTTCTCACTCTCTCTTTGCCCCACGTATCTCTCTCTCACTCTCTCTCTCTCTCTCTCTCTCTCTGTCTCTCTCTGTCGCTCTTTCGATCTCCCTCTGTCTCTCTCCCGCTCTCGCTCTCCCTCTCTCGCTCTCTCTCACTCTCATATTCTCTCGCTCTATCTCGCGATGACCCGCGCTCTCTATCTCTCGCTTACTCTCGCACTCTCGCACTCTCTCACTCTCACACTCTCGCTCTCGCTCTCGCTCTCTCTCTCTGTCTCTGTCTCGCTCTCTGTCTCTGTCTCTCTCTCCCCTACCCAACCTTGGTGAGATCCGGCGTCAGCACTTGGTGTGAATAGCATTGCGGGTAGCTCTCCTTATTCGGCGTCGCTTGATGGAATTCCTAGCATTGCAAGAACGTTTTTTTTTGGAGAATAGCATGCTCACATCTTCCACCGTTCGCTTCCCCCGGGCCTCGTAGCAATGTTCTATGGTCGGGCCTGGAAAGCGGTTTACCTTCCTTAGTATTAATTACCGGCGCGAGAGAAAACGCTCGCTCTGAATCTTTTGTTAAGGCAATTTCCAATCTTGGTGCGTTTTATGATATCACAAGCTCTCTAATACCTAATGCTTAGAAAAAATTCAGTGGCCCTCAACTTTTTCCCAGCCCAAAAAAATGGCGTCGAGCAAAAAAACCAGGTATGAGCCGCACTAAAGGTCCGATATTCTGTCGGTTTAATGGGTAGTGCCCCCAAATTATTGTTAGTTAGATGCTCCCAATTGCCCTCCAGATGCTCAAATCCATCATAAGAATTTTATTGCGCGCTAGGCTTACCAAATAACAAAAATTCTGCGACCAATTTCGGCCTGGAGCCGAATCGGCGATAATGAGGCACTTCAAAATAAAAAGAGTTTTCCGGAAAGGTGCAATTTCATTGATGTGGCTTTTTTTCTTATTGGTTTTATAGGACGCACTATTAAATTTAGACCGGTTCTGAAGAATTTTGAGCAAGTTCTAGGCAAAAAATGATGCCATCAATTGAGCCCGCGGCGCGCCTCAAAAATCGTCAGCGATAACCAGGATTTTTCCCTTCTATTTTCCTGATGAAGCCTCATGGACACAAGAACTTTTAGTATACGGTTGTTGTAAGGTCTACGCATATTTTTTCGTATCGTATTTTTGCAGCACTTCGGTTAATAAAATTTAAATTTCAAAGTTATAACGATTTTTAAGAGCTAAATATCGACCGATATCAGGGTAATAATGTTAAATTAAGCCATTTCGAGTTTAAATTCGCCATATTAATATATATTTTGGGTCTTAGTTGAGTACTACGATACATACTGATACATCTAAGAAAAAATCCGGTCGCGCTGACATAAAAATTCAAGTCCTATCAAGCGAGTTGCTTACCAATCGGTCATTTAATCGGTGATCCCATACTGATCGGAGAGCCTAATAAACCTTCCCCGGATTCTAATTTTTCGCATGTAAATCATGATTTTCCGGAAGTGCTGTATCTCTGTCCACAGGGCTCGGCAGGAAAATCGAAGGCTCAAGTCTAGGAAACCCCCCCCCCAGCCACAACTTTTCAGTCATGCGTCCTATTAATGCGCCGGGTATCTCAAAATGTTTGCCGTGGTCGAATTACTATAAACAAGGTGTTTCCTTACATCAAAAATTGTTAGAAAAATTTTTATAACAATTATAAGTCTGGGTTTTCTTTAATTAATTTTTGCTGTTCCAAAGTGAGTTTTCGTATCTCGGCTATCTTTTATCATACAAAGCTGTCAATAGTACCAAAATGTAGCTCTTGCTCTGTAGAATAAGCCTACAATGCATTTGAGTCGAAAAAGAGCGGAAAATAAAAATATTTGGGTTTAAAACGCTTAGTACATTGAGGCATGGCGACTTAATATTTTCACATTTCAAAATCTTGTAAAAAATTTTCTAACAATTTTTGAGGTATGTAAACGACTTTTCTATAGTAATTCGACCACGGCGAACATTTTGAGATACTCCTCGCATTAATAGGCCGCATGGCTGAAACGTTACGGCTGGGGGGGTTTCCTAGACTCTTACCAAATCGAACAGCGGCATCATGTTCTCCATAGTCGATTACCCGGGGATAGCCGCGAGCGTTTGAAGAAATTCCAACCTGTGCGTGTGCCCTTCCCTTGTCAGTTTTTCGTGATTGCTGAACCCGGTTAAAAATTTGGATAGGATGCAACTAAACAATCACCAATATAGTAAAACAACTCTATCAGATAAAATTTGGAGCCCAATTTTTTGGGGTAAAAGCGGCGCGCAGGTAATTAATCGCCACCCTGTAGATTTACGAGTTAGAAAACAACAACATTAAAAAATTGTCCCACCAAAACAACGGTCACACAGCTCGTGGCAGGGCAGACAGACGGGCACTTCTTCGGACGTCTGGTAGTGCCGGGGGCTGAAGAAGGAATTGAGCCGGTTTAGGTGATTTGCCGCTTCGCAATGTCATAATGCCAAACTTTCCAATTCCAATTTCCAGAACCTCAAAATTTCGGACACAAGCAGGCTTAAATAGTTTTTTTTTTGGCTAGAATGCAGTGTATACCACGCCTCCAACTTCTGTATCTCGGCTCCCCGTTCATCTACAGTTGTGTAAAGTATACCAAAATGTTCGTCTTGCGCTGGCGAATATTATAGTATACTTTAAATACCTGTAAATGAACAGTTTTCTATGCTTAGAAATAATTAAAACGTAGAAACCCATTCGCAAAACATTAGGCTTTCGCCGAAAAAAAAATCTAGGCCTTCGCCGAAAAAATGACATAATCTCGACATGTCGTTCTGTAGAAACCGGCAATGCCCAATTTTTTGGGTGGTTCTGTCGCGTTATCGGGGGTGGCTACGGTAGCAACTCACGGGCACATGTGGTGGCACTTGTATGAGGTTCCGGCTTTGGACGCGTTGCGGAATCCGACGAGACCCGGCGCGCATTCCGTGCACTGATCGGCTCTACTGGAAGGGGAAGAATTAAAGCGATAGAGAGGAAGAGAGAGAGAGAGAGAGAGAGAGAGAGAGAGAGAGAGAGAGAGGGAGAGAGGGGGAGAGAAAGGCTCTACGCACCTTTCGCACGTGAGACAGTACGGTGCGCACGGGATGCACTTGCCCCAACCGCGGTCGACGTAGTACCCCCTATAAGGCAGTAGTACGGCTTGGTGTTCCGGGATTACTGTGGGCAAGTTGGATGGACGCATTGCAGCCCTCCACCCCGGCCAAAAACGAGCCGCAGCGGATATTTGCAATCCTCGCACGCACCCGACACCTGCAATCGGGGAATTTAGGCGGGGGTGGGGTATATACATTTTACCTTTTTTGGTATTTTTTCATTCATTTTTGGCCAAAATTCTTCTACTTTTCGAAATTTTTACATTTTTTTTGATAGTTGATCTAAAACTTTGTAAAATGCTACAAATAGGGATGAGATTTTGCTATAAAGCCGTAGAGAATCAAGGGTAAAAATTGGTCCCCCCCCGCTAACAACGCAGTACCAAACAGTCATCGAGACCCTTCTTCGATTTGGATTAGAAAAATCGTATTTTGGTCGGTCCCCACGATACTGGAACAGCACCCGAAATGCCCTATGATCAAAGAATTTTGCAAAAAAAGGAATGATTAGTTTTCATAGATTAGTTTTCAACAGATCTCCCCCCCCCCCGATAATGCAAAAGCACCGATGGAACCCACTCTGCCGCATTTCGAGCACTGATCGACGAGCGACTCGCAGTCGTGACACACGTTTTGCCACCCATTCACCAGGCTAAAGGGGGCAAAAAAATGAAAAACAAAGGCTTCGACTCTACCCGCATTTCTTGCTCATGCACTTCGTCCCGGCGACGTTCAGCTGAGAGCCGCGCGGGCATTGGGTGCACGTCGAGTGGCGCTGGAAAAGTGATGATGGTACTGGTTTGTTAGCGCGGGGGTGCTAAGTGTTTCTCTTACCCCCCCCCCCCGCTAATGAACCAGAACCGTTATGAGGGCCTGAACCCAAAATCCCTGAATGCCTACCCCATCATAGAGGCAACGCGTGCAGCGCTGCGGGCACGTCAGGCATTTGTTGGCCTCCAGCGAATAGCATCCCGTGCTGGAATGGTTGTATCAGTGTCGAGTTTTTGCTTTGAGGATGATGTGCTTCCAGGTTAGCGGGGGAGGGTGAGCGGTTATTTGAGGCCGGAGGCCTTATCCTACATCCTAATCGGAACCACAGCCAAAATATCAATGTTTCGACCTAAAACGACGGATTTTTTTACCAAAATTTCGATTTTTTTTTGGTAGTTAATGAGTCTTTTTCTGATTTAAATTGCTTACATTTTACCAAAAACACTATGAAAATACTTCCGATTCATTTACTAGATGTTTCTAGACTTATAGCTAAAGAATGCTCGGAAATTTTTGACCTTTTTCGGGCATTTGTCGCACATTTTTGACCAGAACGTCTGAAATTTCCCCAAAAGTTGCTAAAAACAACAGTTGTGCCAAATGCCACAATGGAACAACCCGTACGTTTCATTGCCGCAGGCTCTCGATGCGTTGCCGAGGAACTTGTCCCATTGGTTATTGAAATAGATGCGCCACTCCGTGCACGTTTGACTGCCGAGCTAGAATAATTAGTATTATGACCTGGAATTAGTTCGGGCATTGACATGGAACAGCGCAAAGATCGAAAACTAGCTTGCATAACGTGCTCTTTCGAAACAACTATAATAAAGTAGTGGTGTCCGTCCGTGTGTGTGAAGCCGAATTCAACTCGAAGGGGAAAGGAGCTAGAGCTTAGCTCTCTTCGGATTCGGATAGAGCGCCGTCAGAAACCCCCAAATTGATAAAAAATTATTAAAAAGTTTTCGTTTAAATTAGCAAAATTAACTTTGAAAGTTTTTTTCCTTAGTAAAAGGTGTAGGGAACGGAGGTTGGGGTGATTTTGGACATAGTGAGCCAGGTGGCGCGCGTTTCGTGGATGAGAATTTTCACGGGAGCCATTTCATTTCTTTTATTTCTCCCACGTATCCGGTCGGTTGTTATTTTCGTTTTTAAGGGGATATGCTAGGGGAGGTATCTGAAGCCATCAGGAAGGTATCGAAGTAGTTTTTTAAGGGGATTTCGGCTAGGTAAGGTATCTGAAGCCGTTAGCGTGGGTATTGATGGAGGTGGGGGAAGGATGTGGTGGTGTGGGACATGTAGGATAGCCCGAAGGCCAGATGGTTCCAGTCGCGAAGCGACTGGAACCATCTGGTAAATCCACATAAGGTTTACGAGAATTTCGTGGAAACTCCTCCGACGATCAGGCCCTGCCCTCGCAATCGAACTCACAAATATTTTTTTAAAAATTAACCTTATGTCCAATAGCTCCTTCGAAAAACATTTTTTTGCTGAACAATATGCACTATTTAACTTTTTTTAAATTTTGCTTCTAGAATTCGTACGGGTTTTTAAAGGTTCCATTTTTGAGCATTTTCCAACTTTATAAAAAGAACAGTGTAAAAGTCGAAGAGGTCTGCGGCCGGCCAGGGGGGGGGGTGGCGTTTTTTTCGGGACATCCTGTAGTGTCAGCATCTTATTTTTTCCGTATTTCCCCTTTCAGCAACTTTATACCTTTGAGTTTAGCGGAGCGCCCAACATGTCGTGGTAGCGGAGTCCCAGTGCCCCTGTGCCATCCAGCTGATTGAAGAAGGATCCCCTGAAATGTCGCATGTTTTGAGGCTGAATTATCGTAATGCCGCAATTTCCTAATGCCAATACTTTATTGTGGAAATGGCGAAATTTCTTAATTTCGGGGGCATGATGTTGAAAATTCGCAGCAGCTGAACTCCAGATCACCCCCCAGCCGGCACCCAACTTTTGGATCTCGGCTCCCTGTTCATCTACAGGTGTGTAAAGTATATCAAAATGTTCGTCTTGCTCTGGCGAGTATTTTGGTATAATTTACACACCTGTAAATAAACAGGGAGCCGAGATACGGTAGGTGGAGGTCGGCTGGGGGGTAAACAGCTTAAGCCAGGAATTTCGATTTGCTGAAATTTCGATCGCGGAATTTGGACATTCCAAGATCCTGACTTTATGACGGCAAATCCCCTACTGATGGTAGATGAGAAGCGGTTCTTGGGTGGGGTCCGGCATCTCCCCGGTGTAGTTCCAGATCCGGCGGGATTCCAACTGGAAAAGATGTGGGTGCTTTTGCATTATCGGGGGGGCGTGGTGCATTCAATTTTTTTGCTATCCCTAAAACTCAAAACTCTAGAACATTTTGTTAAAATTAAAAAAATAGATTTTTTTTGATCAAAAATGGCCGTTTCTAAGCAAAATCTAGACGTTTCGAGTGCTTTTTACTTTGGCGTTTAAGAGTTTTTACTGAAAACATTATGCCTCCAGCCGACTTTTCAACCTTTCTACCTTTCTTATTTTTATTTCTCGCTACTTTTTTTTACTGAACTGCAATGTAGTCTTACTAATTAGCCTACGGCGAACATTTTGGTATACTTTAGCGCTCGCTAGCACAAAGGGGAGCCGAGATAAAAAAGTTGGTGCGGCTGGGGGGGGGGGGGTTTCCTAGACCCTTACCAAAAAATACTAAGAGTATTACTTTGAGCCTACAATAATGTCAATAATAAAGTTATAGCCAAAAGCTTCGGCTGGCTGGGGGGGGTAAAGTAACCGTGGCCAACATTTGATCCACCCCTGATAATAAGAAAGCACCGTCTTACACTTCCTAACTTCAAAGCTTTAAACAAAAATCTTCGGAAAAGTAATGTATTACCCCTGCATAGTGGGCGAGTGTGACTTCGGCATCGGGATCCTCACAGCTCAAATCCAGACGATCGGCACGCGCGTAGCCGACGAGCAGCCAGAAGAGCAGCACAAGGCCGGAGCGCATCGCGATGAGCGGGGAAAATGAGTGATTTTACGTACACTTAGCCCTTCGCTTTCATGCAAATTCGGTAGATTCTAATCGTGCGCCTATTAGCATGCAAGAAATATGCCAAAATTTTTATGCTCATTTTTTTTGCAAAACTTACATGATACGCCAATTAGGTATTCGCATAAAGGAGGGATTAGCACGCAAAAATTCGCCTTACTCATGGTGAAAATGCTAAGTTAGGGGAAATATTCAGCGAATAGCTATAATTGCGCTACGATGGACTCCTCTGGACACCATTTCTCTATGCGTTCGATACATTTTTGCGCATTGCTCTTTGATGCCTCCCTTTTCCCTTTAAAGGAGCCGGTAAGGCACGGCTATGGATTTTCGCTACCATCGATTCCCAATAACGTGTGATACGACTGCGATGCGAAACGCGCAGGTTGGCGCCTCGCGTCGCGCGCACGGCCGTTCCACAGCGTCCCGGCCACGGATGTGTTGCGTGTGGCGGTGGACGAAAAATTCCACTGCATAACCGATTACGCCCGTCCCACGGCCCCCGATCATGATGCGCGTTGCGTGTCGCGGCAAGCCGAAAGCAGCAAATCGGCACTCGAACACTCGATCCGACCCCAGCTTGGGGCGCGCCTAGAATTAGAAGAGTGTCCAAGGCCAAATGGCAGGCCTGCGCAGGGGGTACAGTCGCTGGCGCGCGTTTTGGGCGACGAGCCGCCGCCTCTGCACGTGGTTTTCAGCGGAAAAGAAGAAGAAGAAAAGAAGAAGCGGTTCCCTGTCGCACGCGACCGCGCCGCCCCGCACACCCTTCCATTCATAGGTGCGCTTCGGGGGACGTGAAAAATCGGCTAGTTTCGATATTCCAATCAAATACTATTTTTGCAGCATCCCCACCAGCCCACAGGCCTACTGTCAGTTTGTCGTGATCAACATTGAGCTTACAAAATGTGTCATTTACGTTTTTATCGTGACAAATCGATAAAGCATACAAATACCGAGCAAGTCTGGAATTAGAAATTTATAATTAATGTTGCAGTTTCACAGCAAAGACCGAGAAGCAGCAATTAGCGCAGCGTAAAATGCATTGTGTATTAAATGGTTTCCGTTTTTAGTCGTGGTAGGTACAGGAAGTGTGGTTGTGGTCGTAGGTTCCATCGCAGGTGTTGTAGCTTCCGGAGTGATACTATCGTCAGTAGCAGGCTCTGTTGTTGTCTCGAATATGACCTGTACAAAGACGCCGGTTCTGGTGCATTAGCGGGGGGGGGGGAACGGAGGCAACCTGCTTTATTCAGTTGAACGCCTGCATTGTAATAAAAAAGACAATCGATTTCTACAGTTTTTGAAAATTTCCGTGTACTAAAAAGGCATACAAAAACATAAAAAAGTTATATTTTTTTGCGTTTTTGTAACTTTTTCACAATTTTCGGCAAATAGTTAGTCAAAAAGTTTTTCAAAACTTTTGGAAGCTTTATTGTTAAACAGCACGATTAACTTTAACTTTAACATTTGTAATGGTTCTTTTTCAATCATCAGGCTCTTCCAGAAAAATAGGCAAAAAAGTTCCCCTTACTAACGCTCCCCCCGTTAATGAACCAGAACCAAAAAATTTGCATTGCAAGCTCTCGTACTCACAGTCGTAGAAACCGTCGTCACCGTGGTTTTTCCAGGTTTGGGAGTTTTAGGCGCTTTGATTGTTTTGTTTGTGGTATTAGCAGCGGTCGTAGTGGCCATAGTAGCGGATGTAGTAGTAGCCATAGTCGTAGTCGTGGCCTCCGGATAGACATACGGCTGAATCATGTCTCGATTTCTACGGAAAAACAATACCCTAAACTCGGGCCAATCCGGCTTGTAATTGGTCGCCGATATCGTGGCTGTCGTTTCGTTCCAATTACAGAGATCTTCGGCGCAAAATATGTATTTGTACGTGTTGTTGTACACGTAGATTCCGGCCTGAAATCCAGAATCAGTTTTTCCACTTAAAGGGGCTCCGAAATCTGGTCCACGGCCCCCTGCTGTGATTCCTGGCAAATAGCCAGATGCGACCGCGCCGCAGGACCTTTTGCCCCGGATTGGACGCGAATTGCTTGAATTTAAAAATGCTGATGCTATTTTTGGAATCCTCAACGAATTTCGATCATTCTAGACTTTTAAATTATGAAAATTGATCAGAGAATCACCGATATCGAGGGATTGGGTGCCTTACAAGCAGGGCCGTAGCGATCCCCGATTTTTTGGGGGGGGGGGGGGGGCAACTCCAAGAAAATTTTTTGGCAACGTATCAAAACTATCAAAAATAGCGCCGCAGGCGAAAAATTTTGAAAAACTTAGGGCTATGACAGTAAACACAGTTTTAAAAACAACTATAAAAAGCGCCGAAGGCAAAAAAAAATTTCACGAAAAAAATCATAAGGGTCCCCCCTTATAAATTTTTCGGACTTCGGCCGATTTTGGGGGGGGGGGCAACTTGCCCCAGTTGCCCCCCCCCCCCTTCCTACGGGCCTGCTTACAAGGCATTACGACATGTAATCGCCGCGCACTTAAGATGGCGTTTTCGCCCCAAAAAGAATTCGGTTTCTCTCGAATATTTTACGTTTTTCGTAATCAAATCACTCTACTGGCACCTCTAAGCAGTGACCCTTTCGTTTTTTGACCAGTAGGGTCAATCCCCGGACGCACGAATTTTGACTTCCGAACCCGTTAAAGGGGCTCCGAACTGCCAAATCAAAGCCCTTTTGGGAGGGCTCTTTGATTTCTGGCAAATTGCCAGCGGGCGCTGCGGGACAAGAGCCCTCACTCTTTCGATTTTTGCGCGAAGTTGTTTTTGTCCGGTTTCTTTGTGAAAACACTCTTCGCGCATGCTGAGCCCATTTTTGAAATCCTCACTCAATATTAAATAGTTTTGGTGTTTTAATCATCAAATTTGGCCCAGAAACAGCCGAGAACGTGATTTCGAGGTGACAACAGGCAATTTCAAATTTGCGAGCTTCCCGCGCCCCTAGGTGTACAGAGGCCTCCGACGTACAGGGCTCCCATTTTCGGGCCGTCACTCAATTTTTGGCATTTCGTAGCCCCTTTAAACACAGCGATACCTCGACGCGACCCGTAGCATACGTCGAGTCTTGAAGATAGCAGCCATGACGCGGAAAGGTTAGCTAGAAAAAGGCTAATTAACAGGTGTAACGGACTTACATCCTCTGGCCCTATAGATTCATCGGAAAGAATGATGACGCATAGTTCCCCTGTACAGCGATACTCATCCTCGTGGTACATTTCGACTAAAAAGCAGTAAGGTCGTATGAAACATCCGGCATAAAACTCACAATAGTAATAATCCCGGTTCGGTATACTTAAATAACAGTTGATCGTCGGCATCGTAGGTGTCAAATCAGTTATGTCCTCGTTGCAAAGGTCCTGCATTTAGCTTTAGACTTTTACATTTTTTTACGGGCTTAAAGGGCTCGGAACTGTCGAATCAAAGCCCTTTTGAGAGGGCTCTTTTTAATTTCTGGCAAATTGACATTGCCCGTCGCGGGGATGAGAGCCCCCGCTTTCGTCTTTTGCGCGAAACTGTTTTTGCTTGATTTATTTGTCAAAACACTATAATTCGCACATTCTGGGCTCATTTCTGAAATTCTCACTGAATTTTAAATAGTTTTGGTCTTTTAATCATTAAATTTGGCCCAGAAACAGCCAAGAATTTGGAGAACGTGACTTGGAGGTGACGACAGGCAATTTCAAAATCACGATTCCCGCCCTCACGGCGTACAAAGGCCTTCGACGTACAGGGCTCCGGGTCTCAGGTCGATGCATCCACCCGAAATCCAACCGAATAGCTGCCGGAATTCCGATCACGTCCAAGAGCAGGTGGAAATCGATCGGATTTCGATTGGAAACCGGGTGGATTCCCTGCGGATTACGGGCGGACAGGGGGAATCCGGTAGGTGTCCACCCGGTTTCCAATCGAAATCCGGTCGATTTCCGCCTGCTCTCAGACGCGATCGGAATTCCGGTACGGTTTACTTTACCCCCCCTCCCAGCCGGAAGTTTTTGGCTATAACTTTTTTATTCTACATTATTGTAGGCTAAATTAAAACTCTTAGTATATTTTTCGGCGCTCGCGCGAATGGCGTTGCAAAAATCCCGACAAAATAAGCGAAAATACCGACAACTTTGAGACCCTTCGGCTGTGGGGGGTAAAGTAAACTCTTACCTTCCGGCAGCAATCCGGGTGGATTTCGGGTGGATGCACGGACCTGAGTTTTCGGGTATTTTTACTATACTACCATTATTAGTATTTTTACTAGATGCTATTTTTGGCGGATCGGAGTCCCTTTAATGAAACAGCTCGGATCAGCAATTTCGCCGGACCCTGATCACCGGAACTTACGTATTGACAGTGGATGTACAATGGCGGCCCGCCACTGTTACGATCGTAGTAATAAGTAAAGCGGAGCCCTGGGTACGACCTAAACGCCATACATGCAAATCGAGCAACTAACAATGAACGGATTTCATTTCATCCCGCCTATTTGCATCTCGCCTACTGCTATTTCGCCTCCTCTTATTTCGTCTACATCTTATTTCGCCTACACCTTATTACGTCTACGTCGTATTTCGCCTACCTTTCATTTCGCCTATTCTGCATATTACCTTTTTATGCGCAACAAGCTTTAGTATACCTCCAGTATACGGTATTTTCCATGCTGAACATAACAGACTTTTTTTTTAGCTTTCTGAATCCAATATATAGTCTGGCCTGCTTTATACCGAGGTATCTGCCGCCCACTAATATGGATCGTTTAATCCTTTTGAGCAAAAGCAAACAGGATTTTTGGAATTGTCAGGGAAAAAAACAAACAGTGCTGGTTTCAGCGCAGTGTTGATTTAAAAAGCCAATCGGTTCTGTTCTATTTCGCGTGGGGGAAAAAACTGTGCGGGGGGGGGGGGAATATGCTTCGCGGAACCTTCCATCTTTTCGCTATTTTCTCGGGATTTTTGCAAAGCCATTCGATAAAGCATCAAAAAATATACTAAGAGTTTTTGTTTTAGCTAAAAATACTGTAATATAAAAAAGTTGTAGCAAAAACAAAAAAAAACTATTGAAACTGGTTCCGGAATGTTAGTTTTCGGCATTTTCGCCAGTTTTTCGATATTTTGAACCCGCCATTCGGTAGAGCATCAAAAAATATACTCAGAGTTTTAATTTCATCTTAAAATATCGTTTTATAAAATAGTTATAGCAAAAACAAGGTTTATTCGGTGTTTCCACATGGGATCGTGGAGTCGAAAGCTAGTTTTTGACATTTTCGATAACTTTCAAAAATTTCTTTAATGCCATTCGATAGAGCGTAAAAAAATATACTAGGAGTTTTAATTACAATTCAAAATAGCATCATATAAGAGGGTTATAGAAAAAACGAAGAAAATTTCCCCCCGCACAGTTTTTTCCCCCACGCGAAATAGAACAGAACCAGCCAATCTAGCTTGTTTTATCATGGAAGAAACCATATACCGAAGCTCTACTAAAGCTTTATGAGCAAAAACAGGCAATATGCAATGTAGGCGAAATGAACGGTAGGCGAGAGAAGATGTAGGCGAAATCAGAGGAGGCGGTATGGGATCTAGGCGAAATAAGAGGAGGCGAAATAGCAGTAGGCGAGATGCAAATAGGCGAAATCAAGTTTTCCCCAATGAACGATGTCACCTCCCAAAACTCCAATATTACCTGAAACTCGCAACTTACATTCTCCAGGGTTCCGCCGCCATGTTCTGCCCAAACATTACCGACCGCTCGCCACCCAGTAGGTAGCTGTTCATCTCGCTACCGCCACCATTCTCCAGCTGCAGAGAAAGCTCAAAACCCTGGTTTGCGCTCACCGGATAGTAATGTATTTCTTGTACGCAAGCTGACGACACGTTGTGAATATCCTCATCGCCACTCCAGCCGCCCTTATTGTAGCATTGGACAATGTGTCGTGTGTGGACTGGTAGGGAAACATTATCCAACACCGCCACCAGAACTGCTCCCGCTTCGTTTGTGGTAAATGTGGGTGGGGATGCGTTGCAGTTTGTCGTACTAAAATTGGTATACTAGCTGTTGCATCGGGAAAGCATACTTGCAGACACAGAAATATCGAGGTATCTCCGACGTGACATCATCGTATTCGCAACCCAACTTCAGATATTTCTTTCCGCTGATACAGGCCGCCATCTCCCATGATGATTCGGGCGGACCGGCCAACCAACGGAGGCACACGTCGCCCTCGCATGTGGGCCTGGAAGGATGGGAATTGCCTGGTTCAGGCGAACTGTAACCGTGCCCTCTGAATCCTGAGCTCAGCCGTAAGCTATCTTTTTTCGTAAAGGCTTGGTTAGGCGCAGGTGAAAAGTTCGGGCGCCGTTATCACCCGGGTTCGTCAATACAGACGAACTGTCCACATGTCAAGTTAAAGGGGCTCCGAACTGCCAAATCAAAGCCCTTTTGCGAGGTCTCTTTGATTTCTGGCAAATTGCCAGCGGGCGCTGCGGGACAAGAACCCTCACTCTTTCGATTTTTGCGCGAAGTTGTTTTGCCCGGTTTCTTTGTGAAAACACTATAATTTGCGCATGCTGAGCCCATTTTTGAAATCCTCACTCAATTTTAAATAGTTTTGGTGTTTTAATCATCAAATTTGGCCCAGAAACAGCCGAGAACGTGATTTCGAGGTGACAACAGGCAATTTCAAATTTGCGAGCCTCCCGGCCCCTGGGCGTACAGAGGCCGCCGAGGTACAGGGCTTTGATTTTCGGGCCGTCACTCGATTTTTGGCATTTTGTAGCCCCTTTAAAGGGCACGTTCAGGGACGATTTTTTGGAAAAAAGCAAAGAGTTTTGCCGCGGCCGGGGGTCGAACCCGGACCTCCCGCTTGGGAGGCGCGGATGGATACCAGTCAGCCACAGCCACAACCTGGCCAGAGGGTGAGGGGCGCCCCACCCCGCAAAGGAGGGGAATGGCCTGTCACAGCACGGGCAGGCAGTGCGCGCGGTCCCTACGTCCATAGGGTGTACACGTTGGGACGAGTACACGGCCCCTCCCTGAACGTGCGCTTTAAGTAAAGTAGGTGTCACTACTAAAGCTCGAAACCCTGAACCGCAAATCCTCACGCTCCCGTGATATTATTCTCGCCGAGGTCTTCGTAGTAGCATTGCAACGCATCCGACATCCGCATCAATCCAAATATCGCTGTCAAACCCAGCCACATTCTGGAAGCCTATAGAACTGGCGCGTTTTTTGAGGTTACAACTAGAAGTTCTGGTTAGTTTATATTCCCGTGGTTAGTCCGGTAATTCTAGCCTTTGGGGCGGGGTGCGACGGTTGGAATCAAGTAGTAGGAACCGGTAATTAGTCCCCACTCCTCGTGCTCGTAACTTCCTAAAAGCTACCTGATGTTGGGGTTTTTGGCAGTTGTAATTAGGGATGGGTTTTTCGGGGCTGCATGGGGGTTGGATTTTGCTTTTTGGGGAATAAGCTTGGGGTCAATCGGGATAATCTGGTGCTCAAAAAAAAGAGCTAGATTGCGGCGTAATGAGACATTTTGAGGTTGAAGGTGCTGGAAAGCCCCAAAATCCCGACAGCCAGAATCCCAGAGTTGAAAACCATTGATGAGCAAAACGACCGGAAATATCACATTTTCGACAAAGCTTTAAATTTCAGAGCTTCCCTGTCGTTTGCGTAAAGAGACCGGCGGCGTACAGGATACCGAAACACGCAGTAGCTCAATTTTTGGCATTTCTGGTCCCTTTAAATTTTTGCAGGAAAGGTTTTCGGTTCTGGACTTTAGCGGGGGAGCCAAATTTTTCCCAGTGATTCTCTACGGCATTTTCCCTAAACTTTCGAAAATTTTGTGACTTTGTTCAAAAGTTTATGAAAAAAGACCCCCACAACTAATAAAAACACTGGAAAAAATACATAATGTATCATCAACAGGTACTTCGGGGTGGAAAAGCAGAAAATGGTTTCCTCCGCCCCTGCTGAAATTGCCCCCCCCCCCTTAACAGCCCAGTACCAGATTTTTGCCGCCATTTCTGCCGCCGTGGTTTTTGCATGTTTTAATCTGTTCGAATCTATCATTTATCGATTCTGTGCTGTCCGGATATTTCAGGCAAAGTTTACAACCACAACGATAAAACGACAACGAGAAGAAAATAGCTAAAATTCAACGCTAAATAATTTGCAGTTTTCGCCGTAGTTGGGACAGGAAGCGGCGTAGTCGTCGTGGTAAGTTCCATTTCAGGAGTAGTGGTTTCAGGTTGCATACTGATTTCTGTAGCCGCCTCGGTCGTTGGGGCGGTCGGTAGCTAGAAATATACTCTCTCAAAGCTACGGTATCGTTTTTTACCGTCGTCAACACCGTGTGCTTCGTAGTTTTTCCGGCTTTTGTAGTTTTGGCCGGTTTCGTTGTTATACTAGGTGTAGACGGTATGACAGGTGTCGTAGCGGCAGTCACTGGCGGCTCTTCCGTGAAGTTGGTTACGTGAGGAACGGGAACGTAAGGCTAGAAATGGTGTGAATTCGTTTACTCAAAATATTTAAAGCTACTCTGAACTTATTAGAAAGAGGGGAGAGAGAGAGAGAGAGAGAGAGAGAGAGAGAGAAAGAGATAGATCGAGGGCGAGAGAAAGAGTTAGTAAGAGTGAGTGTGAGGTGAGAGAGAGCGAACGAGAGCGAGAGAAAGAGAGTCAGAGAGAGCCAGAGAGAGGGAGATATAGAGAGATGGAGTGACAGAGAGAGAGAGAGAGAGAGAGAGAGAGAGAGTGAGTGAGAGAACGAGAAACCCAGAAACCCACCACAAACTCTGGCCAATCCCATTGAAAATTCTTAATCGACTCCTCGGCCGTGGTTCTATTCCGGTTGCAATTATCCTCGGCGCATAATATGTAACGGAGGGTACCATTGAACGTGTATACGCCAGGCTGCAAAGTATAGATCAAAAAAGTTAGGTAAAAAAAGATACCTCGAGGCGCCCCGTGGCTCGCGAGGCATTTTGCATGAAGCAGCCTCGCTCCGGCTCTCGGGCCGTTTCCTAGAACATTCGCAAGTTGTTGGTTACATCCCGCTTTAGGGGACGTGTAGTAGTGAACGAGTGGTAGCGCAAAAAAAATATACAAAATGAGAACCTCACCTGAACATCCTCCGGCGACCATAGGTAGTTAAAAATACACAAATGGCCTTGACAATGGTAGATGGCTTCGTGGTATTCCTCCCCTATAACGAGCGAATCTTGAACGTTTCGAGACGCAAGAGTGTATGCATATAAAAATACCATCAAACGCGGCCGAGAAGGATAACGTTTCGACTGCATATTGGATATTTCACGAACCCGCAGCTTGAAGTTTGTGCAAAAAGTTTTGATTTGATACGCAAAGCTCAGAAGGAGCTTTTTGAGGTGATCTTGGAATTCCTTCGATAGCGCGTAAAATTCTGAACAAGTTCTATCCAAAACTGCTGAACGACTACGGTTTTCGAGCAAATTCGCTCTGAAAGAACCGATTTTGAGCATTTTGGCCCCCGCTTAGCAAAATGCGCACTTTCAGAAACTTGTACTCGAACACCGCTGTGATTCATTCGTTGTAACAAAAAATGGGGCTTGTGCAGAATTTCAAGCTCTATCCAATGAGTTATGTCGCATTGCAAAATTCCATGATAACATAAAAATCGGTAAGAGTCGAGGAAACCCCCCCCCCCAGCCGTAACTTTTCAGCCATACGTCCTCGTAATGCGTGGAGTATCTCAAAATGTTCGCCGTGATCGAATTACTATAGAAACGTCGTTTATATACATCAAAAATTGTCAGAAAATTTTTTACAAGATTTTGAAATGTGAAAATATTAAGTCGTCATACCTCAATGTACTAAGCGTTTAAAATTCAATTATTTTCTGATTTCGCTATTTTTTCGATTCAAATGTACTGTAGCCTTATTCACAGAACAAGAGCTACATTTTGATACTATTGACAGCTCTGTAGAACAGAATATAGCCGAGATACGAAAACTCAGTTTAGACCAGGAAAAATTAATTAAAGAAAACCCAGAATTATAATTGTTATAAAAAATTTTTCTAACAATTTTTGGTGTATGGAAACAACTTTTCTATAGTAATTCGACCACGGCGAACATTTTGAGATACTCGGCGCATTAATAGGACGGATGGCTGAAAAGTTGTGGCTGGGGGGGGGGGGGGGGTTCCTAGATTTGAGCCTAAAAATCACTTTAGCAAAAAAATCTAGATAAGAATTTTGAATCTCGAAACGCGGCCTTGCATTAGGTGTTTTCCTTGTAAAAATTCCAAACAGGGTTACAATAATAATAATCGCGATACGCGGGCACATCATATTGGTAGCAAGTGACGGTGGGTTCCGTAGGAAGCAGGGCGGAAATGTCACTATTGCACGGATCCTGAAAGCGTACTTCTTGTTTCGCAATTAGCGATTTCTGATCAGAAATTAGTCAACTCACATGTTGACAATTCAAAGACAGGGTCGAGTAGTCGTTGGAAAATCGGAGGTGGAACACGAGCCCAGGGTACGATCTGAAAGTTCTAACTTTTCTTTCGAAATCAGCTTACAGTCTCCAGTCTCCGTTCAACGGATTCTGTCCAAATATCAGCGTCTGGTCGCCGTCAGACTCACTATTTAATGGCGTGAAAAAGCTGACTTCCCCGTGCTGAAATTAGTGCTGATCTTTATTCGATCACGCATTACATGGCGTCCCAAAAAAAAACATACCTAGCGCTCCGCAAACGTGTCCGAATTTTACGATTTAGGTATCTAACGAAAGCGCTCGACGAGTTGAGGAAATCTGGCCGCTCGGATTTTGAAATCCAGAAGTATTCGCTCGATTGGCGGTAGTTTTCGTGCCAACGCCATACGTTTTTCATAAACCCAATTTACTCGGCTTAAAGGGGCTTCGAAATCTGGTCCACGGGCCCCTGCTGTGATTCCTGGCAAAGAGCCAGATGCGGCCGCAACGCGACCGCGCCGCATGCTCTTTTGCCCCTGTTTGGACGCGAAAACGCTTGAATTTAAAAATTCTGATACTATTTTTGGAATCCTCAACAAATTTTGATCATTCCAGACTTTTAAATTATGAAAATTGACCAGAAAATCACCGAGATCGAGAGATTGGGTGCCTTACTTGGCATTACGACATGTAATCGCCGCGCGCTCAAAATGTCGTTTTTGCCCCAAAAGGAATTCGGTTTTTCTCAAACATTTTACGTTTTTTTCGCAATCAAATCACGATTTTGGCACTTTTCGGCAGTGACCCTTTCGTTTTTTGATCCGTAGGTTCAATCTCCGCACGCACGAATTTTGACTTCTGAGCCCCTTTAAGCACCATCGCAGCTCTTTTTTTATGTTGGACTGTCGCAAGAGGTATGAATTCATACATTGTGATGTGCAAAAAAATCGGAGAAGCATCACAAATTGGTCGATTTCGCAAAAATATTAGTAATTGAAGGAAATATTTCGGTAAGGGTTTCCCTTACCCCCCCCCCCCGGCCGAAGGGTCTCAAAGTTGTCGATATTTTCGCTATTTTTTCGGGATTTTCTCAACGCCATTCGTTAGTGCGTCAAAAAATATACTAAGCGTTTTAATTTGAGCCTTCAATAATGTAAGATAAAAAGTTATAGTCAAAAACTTCCGGCTGGGAGGTGGGGGGGGGGGGTAAAGTAAACCGTAACCAATATTCCGGAATTTCGAAGATTAGAAAGGACTTCTCCTCAGCCCGTCGAAAGCTTTCGATAGATACCGAAATGCTAAGAATCGGGCACGTCTCGACCCGCTAGGTAGGGTTTTTTTTCGGACACCCTTTGGATAACCCCATGCGCGTTGTAATTCAACCAGGTATACGGTCGAGCCGCCACTTACGTAATAATCGTAGATATATCTCTGTACACATGCGGCGGCTCGCTCAAAGATTGGCAGATCCATTTCTTCAGTGTCCAAATCGTCCTGGCTGTCGATCTGGTAGCATTTGACGAGCTCGCGAACGCGAACTGGCAGTTTCAGATTGCCCAGCTCGGCTTCGACCACCACGCCAGCACTATTGGTCGTAAAGATAGGGGGCGAGGCGTTGCAGTTGGTGGTGCTGAACGTAGCGGATAAGTTACTATAATTCCGTAATGCTCACTTGCAGGCAAAGGAGTAATTCGGTGTGGCACCCGATACAGCGTCATATTCACAGCCCATCGTCAAGTACTTGAACCCGCTCATACATGTGGCGTCTTCCGTAGAAGAGCCCTGAGCGCCGGAGGTGAATCGGAGACAGACGTCACCTTCGCAAGTCGGGCTACAGGAAAGATGATATGAGGTAAGGTAGTTGGTATAAACCCTCAAAATACTGTTCTTCCAACTAACAACTTGTAAGCAGGTCAACCATAGGTGGTTCTGCTAGTTCCAGGCTAATGACATGAATTTCCTACTGGACGCATGTACCATTTTATTGTTACAAGATGTGGGAGGGAAGCCCGAGTAAGGCGAAAACGCCCTGATTTTACCTCGATGCCAGGGCCAAGTCGTTACGGAGCCGGAGAAGTGGGAGGTTCAAGTCAGCGCGGCGCGCAGGCTTCAGGCGCAGGTCCCAGCCCGAGGCTTGTTAGAGCCTCCGATTGGAACCAGTTTTTACCAGGAGTTAGCTTGCAACAGGCGGGTCACGATGGTCAATTTAGAACTTGCGGAAAATTTAAGGCCAGCGTGTTATAGCGATTCTCGAGCCGCTCGAAAATCGCTCCAGCAAAATTCTATCGTCTACATATGCCTTTTGGAATCAATTCGGAAGTCTGGAAGTTGATCTGGTACAACTTCTGCAAGTGAAAGTTTTCTGAAAACATCTTCTGTGGGATTCAATCGTTAAATTGGCCAAAATTCTCTGAGGAAAAGATCGGCCGTCAAATCCTAGCTAATGGCCGGCGTACCGCGCTGGCTTCACACGGTAACTTCTAGGGCTTTGTTTAAAAAATATGGCAGATTAGCAGAAAAGTACGCACGATTTCTGATTCCCCATCGGGTTGACTACAAAATCACGAAAACTTGCGGTCCCACGACCCTTCTAGCTCGTTTTATGGCCGAAAACCGTCAGTCCCGTACAAAAACTTACGCTCCGGGCTGGCCAGAATCAGTGCTCGCATAGTAGCATTGTAGTGATGATGTCATCGTGTAGTTGGGAATTCTGGGGTCCCATGGCCATGGACTAGCTCCGGGTCCAATCCGCAAAACAAGTGCTCCGGGCGGGGGTCGAACCCGCATCCTACGGCTTTCGAGTCCGATGCTCTCCCTATTGAGCTACCGAAGCACGCGGAATGCCTCTCTCGGGGCAGCTATCCATGCCGGCCCCTCACATCCAAATGAAAGGAAAATAAACAAAAATACCCACATTTTTCCAAAAACGGAAGTAGACTTTCGGGGGAATACGTTCGGCAGCTGGCACCATAGTCGATACCTCCTCACAAGCTACCCCATTATTAGAGAGGTAATTAAGCGTTAGAAAAGTGGGGAGACGACCAGGATGCCGGTTGTGAAACTACAATTAGCCGGGGGCAGGGATTGCTACAAAAACGGGTTGGGAGCTTTGGAGTTTTTCGCAACTATTTCATTTTGAAAGTTGGTCTTGAACCTTGTTTTGTTGGTTTTAATTTAGTAATTTGTTAACTTTGCAAAAATTAAGTTCCAGAAGATTTTGGTGAACTAAATAGCTTTATTTATAGTTGCAAGCGTCTTGAAAAATTTTATAATTCTTCGTAAGTCTCCTTCCACTCGTACGGGCAATAGTCGGGCCAATTGATCGGCTGCGCGCGGTAGCCGCGACGCACCATGCGGCATCTGAAAAATGCTTGCTATTGTCGCGTTTTTAGTATAAAACTCAGCTTAATCTTTCTGGCTATAAGGTATGCTCGATACCAAAAGAGAGGAAATTACAAAAAAACTCACCTGTGTTCGTGTAAACGCGGCCACGCTGCCTCTGGAGTTTTCGTATCTTCAGGATTCGACCAAAGCCTTTCGGCAACGGCTGATGCTCGGGGCCTAGGAAGTTATAAACTTGTTGAATAGACTACCGTATGCTACAATGTTCTACAGGGTGGCTAGAAAGTATTTGCCGCACCTTCACTCCGGTTTTAACCTGCTAAAATTTCTGCGACCGATGCATCTGGGGGGTGTATTCTGTAGAGAATTTTTTGCTCTATCGATTGATATATAGAAACATTCAACTCCTTGCTCGTATAAATTTAATTGGAGTTAAATACATAAAACGGTGTTGTTTATATGGGTTTCGGCACCTTTGAGGCCCTCGAAAAATTTCTTAGTGGATATCTTATTCTTTTCCGGTGCTGTATCGTAGAAACAATGATCTAAACTATCTAAAAAAATTATGCTCGGGGTACCTCGAGACTTAGATGGATCACGGAAGTGAAAGTAAAATTTGGCGAGTGGGGTGCGCCGAGATTTGTGGCTGGCAACCATTTGCCGCAAAAGAATGGGTTCTAAAAATCGTTAATTCGAGAGCTTGCCTTAAAATTACTATTAAAATGTAGTTAATGCATGAGCCTACCAGGCTGACACTTAGAATAGGGCCAAAATAATTGAAAACGCCGGCCTAAAGCATTTGAAAATTGTTCGAAACCAAAGGCAAGAATGTACTTCTTATTCTTCTTTTATGGCCACAATATCTTAAGTTACGGCTATCCGATTGGCTTTTCCTATCCAGGCGGTTGGTTTTGTTGTGTCCACAAAAGAAAAAGGATTGGTGGCATGTAAATGTGGATATTTGAGTCATTTTGTTTTTATGCTGCAAAAACTTCTTGTTCCGGTCTTTTTGGGCACTCCAAAAAATCTCGGAAAACTTTTAGATACGGCTAAAACGAATTTTTCTGGTTGATACGTTCAATAAAGAGCCTTGCAACAAACAAAGCCCAACTTCCTATTCTGATTGGTTTGAAGCAAAAACCGCAAAGGTCAACACTAAAGGCAAAATACGTGCGGCGCAGGCTCAGGTTTGGATGCACCTTTAAAAGACCGTATCTTAAAAATCTGAGGTCTAGGGCGTTAGCTTTTTTGCTAGTCGTAAAGAGAGGTCTCTTGGCTACATTTTGGCTATAGAATGGCAACGAAGTCGGATACTGAGAATTTCTTAAGGAGCTTTCTCTGCGGCAAATACTTTCTAGCCACCCTGTATTGATAGCATTAAGCTTAAGTGGATTAAAGGGCACGTTCAGGGACGTTTTTTTGGAAAAAAGCAAAGTCTTTTGCCGCGGCCGGGGGTCGAACCCGGACCCCCCGCTTGGGATGTGCGGATGGATACCAGTCAGCCGCAGCTACAATCTGGCGAGGGGGCCGAGGGGCGCCCCACGCTGCAAAGGAGGGGAATGGCCTGTCACAGCACGAGCAGGCAGTGCGCGCGGTCCCTACGTCCATAGGGTGTACACGTTGGGACGAGTACCCGGCCCCTCCCCTGAACGTGCGCTTTAAAAGTAATACCACAGCGTCGGGATCAAATTCGTGCCATCGACAAACTCGCCCCACATCGCCGCCTCGCCACCGAGCACCCGGTCCTAAAATGACCGTATTAAAGTAATCAATAGCATTAAAAATAGTATAAAACAAAACAAGCATAGAGGCTATGGCGATGCATAAAGGAGTATACCAGTTTCACTACCTTTTCCTCCTGAGTCCCATAAAAATCCTGGGGATCGCACTCGTAGAACATCCCTCGGAAGTTGAAGTTTTTTCCATTCAAGTAGCCCCAATCCGGGCCATAGCGAATTCTATTTAAATACCTTAAATAATTTTTTGAAATAATACACACGCCTAAATCCCCTTATATCCAATTAACGTACCAGCAACTACTGAAAATCACTTGATGGCCTCGTCTTGTCAGTTGTGATAGTGATTTCTTCGCCAAATCAATCGTCGTTCCATCCCAAACGTGGACGAGAGTGTCCTTTGACTATAAGTTGCTTGATTTTACACGTATTTTCTGTTCTGCCCTTTTATACTTTGTGTCTTAAAGCTGGTGGTGTTAAAACCTAAAACCCACCAACTGCCCTTCCGCCTCTGCCGCTTCTTGCCAGACCACCCTTTTTGTGCCTGGTCTCGCTTTTTCGATCGATTCGAAGAAGCTAAAAAATATTTTGAAGCCAGCAAATCCTAAAACCAACCGTTTCCAATAATATTTCAACAGTTTCTTCGTGTCGCCACCAAATCCTTGGCGTTGCATGCGTTTTCGCAAGGCCTTGTTGTTTTGCCTAAAAAAGGAACAGAATTGAGGCATTAAAAGGGACAAGTTATAACTTCATCTATTTTTTTTACTTCAGACTTTTATGTTAATTTTGATTATAATTAGAAAATTAGGGCATTTTAAAGGAACAGTAAAGCTAGGCGTCCGCCGAAAATCTACCAGCAATCCTTGATATCCTGCGCCACCTCATCGCCACCAAAATGCATGTATTCGTCGGGGAATAGGTTGAGGGCCTCCTGAATTAGTAAATTTTTCGGAATTAGGCTTAAAGATCAGCTAGGATACCTCAAAAGCTAGATGATACCTTAAAGAACTCCTCCAGGAACTGGTAATTTTGTGAAAGCGTCGGGTCGATCAGACTTGATGGTGAATTACGATCCGAGCATTCCGCCAAAAGCCCGGGTTTTCCGCCGGCCCAGGAGCCAGTGTGGGCTGAAAATAGCACATTATAAAGTTTGATACCTCAAATAGAATTTGCATAAGATGTTTTACCAGGAGTGTCAAATTCCGCCACCACCCTAATTCCACGTAACCTCGCGTAGTCGATTACTTTCTTGATATTAGCAACAGTATAGTGGTGACGAGGGCTGTAGGCGCCCTAAAAAGTAGAAAATTGGTTTAAGTAATTCGCTAATTACGTGGCGTGTACGCTTAAGACCAGCATACCTTTGCCGTCAAATTCGGGAATTTCTCCGAAGGATAGGGAAAAGCTTCCGAATCCACGAGATGCCAATGGAAGACGTTCATCTTGTTTTGGGCCATGATGTCCTTAAGCTTTTGAATTACGTAAATATTTATATACCAAATTTTCTAGAATGATCTCTATCGGCAGAAAATGACGACTCGAATCAAGCAAAATTCCACGCCACGAGAAACGGGGGTGATCTCGGATGTCGACGGAGTGGATTTGGAGCTGAAAAATTAGGGGTTTAGGAGATTGGAAAGATATATCTTTGATTTTATGGATTGTTATAAGTTTATGAGCCCTTTTGTGGATTCATTATCGCTATAGAAAACTTACGGATCCGTCAGCCGCTTGGAAGATAAGCTGCGTAAAGCTTTCCAGGGCCCGCAAAATCCCCCAAACCTGATTCGCCTCGATTTTAGCGGTAGTTTTATCGATAGGGATAGAGATTGAGTCTGAAAAAATGGAAATATTTTTCAAACAGATACAATTATAAATTCCAATGCAAAGCCGTTTTTGTTAGATCATAACACACGCTGATATTGCATATTTTTGCTCTGAAGTTGTTACAGTTGCTTAAGCACTATCTCGTGCTCTTTTCTCTGAAAACTGACAACTCTCATCCACATCGATTTGTGGTACTCCGGTCGGGCAGTCACCACTCAAGATATCGATTTTTAACGACTTCAACTCCTCCAAATCTTCGTCGGCGCTAGTGGAATTGATTTCAAAGCCCCGAAACGCCAGCTTTTCCGCCCTTGCCAGGGCTTTTTGAATGATATCGCAGTCGGTTACGACATTCTGAAAAACGTCACAGTAGCTGCGGAAGAGAGCCGACAAAAATAATGAAAAACTTTGATCAAACTTACGTTAAAAAATTCTCTGTTAATCGCATAATTTTTATCGTGATATGTGATTTTCCAGGGAAGAGGCCAGACACCGCCTCTAAAATTTACGCTCTTTTTAATTCCAAAAAAAACTATACTCGGACCATCGATTCGGCTCCGGTCGATTCAAAAACCAGCCATTAGCGACTTGCCAAAAACAGAAGAATAAGATTAGCATGGGAATCAGCGGGAGAACGAACTCCTCTAGGGCGTCGTGATATGGATATTTTCATGGATATGGTGATAAGCCTGATAAGCATATGCGAAAAGGGAAAGTGTGAAAGAAACTTGAAAATGGGTCATATCCTGTTCAAGGCATAAAATTACAGGTCTAAAAATGGCAAAATACGGCCTTAAACTTTTGCAAATCGAAGGAAACGACGAGCAACAATTCGGCAAAACGGGATGACACCAAATGCGTAAAAACGAAATCATCCCTCCACTTCTACCCGCCTTTAGTTTTTTTCGGGCCCAATTGAAGTATCGAGCCCGAGGCGTCGGATCTTTAGCGCCATCTTTATGGCTGTTTTTTCATAGATTTTCCGAGTAGATCTGAAAAGACAGGAGCTTGAGCTGGGGGATGATTTCTAAAAAATCCGGGGGCCAAAGATCTAAAACCAAAAAAAATTCACCTAGCTGTATCAAATTTATTAATTCTTAAAATCATTTTATTGGCGGACTTTACCTCGGTACACCTTATATTTTGTTTGTTCGCCCATGTTCAATTTTTTTCCGGTCGCGAAGTTCCTCCGTTTAATTTTCACCGGCTGAAACGGCCATTATCAAATTCAAATCAGTTGCTTTTCCACAAAGCTTTAGCGCTAAGCCAACGAAGCCAGTTTCGACACACCTTCCCCTGTTTTGAATTCCGATCAAAAACCCGAGGTTGAGCGAGGTTTCTTCGGCTCAAAAAGTGGCCAGCGCGGGCCTCTGTGGTCTTGTCGAGGCCCTGGAGAATCTCCTTCGAAAACCCATTAAAGGTACGGTAGTGCTGTCGTGAAATTTGTCGATTGATAGCACATAAAAGGTTGATTTTCTAATTTGGTTTTGGGTACTGTGGAGTCTGAGAAAACACGGCAACCTTCAAGTCCGTAATGCGTTGTCAGGCCAATTGCCGCTGTAATGGTGATCGTGATATCAACCGCAGCCAATTTCTGATGTATTAGGCATACGGTACTTTCTTTCCACGTGCGGATCTTCTGTAAGTTACGGTAGCCGTGTAATGAAAATGAAACTAAAAATGCATTTTAAAAAACGGGTCTACGGTAATCTTTTTCAAGTCCGTAGTGTGTCACCTGGCCCAAAATATTGTTGTAGTAAATGGCTCCTTTCAGTTTTTATTAAGAAACGATGGTACGGTAGCCTTTCTGCGGTAACTTGCGCAGCAAGAATACCGTACTAATGGGCATCAAAAATTTGTCGAGCGGATGCGTTGCCCGCTGTGTGCTGCAAAAAAATCTCTGCGCTTTTGGGTACGGTAGCTCGAGAACGGCTCGGAAAACCGGGGGAAAAATCGTGAAAAAAGTTTGAGAGCTCATGTTTGGAGGAGTTAATCAAATGAACTCTACGGCTCAGGTCGAAAGGATACGGTGTTCTTTATCGAAACGTTTCAGCAGATTTTTTTCAAGCTCACAAGGAGTGCCTTTTGAGTGTCATCGGCAAATCCCTTCGAGACCTAGCTCATTCGATAGAGAACTGAAACCTGAACAACCTCTCGGCGCCCATTTTTGCAGAATGCCTTTCTTTGATTTTATAAAATTAAAAAACTAAAAAGAGAATTTATGCGTCCACGTCGGCACGTTGCGGCCCCGAGCGAGCCCCAAGGGGAAGAGGCCCTCCGGTCCCTTCTTCCCACCGCTAGACGTGGCGCAGTGGCTAGAGCGTCGGTCTTCCAAACTTTTTTTGCTTCGGGTTGCTAGTTCGATGCCGTTATTGGTAATTACTTTTGCTTTTGTTTTTAAAAACACTTTTGTGACTTTCAGAGCGTTTTAAGAATCTGAATAATTGTTGGCCGTCACAGTCCCAGAGAAAATTTTGACCAGAGAAATATCCTGACCTAGCCCAACGTGGAAACGTTGCTAATGCCTCCACCATGACCCAGAAATGCCTAAAAGGTGTGGAAATATCATCAGGGTTCAAAACGCAAAAGGAAACACGCATAAAACAACCGAACCTTCAACCAAAGGCAAAAAGAAACGTCGTAGGTCGATGCGTTAACCGCTGCGCCATCGGCGATGATGGGTGAGGGCGCACCCGTGGGCACTTCACCTAGGGCTGCTGGGCGCTTGTCTGGCGACAGCAATCGAGGAACTATGGGATTTTCGCACTCTAGTTTTTTAATTTTATAAAATCAGGAAAAGCCATTCTGCAAAAATGAACGACTAGGGGTTGTTCAGAATTCAATTCTCTATCGAATGAGCTAGGTCTCGAAGGGATTTGCCGATGACACCCAAAAGGCGCTCCTTGTCAAAAGTTAAAAAACCAAAATACATTTGGATCTTTTGAAATGATGCCGAAAATAATTTATACTCCGTTGTGTAATGGATTAGGAATAGCTAGTTGCCAGGTCCGAATCCGCTTCCCTGTGGGCTTCAAAACATTAACTCACCGTAACTTTCGAAGTCCGACTGTTTTCGAGGTTACGATAAATTGCTGCTTGATACGGTTTCGCTATTAGGCGGAGGGCAGGGTGTAAAGATGAAATCGGTACGGAGTAATTGGGTAATTGGGCACCAATCCCTCGGACTAGGTTACGGTAGCTGGTCGAAAGTGATTCGTTCGAGGGGTGTAGTTGGGAAATTCAGGCAGGATCTGGCCTACTAGGTATTGTAAGGCTGTTCTTTCTGTGTACTGTAACTCATTTTTAGGATACTGTACAATAACTACAACACAATAACTTCGATTTTAATTGTTAGTTGCCAGATTTGCGTACCATCAATTATTCAAAGTATGCCCTAGCGGCACCATACCTTTTTGAGAATCCCGTAATCCAGCTATTCACAGGTTCTGGAAACCGACAATAGTCATTATGCTTGTTCTCGTTTTCTGTCTACAAAATTTTGCAAAAACAAAAACCCCTAGACTTCCCCCTATTCGAGCTGAGGTGCGCGTTCGTGTTCGCCGAAAATCGTGCCCCAAGGCGGCGGTTAATGGCTCCCGGGCGCGAGAGAGAGCGCGAGAGCTCGAGAGATCGAGAGGACTGCGATATTTTAAGCCGATCGCATCGTGAGGCTTTTTGGGGAGTGTGGGAGGGTGATTAAGATCAGCTCCCCTAAAGGGGTTCCCCAGCTTCGGATCGGATTACGATAGATAAATCGGTTTTTCACGTGCCTGGCGGATTTTTGAGGCTTGAATCGAGTTACGGTTGTCAAATGAACTTTCAACCGTATTCCTAATTTTTCACAATCGGTTTCTGGCCTCTGGACGTATCATGGAAAGTACAAAAACCTTCCACTTGGGTTTGCTTGAACTAGGGAGGGAGAGAGAGGCGAGAGAATGCTGCAAAGAGGAGAAAGGGGAGTGCAAATGCGTCAAGCGCAGTGGGATTCGCCGATGAGGAGAATCAACAAGCCCATAAATTTCTCAATCACTCACATCCGGTCCCGCGCCGCTCTCACCATCATGCAATTTCGGAGGAAGGACTTGGTGTACCCGGAAATCAGCAGAGATTTTGAAAGTTGAAAAGATTAAGCTGCTATGCTTCACTGTATCAGGAGTCTCAAACTCAAATATTTTTATTTTGCGATCTTTAAACGTACTGTAGCCTTATTCTACAGACCAAGAGCTACATTTTGGTACCATTGACAGCTCTGTACGACTAAAGATGGCCAAGATACGAAACTCACTTTGGAACGGCAAAAATTGGCTAAAGAAAACCCCGACTTATAATTGTCATAAAAAAATTTTTAACAATTTTTGGCGCAAGTAAACAACTTTTCTAGAGGTTTCCGACCACGGCGAACCTTTTGAGAGACTCGGCACATTAATAGGACTTATGGCTGAGGAGCTGGGCTGGGGGGAGGGGGGTAAACTGCACTCTAACCAGTTTTACGACAGTATGTCAGAGAGAGCCCTTTTAAGCTAGCAGATAGCTAATTCAGGGACCGCAGATTGGCTTCCCGAAAGGTCGAAGCCCCCATTGAAAGAGGTTAAAACATTTGTTAAGGTCCTTAAATTGTCGCTCGATTTTTACAGCTATGCAATATTGTATTTTCGAAATTTTTACGGTTTTACCAGGCCCCCAATAATTTATCGCCTTAAATGTCAACCCCACTCCCCTCCCGGATTAGTCCGAAAACCAAAAATCCCCCGACCAGGTCGAAGATAGCCCTTTCCGGTGTTCGTATCCCTCGTCAGGGTGGGGCTCGCTCACCCGGTCAAATGTTTTTATTAGTATTTTGCGGGATGGGTGGGATCGGATACGATCCTCTCGAGTGCCTCCCCTTTCAGCCCCGCCCCCCCCCGCCCGCCCCGGAATCAAAATATATCAGTGGAAGTTCCGGAGCTGGCGGACCAAACGACTTGAACTGCTTGCGCCGCAACTTCTCAATTTGGGGAAACTTCAGTCCATGCTTTTACCATGTTTTTCGGCTTTCGGATGACGTTACTTTGGCACAGATTCAATTTTAAAAGATGCTCTTCTCAGAATATCCATATAATTTCTTTGAAAACAAATTGCTAGCTTTCTAAAATTTTGAAAGGGTTGATCCCTGGGCTCAAACAGTACGTTCCTAAATTAGCATTGAAACATGAAACAATCTCGATTTTACGATGCAAAATCTTTCTTAAACGTCTCAAAATTTTCCAGATTAAATAATTTTGAAGCTAGCCCTGTCGTATGAATTCGCATTTTTGTGAAAATTCTGTACATTGAACCGTCATATGCGGAAAAAATGTGACCTCCGCCCCCCCCCCTCCGTAATAATACCTGTTCGATCAAGGGATTATGCGACATGTGAACCGGTTCAGTGCGAGGAACATAGCGAGAGAGAGAGAGAGAGAGAGAGAGAGAGAAACCATACAGTCAGAACGCGAATGATGGTCGTTTTGTTTGGCGGGGGGGAGGCTGACCCATCCGCCAGCTCAAAAATTGATAAATGCCCATTTTCGTTGAGTAAGCGCCCCCCGGATCATCAACACGATTATTTTTACACTTCCCTCCTCCCGCCCGATTTTTGGGGTATTTTATGCCCGGAAATGAGCCACTGTTTATAGATAGCGGCTCGGAGGTTCTGAAATTTTCCTTCCTTTCTCTTTTGCCGGTTGATACTACGAAAGTACCGAAGTCGGAGCTTTGAATAAAATCAGAATTTTGATCAGGGTTATTTTTTAGGGATAGTTGACCGGTCGAACCGTTTGACCACTCTCCTTTAATTTTTAATTTTTTTTTTGGTTTTTCCAACTTTAGGAAAAAAAACCTGATCAACCATCAATTTTCTAACTTGTTGTATAACTCGTTATTGTCTATTTCGTATTTTCAAATAATTTCTATGTTTTATACGTCGATAAATTAATTTCAGAATCCACTCGGTAGATGGCGGCCCAAGAACCACAGACCAAGCTCGAGCCGCTCAAAATGCCAAAGTAAGTTAGTGCACCGTCCAGTGATAAAAAGTATGCTATGAAGAACTAAACATGTCAGCAATGACGAACTATGTGGACATTTTGGGATTCTACGAAATTTTTTAGCGGCCAGCCCCAAGAAAAAGTGGTCCCTCACCGCCCTCGCCGATCTTTTGCCATCCGTCTCTACCATTGGTTATGTATTCGTCACTTGTTCATCTCCGGACTGTTGCTCGGATTCACTTTTCTATCTGCCTGGGCCATATGGCAAGTTGAGAAGGCGGCTGAGGAGCAGGTACGTCAACTTGTTACCTTTCTCTATCTCTCTCTCTCTCTCTCGCTCTCCCTCTGTCTCTCTCTCCTTCTCTCCCTCTCTTTCACTCGCTCCTTCTCTCTCTCGCACTTTCTCTCTATCCCTGTCTCTCTATCCCTCATCTGACTCTTTCTTTCTCTCGCAAGTTGGCTCCGAAGAACATAGTAATCCGAGACTTTCAGCAAGTAATCGACTACCACCAACAAATCGAGTCCTACCTTGACGATGTCGTCGACGAGGTCCAGGCGGAAACTCTGAAAAATAACAATTTGCTGACTGATCCCGTGGTAATGGAGGAGCTACTAAAGGTATGGTAACCCTTTTTACACTTTTAAGGCATTTTTCGGCAATGTTCTTTATTGAATTCCTTCCTATTTCTTAATTTTAGTCGCTGTATGTGAAAATGGAGAAGAAGGAGAACATCTACGTCGGATCGACGCTGCACAAGGCCGAGAAACCCGAGGACAACATGATGTGGCGATTCTGGCCTGCGGTGTTCTATGCCTCGAATATTTATATGACTGTCGGTTACGGTAAGTGGATGGTACCTTATTAACCGGCTTTCGAGTTTTTTCTCTGTTTTTGGCTAGTATAATGCTAATTACGATAATCTTCAGGTGTCATCCACTGCTTCACGTCGTGGGGCCAATTCTTCTCTATTGTCTACGGCTTCGTCTCGATCCCCTTCTCCCTGATCGTCATTCGCGATTTGTCCCAATGGATTCTCGTGATCCTGACCCGCATCTACGGACGAGCCGTCATTAGGTGGAGGTGCGTGTCCTTGGAATTCGAAAAGTCATTTCCGAACGGCATGTGCATCAAAAAGCGCGAAAACCCACGCAAATTTACCTTGTTCGAATTGCTAAGAATTTTCAAGAACTGTTGCGACGTTTTTGAGACGTTGCCATTTTGCACGACATGGTGCGTCCAAAGTCTCATCATTCTCTTTTTTCAGAAAAGACCACGGCATCGAGACGGATCCGAATGAAGAATTCGCATTCCCCATCAAATTCACCGTCGTGCTATGGCTTGGCAACTGGTTCTTCGTCGCGTTCCTTACTTACTGCTACGATGCTATCTGGGCACTGAAATGGGGCGGTCCTGGTGGTGGGTCTTGATTCCTAGATTCGTCCTTTCAAAACACTGGTTTTCTTGCTCTGCCACTTTCATTCTCTCTCGCTCTCTCTCGCTCGCTCTATCTCTATCTCTCGCTCTCTCTCTCTCTCTCGCTCCCATCCTACTATATATAAAAAAATAGTGTCTGTATGTGTGTGTGCATTTGCATGCAACTTACGTGAGGATGTTCCGCACCTACAGCCTCAGGGAAGAATTTTTTCGATTGGGCAGAAACGTCATTAGGTAAAGAAGGGTGCGGAATCGACTGCACACACATAAAATCTTTGAAAACTTGCTATTTTAGCTATTAAAAACAAATTTTTGTAAAATTCTCGCCCACCCTCTTTGTTAGGGAGCAATTAGCATAAGCCGGAAGTGGGATAGCCTCTATAAAGCGACAGAGGAGCCGTTTTTCATTTTTTTCCTGACAGATTTCGGGGAAGAAGCATGCAAATTGAAGACTTTCCTTGGTCCTAGACGGGGCCAGGGTTGAAAAGCCGCGAAGCGGTTTTTCAACCCTGGTTCTAATTTAAAATTTTAAGCTGAATCGCAAGACTACTTCGGTGCCGTCTGGTATTCGTGGATCACTATTACCTCCATTGGTATGAGCGATGACATGCCGCTTAATGCTACGGTAGGCAATATATCGCGTAATCGAATCTCGAATTACTTAGAATAATCGATCCTGGACCGCCGAATTACCTAGCGTAATCTGATCAATGATTTTAGACATCTCCCCTGATCTCCCTGTGGAACTTTCTGTCCCTTCCCATGTACAAAATCGGCCTCCGCATCATCTACATCATGATGGAGAACGGAATCTTGGGATCGTTGGCTGTATTGGAGAGGAAATTGGAAGGCACTCAAGCGGTAAGAACTTGGAATTTATAAGTCAAGCTTGGCGTAGTGGCGACGTTGCATACGTGCCGCTAGAGGCCGAGAGAGAGAGAGAGAGAGAGAGAGAGAGAGAGAGAGAGAGAGAGAGAGAAGGCCCTTTTTTGTTCCCGACCTTATGTCTATTTTTCAGATCGAAGACGCCAGCATGGAGAATGCACGACCCATCCAATCTCGCCGTGCTTCCCGAATGTCTCGAGCTAAGACGGTTGAGGAGTCCGAGCAAGAACAGGTAAATTTTTAAACTATTTGTATTAACCATACCTAAAAAAGTTTGGAATTTGACACTTATGAGCTGTACTAAAAAAGACAGTTTGAATTTTAGCATTTTAGCTATTTAAAACCTTTCCGAATATACCTTTATGAAGCGAAACTCCATTTCCATAAATTTCACGTTGGCTTTTGTTTAAAAACCCAAAAACTTAAAATTTGCAGGAGGAACGCGACCGCATCGATCAAGACGTGACCAACTTCACGGTTAGGTCGATTGGAGGATTCATGCGATCCCAGGTATGTTTCGGAATTACGGGATTCATGAGATTCACAGAACGCCCAAAAAAAATTCTTAAAAGCAAGTTTTACATTTTAAAAATTAAGAGCTTGAAAAACCGTACGCTAAAAATATAAAAACCTTCAATAACCTCTTTATCCATTAACATTTGCATGGAAAATTTATTCATGTAAAATAGCGTAAGCTGAACCAATTCAACCCTATTTTGACGGTAGCTAGCGCGTTTTTAGACTAATTCACATTTTTTTTTGTGTGCTAATTACACGATTTTTTTTCAGGCCGACGCCTACGCCGGAGATTTCGGCCGCGTGCGTGTTAGTCGCGATTCACATGAATAAGGATTTTCTGAATATTTTTGATATTATCGCAATTTTCTGCAATTTTTGCTCATTTTGCCCATCCGGTCCTTCAAGCTAAATCTTCCGGGTGCACCTTTCCATTCGCCCAGCCCTTATCAACCACATCCATCGCTTTTTGCATGAAAAGCATAATTGCTCTCTACGCCCGGCCGCATCAGCTGTCACTTTTCGACAGTGTTGATGTTGGTTCCGCAAAAAAACTATGTACGCCCATTGGTAATGAATAATATTGAATAAAGTCTCATCTCTACAAACTGTTTTTGCCTTAAACGAGAATCATAAAAAATACAAACTTAAAGGGCTGCCGACGGCATGTGTCGATCTCAACAAATTGGCAAGTAGCCAACAGGGGAGAGAGCGCGCCTAGGGGAGAGGCGCAGAGACGTTTTATTTTCCGCGCGTAACCGATTCACTATGCCGTCGGCATCCCTTTAAATGGTACCACAGCAAGCGAAAACCAAGAGAGAAAGGGGTGAGAGAGAGCGAGAGAGCTAAAGAAGCGAAACGCGGTGGCTCTTTAAACTTAGTTTCAGTTAAAAATGAAGCTTTTAATAGGAATCCCAGTCCAAGAAGAGCAATCTAGCAGCGATCCTTGGGAAGGGAATTGATTACGCTACGATTTAGGCCATAAATAGCTCTAGAAATTACTGAAAAATGACCGCTAGGCTGGAAAAACAGTAATATTGAATTCCCAGATCAAAATCCTCATTCCTCCAGCTCCTGTCATTTTATTTCTTTTCTCTGTTCCTACCGTCTGAGCCATCTGATCAAAATTTGATTCGGGTTTTATGCCGTTTTGAGCACGACCATCAAAAACCTGTAAAATTCCGCTGACTTCCGATCTGGTGGCCAGTTGATTTTTGGGGTGGCTTAGCTCGGGTTTAACCGATCAGCGGTTGCGAGCCTCGCAAAACGGGACCAGGGTGTTGATTGGTCAAAAGCTGGCCAAACCCGCGCAGGAAGAGAGGTCTAGACATCATGATCACAGATCCAGTCTCTTCACCTGGATTTTAAAGGGGCGCTGAAGGCAAGGAGATTGACCTTTTTATGAACATAAAATCTATTTTTAAATTACGCAAATATATCTTCCACTGATCTACCGTAAGATTAGTCTTTTGCATGGCTTAATCGGTTGGCTTTTTTACCAAATGAAACGCCTGAAACCGAAGGACATGCCATTTTTGTAACTAGAGAGAAAAACGTGGTAAAAATCGTGAAATATCAATTTTTTAGTTTTTTTTTGTAAGGCATAAATCGTGAATTGCCAGTATAATACCCTCCACTTAATTTTGGTTTAGCCCTGAGCTAGCAGACCATTGAGACCGATACCAACTGACGTTACTCTACTCAAAAACTGACCCACTGCCAAAACCAAAACCAGTAACCGGTCGGCAGAATGGGGGCCAAACCGGTTATGAATGTTCGCGTGGTGGAGGCTCACTTTTTGAGCAGTCCGAAAATCAACCGGCAAAACACCGACAACAAAAATACGTGATTGCCCCCCCCAGTGACGCACCATGTCCAGTCAAGTTCAGTCTTTTTGCTTCCCTTTCTGGGAAATTTTGGCCTTGGCCTTGCCTGGCCTTTCTACTATTTCCCAGAACCGGGTAAGCAGATTTCGGGTGCGCCATTTTTTGGGGAGTGGTCATTTGCTCTGGATATACAGGGTGTCCCAATAAAAAAGGTCACGCTGGCATTTTGCCATTTCAAATCTGTTCGTTCTGAAATATGGAACAGAGCTGCGGAAGGGAATTTAAAATGTTCACAGAAACTTTCAGCCCGATCGGTACAGTAGTTTTCGAGTTATAGCAAAAATAAACTTTATTTTGCGTTTTTAACCTGGATTTCGCCGGAATTGAGCTTTGGAATGTATGGCGAAAATGAAGCGCCGGCCCTTTTTTACCCCATAAAATTTTTTATTTCGCAAAATTCGTCTTGGAAATAGGCTGTTTAAGTAATTTTAACAAGGTGTTATCATCCCCGATTAGAGTGAGGGAGGCCTAGGCTTGCCTAGGCTTGCCTAGGCTTGCCTAGGCTTCCTCAGGCTTTTCTAATTTGCATCGCCTAGGCTGAGCCTGGGCTATGCAAAGTACGCCTGACCCCTAATTAGTCAGGCTTTATCCAGAAATTTTATGTAAAGTCGTAGAATATTCGAAGTTTTGCCGAACAAATACGGATTTTTTTTTTGAAACTTCTGGGGGGTCGAAGAGCTGTATTGGGTCCAAGAATATTCTACAAAGTTAGGGTACTGTTTTTGAGAAACCTTACGGCACGATACGTTAATAGCACGCGGATACGCAAAAGCCAAGGGTCGGATCAAACGGGCGGGGATGCAATAGCCTCTCCTGTTATCTTGCCTATATGTTTCCCACCTTCGGCATCGTTGTAATTTGTTATTGCGTCAAAGATACGAACGTTTTAGATGCAGTAACCAGATTAACATGTTTTTGTGCATTGCATAAAAAGCCTGCGTAAATCCTTAGGCTTCCGCCAGGCGTCGGCAGGCGCGGAAATGCAATTCGGCCCAAGAAAGCCTGAGGAGGCCTGCCGCTCCCTCACTCTATCCCCGATGTTAAGAAGAATGAGGGATTTAGGGCCAAATTGATGGTAATTGATGCAAAGTCAAAAAAGATAGCCGAAAAATGGAAACAACAGTGTTGAAAAAACAGTATTTTTGCTGTAACTCGAAAACTACTGTACCGATCGGGCTGAAAGTTTCTGTGAACGTTTTAAATTCCCTTCCGCAGCTCTGTTCCAAATTTCAAGTCGATCGGATTTGAAATGAGAAAATGCCAGCGTGACCTTTTTTATTGGGACACCCTGTAGATGTGCTGTGAGTAGGGATTAACAAAGAAATGACAATTTAAACGATCCTCTTGAAAGTTTACGGCTGCCAAATTCTTAGCGAAATACGCGCTCCGCACACCTTATGCTCATGATACCCACACGCTACGTATACGCTACTCGCTCACACGATGCGCATACGCTACGCACACGTTGCGCACACGCTATGCACGTGCTTTGCAAACGCTACCCTCTCCACGCATACACCCGATTTTTCCAGGTTGTAATCCATTCGAATGCAGCCGCTGCGTGCGCGTCACGTGTCGCAGGTTTGCGGTTTATGCAAAACCTAGGGGGGGGGGGAAACAGTTTCTGGCTTTCCAGTGCCATTAAAGGGCCCAGGAAAGGCAATAATCGACCCCTTGGACTCTCGACAGCTACGCGATGTGCTAAAAAACGCGCGCCATTCTGTTTGCTTTTCTAAAGATTAGCTCCACTAGTAAAAACTTCAAAGGCGGTTGGAAACGTTTTGGAACCTTGCGTCGTTGGTTGCCACGTTGTCGAGACCTAGTAGATGAAGAGGGTAGAATTTACACTTTTCAGTTCCTTTAATATCGCTTTTCAACCAACATGTGCATAAGCTAGGGCTTTCCAAAAATAGCCCCTGTTTCATGCTACCCATGCTAAAGTACGTCATAACTATCTTCATTTCGCGAACGCGCCAGTCCTCCGTACACCCAACCGGAAATCCTGGGTGCGCCTTGTATTTTGTTGACGAGATCGGGGTGATCTTTTGATGATTGTACAATCTATATATCCAGCTCATGCTCCCCTTCCCCTCCTGCTCTCTATCCCTAGCTCATGCTCCCATGCCTCTATTTCCCTTTATCGTCTGGCCCCTCACTGTCTCTCGCTTTTTGGGCTCTCACTGAACTCTCGCCCGGATTGACCGTACTCCCCCAAAAAGGGGATGGGCCCAGAGGTGGTGCTCCTCCCTTTTCTCCCCCCCCCCCCTTTTTGGGATTTATGGGTTTTGCCGGGACCTCCCCCCACTCGAATTCCGTTTAAAACCTATTCGGGTCTCCGGATTTGGCCTGGCTATGGCATTCTAGAATTTTGGATACCCCTTCCGGAAACGCTTTCCGTGATTATGCCGGATTTCTCGTGATAGAAATTTCGGCACGTTCCGGTCCAGAAAAAAAATTGAACGGGTTTTCCGGGTTAGCGAATCTCTAGGCCCAACCCCACAAATTAAAGGCATCTGGAAATGGGCGTATTCTTCCGGAAAGCCAATCCGCGCCGGATTCGAAATTTCGAAAATAAGGCTCTCAAAAAGCATTTTCAAACTCCTTGTCTTTTTTTGGGTAGCAAAGGCTTGTTTCTGGCCGGAAATCGGAGCCGGAAAACGAGAAAATGCTTGAAAACGTGGGAAAATCAGGACCCGCTATGACTTTTTTGGAATCTTTTCAGGCCAATATTCTCTTCCACTCCAATTACCTCGATCAATCGATAATTCTCCTTTTTGTTGTGTTTTTTTAACCTTCTCTTATTACGTGAATAATTCTCTTATTGAATTTCCAGAAACCCCTCCCTAAAAGATGAAAGAAGAAAAGAAGATCGAGATGCCCGCACCAAGGCGGCGAAGGGCCACAATCCGAAAGGATATTGTGCCGATTGAGGGTGCAAACAGGAATCGTACGTTGTTTTCTAGGGGTTTTTTCGCCTCTTAACACTTTGAAATAATACCTAAAAATCCCCTTCCAAGATCTAATTACGCAAATTGTTCTTAACAGCCGTCGTTTCGAGCTTCAAACCAATTGAATGTCCATTTTTGCCTAAAAAATCTATCCAAAAAGCCGTCATCTTTAGGCTTTGCCCACTCTCTCTACTGGCTCGCCTACAGACATACCGGAATTGCTTTCCGGCATGTGATGATGCTCGTCTTGCTGGCCGCCCTGACGATTGTTGGTGGATGGTGCTTTTTGCATATTGAGAGGCCGGCTGAGCAGCAGGTAGTTGTCCTTTTTGCTCTTAAGTGACGCTATTTCTAACCTTAAATTTTGTAGCTTTTAACGTTAGATAGCTTACTGTTTTTCTCCCTTTACAAACCATTTACAGATCTATGAAGTCGCATTGAGTAAACTGAATGACGTGCTAAAAATCCAGTCCAAAGATTTGGTGGCTCAATTGAAATCTGAAAATGGATCGGACCCGAGTGTGTTGAAAAATAAGATCAGGGTGAGCTTAAAGAGCAAGAGAGAGAGAGAGAGAGAGAGAGAGAGAGGAGAGAGAGAGAGAGAGAGAGAGAGAGAGAGAAGAGTGAGAGACTGGGAGAGTGAGAGATAGAGAGTAGAGCGGGAGAGCGAGAAAGAGAAAGATGGAGAGAGAGAGAAAAGAGAGTGAGTGAGAGATAGAGAGTAGAGCGAGAGAGCGAGAGAGAGAGAGAGAGAGAGAGAGAGCGAAAGAATGATAGAGCGAGAGTGAGAGAGAGCAAGTTTGAGGCAAAGCTAAAAAATCTAATTTTAGACAGCCTACCATGCCCTCCTTGAGGCGGAAGATCGATATACCAAATCCGTATACTTCAAGGTCGAAGACCCCGACGCGAATTACGCGTGGAGATGGTATTCGGCTGCGGTCTTCTACTGCACTAACGCGTTTATGACGGTGGATTACGGTAGGTTTTTAACAATCGCGTTCTCTCAAATTTCTCATTTTACCGGACACTCTAGTTTTGTTAATTTATCAAAAAAGTTTCTCTTTCTATTTAAAGAAAGTAAAAATTGCATTTTCTGAATGAAATATTGCTTTTTAGGTACCGTACCCGCCGTGACGGATCTCGGTCGTTTTATGACGATCTGCTACACGCTAATCTCCATCCCGCTGGCCGTCGTGGTTACTCGTGACCTCGGCCAGGCAATTCTCTACCAGATCACGAAGATGTACAGCTACTGCGCCCGACTGTAAGTTGTTGTGTAACGTAACGGATCGTATCGTCGCGGGACGTAGCGTGCCTATAGAATGGCGTACCATAGCGTAGCTTAGCGTAGTGCTCTTCATATAGCATATTGTATCGTACCGTGGAGTATCTTGACGCTATTGTCCCAAAACGTATTGTATGGTATCGTAGCGTTGAGTACCGTAAAGTAGCTGACCGTCGCCTGGCGTGGTCGACCGTTTCGTAACGTACTAGCGTTTCATGCCTAGCGCGCAGCCGTTTTCTCGCATACCGTACTGGCGTATTGCTTCGTCGCGTACATGCATATCTTCTTTTGAAAGCTTAGGACTTTACCTAAACTTTAAAGACGCCAGAATATCTCATCTATCACTTGCTGGCTCCTTTAATAGGCGTAAATTTCAGAGGAACTCGGACAAACGACGAATCAGACGGGGTATCTATTAGCATCACGATGGCCGTCGTTTTGATGTTTGGTGAGTCAAATTCGGTATTTTTATAAGCTCAAAAAATCTGTTTTTCTAAATTTAAACAAAGTATTGAAAATTGTTTCGGCGGGAAAAGTTAAAGAAAACGTTTTGCTATACTTTGACCATTCAACGCCACACACTGCCCTTTCCCGATCTCTCGACGCGGATCCGTTTTTCTGTTTATCTATCCCATTTCGAATTGACCTCGCCGGTTCCGTCGCGTAAAATTTATGGGCTTAGCAAAGAGGGACTTCGGAGCTACCGTAGCCCTTGGTTTTTTTCTCAAAATTGGGGATTGTTTTGTTTTAATCCGTACTTGGATACGGTAGATGTTTAAAAAAATCAATTAAATGAGATTAAGACGAAATTAATCTGAATTAAGACACTTTTAATTATGCTATCTAAACAACGCTATATAATCGAATATCAATGTATTTTAGTGTCCTGGTTCTCGTGCGCTGCCTTCACTTACTGGTACGACGGTCTGTTCGGACCGAATGGTATCACGTATTGGGGTGCCGTATACCTCTCATACCTCACTGTCACAACGATTGGAATGGGAGAGTTGATGCCAACGTATACTTATGTAAGTATTACTCAACCATTACTCTACTTTCCGATAGCTGAATGTGGCATTTTGAAAGTATATAGTCAGACAGAAAATTTATATATATTTTTAGCGCGATCCCGCCTGGAAATTCGTCCATTTCTACGTTGGCATGCCGTTCAGGGTGAGTTTTTATTTCTGAAGCTCACTTTCCAATATTTTATTAATATGATTTTGTATGTTATAATTTATCTGATATCACATTTTTTATATTACCTATTTATTAAATATTTTATATACTTATATCAATATTTACAGATCGTCAACCGCTGCACTTTCGTCGGAATCGAGAAAAGCGTCTTCGGCGCGTTCAAGGGCTTCGAGCAGCGCACCGAAGCGCTCTTCCAAAACCACGTTGCTGAAAGGCGGGATTCGGTGAGTTTTTGAAAAAAAATTAAATGATCCAGGGGATGATTTCCTTCATTTCTATTTTTAATAAAAAGCGAAAATTTCTAACCGTCATTTTCAGAGCTCAACCCCCTCCGAGGCGGGCCCCGGTTCACCAACGATCGACGTTTTCGGAGGAGATTTCGGTCGTGTCCGCATCGCTGTAAAGCAACTTGAATAACGGCATTTTCATCACTTGACAAATCTCTCATTTCTATCGGCATTTTACGTCTTCAATTCTGTGTATTTTACGGGGTATTTTGCATAAACATTTACTTAACCTGTAGTTGTATACATTTAACTCGAGAAAAGGCAGAAAACACAAAAACACTGAAACACAGAATGAAGAGGAATCGAAAATTCGCCTTAAAGTTGTTGAAAATTGTTTTATAGAATGTTTGCGCGGAATTTGAGGCTACAGTTTAGAATAAAACGAGCGGATAAGAGAAAAACATAGAAGTTTATAATCTGTACTCCTCGAGCACCTCGTACCAAAAGTCGAAGTCCTCGTCGGTAAGGTAGCCGCCATTTGCATATACCTAAATCTCAATCTCTTTAGCTAAAAAGAGATTCTTTAAAAAAGGGGTTTTTGGGTTCGAAAAAAGAGTGAGATTCTCTGATGCAGCAAAAAGCGTCGAATTCCCTAACCTCCCAAACCTGAGAAAATTCGAAGGCTCAACCAAAAATTGCTGTGTTATTAAAGCGCTGTTTCAAACACGATTCGCTTCTAAATTTGAGCATTTGTGCCATTTCTAGATCGTTCGTTACCACGCGGTATCACGAAGTAGCCACGTGGTTTGCCAGCTCCACGTTCGAAGTGGTTGAAGCTAGAGTCCGCAATGCTTGCAAATAGCATAATTATGCCAATTATATTAGCTTGTGTTTTTATTAGGAATAGAGCAGTAGCCTTTCAATATGCCGAAAATAAAAAAATTGGATTCCAAAAATTTAGGGAGGTTTTCCTAGTTGCTAGCAATTTTTGGTTGATCCTGCGAATTTTCTCAGGTTTGGGAGGTTAGGGGAATTCGACGCTTTTTGCTGCATCAGAGAATCTCACTCTTTTTTCGAACCCAAAAACCCTTTTTTTAAAGAATCTCTTTTTAGCTAAAGAGAATTTTGCTCTTTTTAACCGAACTCTGTTCTTACAATAATCCACTTGCGTGCAGAAGAGTTTCTTTTGTATTTTGGCGGCGGGAACGGGGGTTATTTGTATTATTCCCGCGTAGGGCAGATGTCGCTATCATTATCTGCCTGACCTCAAACGAGTCCCGACTCTGATGCGCACTAATGCCCGACAAAGCCGCTCCTCACGTCACCTAATCTTTATGCAAAAGAACTGGAGCTATCTATAATACAACAAGCAACACAAATACGCTTGCTACTTAATTCTTATCGGCTCAATACGACATTTCGGAAAGCTTCAAATTTGCGCTAACCCTTCTCTGCATATCTTTCTACTCGGGGCTTGGGTATTTACTCGGGAAATGATGATTTGCATCGTAAGAATAGTTAGGGCCTCGCTATAATAACCGTACATCATGGTCAGACACCTTATGATTTTTACTAATTGCATTATTTCCTTTTCAGCGCTTCCTAACCACGTATTATTATGATTTTTTTGCCTGTGGCGCTGACCCTAAATAGCCAAAGCCAAAAATATCGGCTCGCGGATGGTACCGCTCGTAGTGATTACGGTAAAGGTAGATCTGCGGTGCTAAAATCGTCCTATCCAAACCAAATAAGTCTGATAAAAATAAGGTAACAAGTGGGGTCTGTTATTCGCGCGGGGGTGGGGGGAGACGAGATAGGGGTCTATTAGTGGGGAGGGCAAAGAGATGCCCAGACAGAAAGGGCGCGTGCCCCGTATTGCGACGTCAGATTTTCACGTAATCCGGCCGTATCTCAACGTAGAACGTTTATTTTACGACAATCTCTTCAGTTAATAATTAAACAATGTACAGTGCACCACTATGAGGAGTTTCAGCCCAAGCCGCCCTTGATAAGACACCTTTTGGCCAAAATTTAAATTTTGAAATTCAAAGTTCCATAAAATTTTTTTGAAGGCCTATTTTGAAAAAAAACGCTTCTTCCTCACCGAGATTAGCATTAAGCCAATACCTGTGCAAATTTTCAGCCAAAACCAGTATTGAAAATTGTTTCGGCGGGAAAAGTTAAAGAAAACGTTTTGCTATACTTTGACCATTCAACGCCACACACTGCCCTTTCCCGATCTCTCGACGCGGATCCGTTTTTCTGTTTATCTATCCCATTTCGAATTGACCTCGCCGGTTCCGTCGCGTAAAATTTATGGGCTTAGCAAAGAGGGACTTCGGAGCTACCGTAGCCCTTGGTTTTTTTCTCAAAATTGGGGATTGTTTTGTTTTAATCCGTACTTGGATACGGTAGATGTTTAAAAAAATCAATTAAATGAGATTAAAACGAGAGCAAGCTTGAGGCAAAGCTACAGGGTGCGTCAAAAAAAAAGAAACCAAGTTTGCACCAAAATATCTCGCTTATCTTTGAGAATGGAAGGTACGTTACCATGCCAGAATGCTTAAATATGCTGGGCTTGAAGATTTTAACACAACTTGATTTTTTCGATTTTTGGCGACGTAACCATACAAATGACACCCGAAAACTGTGCGTTCGGGAAAACTTCATTTGTATTTTTCTCAGTTTCCTGTGGTGTTTGGGTTCTAATTTTTCCTATTTAAGTTAATATAGGCAGCAGATATGCACCTACAAAATTTAAGAATTTTTGAGGGTCTGGTTGAAAAGTTAGAGAGGAATGAAATTTTGTATGGAGAAATTCGTAAATTTTTAATATTGAAAAAACCTATGGCGAAAACCTCAAAATCAGTTGTTGTGGAATACCTACGGGCTTGACACAATCGCATAAACATATTAAAGAATTTTTTGAGATCGACGAATTTTCGAGTTTTTCAACGACCCCCTGGTCATGGATTTTTCGAGGTCTCGAACCCGAACTTTGGAAAAATGTTTTTAAATTGCCTAACAAGGAGTCGTTTTTAGGTGATATTGGAGTTTTTGAGCGAGACCTAGCTAGTTCGATAGAGAAAAAAATTCTGAGCAAGATGACGTTTTCCAAATCTGCTAACCGTGTATTGTATTCGATAAAAATTAATTCTAATGAAAAAATTCCGTGGCGCCACGCGGCCACGGATGGATCAGACCCGGGACATTAGCCGCAATGCCACCAGCATCCGCATTAGATGGTGGCCTAGTGGATAGTGCAGGCGCCTATCAAATTTTTGCAAAATTATGCTCGCGGGTTCGGAACTTTTTTTGATTAGCTGTTTTGCTTTTTGGTTTTTAACGCTATTGAGGCCATATATGGCATCACAGAGCAAAAAGCAAAAGAGTTTCACTAGCTAGGAGTCGAACCCGACGTCAAAAAAAAAGATAAAACTTATGAAGCAAATGCGCTACCAATATGCTACGCGATCATGGTGGTTCAAAGGTCTGAAGGGGGCTATGTTCAGGCGCACCGCCCGAGCCAAACCTGCGGATCCGCTGAGAAATGATGGCGAAATTAATGATTTTCAAATTAATTTTTATCGAATACAATACACGGTTAGCAGATTTGGAAAACGACATTTTGCTCAGAATTTTTTTCTCTATCGAACTAGCTAGGTCTCGCTCAAAAACTCCAATATCACCTAAAAAAGACTCCTTGTAAGAGGACTCAGTTATTTTCTTTGCTTAGCTATGTAGTACTGGTGTTTATCTATAATCTGCAACATTTCGAGCTACCGTACCCCTTTGGAAGGGCGACTTTTAGGGCCTCCAAAACGGTTGGTTCGTGCTTTTTTCCAAACCTTGCTACCATTTTATAGATTTTAACAGCGCTATGAAAATTATTATTTGAATTTTATCTGATACCATTTGATTAGCGCATTTTAATGCCCTGTTCATGAATTTATTTGACCAGCCGTTGGCGCCAAGAAAATTCATCAAAACCCGAAATAGACCGAATCTGAGTGAGCGTAAAAATTTTTGGAAGGTGAAGTCGCCAGGATCTTTTCACCAATAAATCTGTAGTATCCTACCTTATATAATTTGGTCGCGTATCTTTGTGTGTGTGTGTGTGTGTGTCCGGCGCCAGGGAGGGCTACTTTGCATAATTCCAAAAAATACAAATTTCCTCATTCTTGTAAGTTGCACGCGCGGGTGTGGTCGGAGGAAGGAAGGGGTCCGAAGGACCCAAGCTATCGGAAAGTCAAATTTCTCATGCAAAGGCCGCATTCCAGCGCCCAAGGCCCGCGTAGCGGGTTTTGGGCGCTGGTTAGTTAAATAAAACTATGCAAAGATTAAAACAATTTAGCGTCGAAAAAATTTTAAGAAGAATTTTAAACTTCGGTTTTAGAACAGGGTGATTTTCCATTTTTGGCTGAAAGTTCCCATAATTTTGAATCAGATTGCTCCGGAATTCGGCAAGCGTAAATAAAAACATCAAATCTTTAATCGTATCCATAAGATCCAGGTCGTATTTTTATTTTTAAAAATTCGAAAATTGACCCGGCTCCTCGGACCCAAAATCGGCTCTCTGGCCTTGTTTTGCACTTGGTCTCGTAACTTTGTTATTTACCATCGAAAATCAGTCATTTTTGGTAGGCTATCTTACAATCAACTCTAGAAGGCCCTCGAGTGGAAAAATCTTCAATTTATGGAATTTCGTGATGGCATGCTAAAACGCGCTCCATGGGGGTTACTGTAGAAAACCGAAATTCGCGATTTTCGTGGTGTTTTTGCCATGGAATCGCTTCGATCTTTCGGTAAAAGCAATAGTAACAGTTTTTGGTCCAACTGACCAAAAAATTTACAAGATTCTGTGGCAGAATTAAAAAATCAGTTTTTAGTCTTTTTCATGAATGTTTGTGGATAGTACGCTCTCGTATTTGGCAGCAAGGTGCCTCAACCGATTGCCTAACGACCCTGAAAATCTTAGTCGGATCGAAGCTAGGGGTCCGGAGAAGAGCGGGAAAAACGAAACCTACAGTACCCCACTGGGGCACGTTTTAGCAAGCAATACAAAAATACCATAAATTGTGGTGGGTTCTGGTGCGGGACCCGAGATTAATATTTGGATAAGCCATTGGCAAAAAAGCAGCCATGGGCAGTGGGTTATAAGCGAGTTATCACTTAAAGAAGAAAATAACGCAAAATCGCGAAAATTGTTTTGTTTGTAAAAAATGAAATAGACCTCGACAAATTCTAAGAATTTGCTATTACCTTTCTACAAATTTATACTATTTTTGGGCCAAAAATCAGAATTTTTCCACCACCCGTTCAAGAACGCACAATTTTCGGTCGTAACCAGCGTCAATAGTACAGTTTCGTACTCAAAAATCGAAAAAATCAAGTTGTGTTAAGCCTTCATGCCCAGCATATTTAAAAGGCCGTTTGCGAGCCACCCGAACTAGGCTTGGCACAGTCGGTTTTTCGACCCAACTTTTTTGACGCCATCGGATAGAGCATGGTCGAATTAGTGGGGCTGCATAGTTTTGAAAGTTTAAAAAGTTTAATTTGGGGGTTTAAATGGGCGTTGAAGTTGCAGACCCCCAAAAATTATCTTGGAAGTTACTTAACCAAATTTGCTGAGAATTTGTGCCAATACCTAATTTTGGACGGGGATCATTTCTCTAGTACATCGCAAAGCGTGAAAATGACCGGAACATAGGAATCTCGCGTACACAAAACAGTTTTTCGAGATTTTCGTTGTGAAGGGTTGTTGGCTGCGCGCTGTAAATAGCATAGAAATATGCGCAAAAACTTTCTGCATCGAATGTTGTATCATTTAGCGCGCAGACAGTAACCCTTCATCTTGAAAAAAGGGCTTAAAGCTACCAAAAAGAAAAAATTCGAATATTTATGAAAACTAAAACATGGACTCCCATCTAGAGAGTCCAACCGCACGATCGCAAAAAAGAGCAAAAAGAAATACGACTTTTGAGAGGGGGCTGGGATTGAACTCGGGTCGTTCGCCTGGGACATGGCGGCGCCCACTAGCGGCTGTCCCCAGTGCCCCCCCAGGCGGACCATCGCGAGTTCGATCCCCGCAAATCTCCAGTTCCGAGTGGGAAGGTAATTTCTTTTTGCTCTTTTTTGCAATGGATACAGTTTTATCTTTAGACCTATACCCGTTTCCGATTTTTCAAAATATGCAAACCTCGGGAGCACGTACCAGTTTTTCTCCCGTTTAAAAATCGCGTTTTTTCAAGATGAAGGGTTACTGTCTGCGCGCTAAATGACACAACATTCGATGCAGAAAGTTTTTGCGCATCTTACTATGCTATTTACAGCGCGCAGTATTCGGCTGCGGTCTTCTACTGCACTAACGCGTTTATGACGGTGGATTACGGTAGGTTTTTAACAATCGCGTTCTCTCAAATTTCTCATTTTACCGGACACTCTAGTTTTGTTAATTTATCAAAAAAGTTTCTCTTTCTATTTAAAGACAGTAAAAAGTGAATTTCCTGAATGAAATATTGCTTTTTAGGTACCGTACCCGCCGTGACGGATCTCGGTGATGTAGGCGAAATAAGAGGAGGCGAAATACAGGGTGCGTCAAAAAAAAAGAACCAAGTTTGCACCAAAATATCTCGCTTATCTTTGAGAATGGAAGGTACGTTACCATGCCAGAATGCTTAAATATGCTGGGCATGAAGATTTAACACAACTTGATTTTTTCGATTTTTGACGAAACTGTACTATTGACGCTGGTTACGACCGAAAATTGTGCGTTCTTGAACGGGTGGTGGAAAAATTCTGATTTTTGGCCCAAAAGAGTATAAATTTGTAGAAAGGTAATAGCAAAGTCTTAGAATTTTTCGAGGTCAATTTCATTTTTTACAAAAAAAACAATTTTCGCGATTTTGCGTTATTTTCTTCTTTGAGTGATAACTCGCTTCTAACTCATTGCCCATGGCTGTTTTTGTGCCAATGGCTTATCCAAATATTAATCTCGGATCCCACACCAAATTCCACCACAATATATGGTATTTTTGTTTTGCTTGCTAAAACGTGCCCCAGCGGGGTACGGTAGGTTTCGTTTTTCCCGCTTTTCTTGGGGCCCCTAGTCCTTGGGTCAAGTTGTGTTAAATCTTCATGCCCAGCATATTTAAGCATTCTGGCATGGTAACGTACCTTCGATTCTCAAAGATAAGCGAGATATTTTGGTGCAAACTTGGTTCTTTTTTTTGACGCACCCTGTATTTCGCCTCCTCTTATTTCGTCTACATCTTATTTCGCCTACACCTTATCACGTCTACGTCTATAGTTATCCACGTGTTAGTTTAATTTACGAAATTTCTCCATATTAAATTTGAGCATGCTATAACTTGCCAACTAGACCTTCGAAAATTTCAAAATTCCGGATGTGCGTAGGGGCGATCCTTAGGTACCTACACTATAAAAATTGGAAGTGTTCGACCACCAGCAATCCTAAAAAATACAAACGAAGTTTTGCCGGAACGCACAGTTTTCGGGTGTCATTTGTATGGGTACGTCGCCAAAAATCAAAAAAATCAAGTTGTGTTAAATCTTCATACCCCGCATATTTAAGCACTCTGGCATCGTAACGTACCTTCGATTCTCTACTATAAGCGAGATATTTTGGTGCAAACTTCACTCTTTTTTTTACGCACCCTGTAGTCGATACCTCCTCACGAGCTACCCCGTTATTAGAGAGGTAATTAAGCGTTAGAAAAGTGGTGAAACGACCAGGATGCCGGTTGTGAAACTGCAATTAGCCGGGGGCAGGGATTGCTACAAAAACGGGTTGGCGGCTTTGTAGTTTTTCGCAACTACGTCATTTTGAAGGTTGGCCTTGAACTTCTTTTTGTTGGTCTTAATCCTATCCTATAAGCGAGAAAAGTATGTCTGTTTTCTGTACAGCCGATTTCTCGGCCGCCCGGCCGAATTTTGAGCCGATTTTTGGCATGGAGGTGGAGATCCACATTTGTCAGTGACGCATTTTTTTGTTTTTCGAAATTCCTTCATTTAACGGTTTTACAAGCAAATTAGTGAAAAATCCTTAACATCTTGGCCGAAAAAAGGTTTGTTCAGAGGATACCTCTCGAGCCAAATGGAATTAGGCGCTAATTTTTGGAGGGCAGATTGAAAATTACATTCTCCTGTGATATAATTCTGGGTTTTGGCAGATTTTGTAATCTAAATTTTTTATGAGCATTTTTCCAAAAAGTTCTTAACAAAATGGGCGAAGAGCCGGGGTGTCCGGGCGATAACTCGAAGCCCTGATGGAATTCCGGGCTGAAATTTGGAACACTTATGTAACTGATGGTGCTTTTTAGGCGCAGCTTATTAGATTTTACAAATTCGCTCATCTTCCACCTCAAAAATCGACTTTTGTAAAGTGACTAGACGGCGCCCGGCCGGGTCCCCAGGGGATGAAGAGGTCTGTCCCGGATCGCACGCTCAACTCCCGGTGGTGTAAGGGAAGCGCACCAGGTCCATGGCGCTAGGGGTTAAGGGTTCGGATCCGGCGCGATGACTACTTTTTGCTTTTTGGTAATTCTTCAAACAAACATATTGCTTAGCTCTCCGTATACGAGATTTAGGTCTGGCCCTCGCTCTACCGCCGCAGGCCAAAGGAAAGGTCCTTGGCTCGGACTCTCCCGCCGCAGGCCAAACCCTGGCGGAAACCAGTAAATAGCGCCGCAGGCTCAAAGATTCTGGCTACGTTGGCTCTGGCGCCGCAGGCCATGGATGGTTCCTTGCCCCAGATCAGCTAAATCCGGGGAACGTAGTAGCTGGCGCCGCAGGCTCAAAGATTGGAGCCCAACGCTGGCTCTTGCGCCGCAGGCCAAAGAATGGTTCCTTGACTCAGGCTCTTGCTCCGCAGGCTTCAAACAAAGGAAAGAGAATTCATGGGTCCTAGACGGGGTCCAGTGGAAAAGGGCCGCGAAGCGGACTTTGTCCACTGGTTTATTAATTTGTTAACTTTGCAAAAATTAAGTTCCAGAAGATTTTGGTGAACTAAATAGCTTTATTTATAGTTGCAAGCGTCTTGAAAAGTTTTATAATTCTTCGTAAGTCTCCTTCCACTCGTACGGGCAATAGTCGGGCCAATTGATCGGCTGCGCGCGGTAGCCGCGACGCACCATGCGGCATCTGAAAAATGCTTGCTATTGTCGCGTTTTTAGTATAAAACTCAGCTGAATCTTTCTGGCTTTAAGGTATACTCGATACCAAAAGAGAGGAAATTACAGAAAAAATTCACCTATGTTCGTGTAAACGCGGCCACACTGCCTCTGGAGTTTTCGTATCTTCAGGATTCGACCAAAGCCTTTCGGCAACGGCTGATGCTCTGGGCCTAGGAAGTTATAACCTTGTTGAATAGACTACCGTATGCTAAAATGTCCTATTGGTAGCATTAAGCTTAAGTGGGTTAAAATTAATACCACAGCGTCGGGATCAAATTCGTCCCATCGACAAACTCGCCCCACATCGCCGCCTCGCCACCGAGAACGCGGTCCTAAAATGACCGTATTATAAAGGAATCAATCGCATTAAAAATAGTATTAAATAAACAAGCATAGAGGCTATGGCGATGCAGAAAGGAGTATACCAGTTGACTACCTTTTGCTCCTGAGTCCCATAAAAATTCTGGGGATCGCACTCGTAGAACATTCCTCGGAAATTGAAGTTTTTTCCATTAAGATACCCCCAATCAGGGCCGTAACGGATTCGATTTAGATACCTTAATAAATGTAAAACATCCATATCTGTATTGAGTATATATATATACCTATACAAAGAGGTAACTTACCAGCAACTACTGAAAATCACTTTATAGCCTCGTCTTGTCAGTTGTGATAGTGATTTCTTCGCCAAATCAATCGTCGTTCCATCCCAAACGTGGACGAGAGTGTCCTTTGACTATAAGTTGCTTGATTTTACACGTATTTTCTGTTCTACCCTTTTATACTTTGTGTCTTAAAGCTGGTGGTGTTAAAACCTAAAACCCACCAACTGCCCCTCTGCTTCTGCAGCTTCTTGCCAGACCACCTTTTTCGTGCCTGGTCTCGCTTTTTCGATCGATTCGAAGAAGCTGAAGAGTCTTTTAAAGCTAGTAAATCTTAAAACCAACCGTTTCCAATAATATTTCAACAGTTTCTTCGTGTCGCCACCAAATCCTTGGCGCTGCATCCGTTTTCGCAAGGCCTTGTTGTTTTGCCTGAAAAAAAACAGAATTGAGACATTCAAGGGACAAGTTATAACTTCATCTATTTTTTTGCCCTGGATTTCCACGATAATTTTTGGTAGAACTACAAAATTATAGTATTTTAGGGACTGGTCCAGGTAAGCGTCCGCCCAAAAAATCTACCAGCAATCCGTAATATCCTGCGCCACCTCATCACCACCAAAATGCATGTATTCGTCCGGAAAAAGGTTGAGGGCTTCCTAAAAAAAATAAAATTGTCGAAATCAGTCCAAAAGCCGAGCGAATATACCTCAAAAGCTAGACAATACCTGAAAAAACTCCTCCAGGAACTGGTAATTTTGGGATAATGTCGGGTCGATCAGACTAGATGGTGAATTACGATCCGAGCATTCAGCCAGCAGCCCGGGTTTTCCACCGGCCCAGGAGCCAGTGTGGGCTGAAAATAAAAAATATAGCGTAGCATAATGTATATAAATAATTAAATAGAGTTGTATAAGATGCCTTACCGGGAGTATCAAACTCCGCGAGCACCCTAATCCCACGTAACCTCGCGTAGTCTATCACTTTCTTGATATTATCGACAGTGTAGTGGTGCCGAGGGCTGTAGGCGCCCTAAAAACGAGAGGATACGTTATTTTTCACAAATTTCCGCAAAATTATCACGTTCGCTGATAGCTGCACATACCTGCGCCGTCAAATTCGGGAATTTCTCCGAAGGATATGGAAAAGCCTCCGAATCCACGAGGTGCCAATGGAAGACGTTCATCTTGTTTTGGGCCATAATGTCCTAAAAATTAGACTTGCAACTCTATAAATTTGCTAGAGACCAAATTCTCCAAAATGATCTCGATCGGCAGAAAATGGCGACTGGAATCGAGCAAAATCCCGCGCCACGAAAAACGCGGATGGTCTCTGATATCGACCGAGCGGATTTGGAGCTGAAACAATCTTTTTGAAGTTTTTCAATGCATTTCAAGTTTTTTTTAGAAACTTGTTAAAGTTTCTTGGGTCTATTAATGCTATATAAAATTTACCGATCCGACAGTCACTTGGAAGATAAGTTGCGTGAAGCTTTCTAGGGCCCGCAAAACCCCCCAGACTTGGGTCGCCTCGATTCTTGCCGTCGAGCTAACAGCCGGGATCGAGATAGAATCTGAAAAACAAAAAAAAGCTAGTTTGAAACGCTGGTTTAACGGCGATATAGTTGATTGTAAAATGTGATGTATGTGATTCCCTCAAAGATAACCGATGCTTCCCACTATTTTATTAGTTTAAAGCTGGATCCAGGCTCTATTCACAATTTTCTTGCAACTCACAACTCTCATCCATATCGATTTGCGGTGCTCCGGTGGGACATTCTCCACTCAATATATCGATTTTTAGAGTCTTCAACTCCTCCGAATCGTTGTCAATACTTGTTCCATTGATTTCGAAGCCCCGAAAAGCCAGCTTTTCAGCTCTTTCCAGGGCTTTTTGAATGATGTCGCAATCGGTGGAAACTTTCTGAAAAATACCGCAGTAGTTGCGCAAAAACGACATATTGGATCAGTTTAATTAGACTTACTTTAAAGAAGCCTTGTTTTATTGCATAATTCTTATCATGATATGTAATTTTCCAAGGTAGGGGCCAGACACCGCCTCTAAAATTTATTACCTTTTTAATTATGGGAGTCTTACTCTGTCCATCGATTTGGCTCCGGTCGATTTAAAAACCAAGAATCGGCGAATTGCCAAAAACAGAGGAATACGATTAGCATGGGAATCAGCGGGAGAACGAACTCCTCTATGGATCGTTTCTTGATTAACGTGATAAGCCTGATAAGATTACGTGAAAATGGAAAGCGTGGACAAGCGCGAGAAATGGGTCAGAATCTTTTTAAAGGGACTGTGAAGGCAAGATTATAGTAATTTTGTGTTTTTAAAATTACGAGTTTTACTCAAAATGTGAAGACGCCTGGTGCGGAAAATCGAAATCTTGTTTCGGCCCCATTGAAGCAGCGAGCCCAAGGCGTCAGATCTTGAGCACCATCTTTATGGCCGTTTTTCTTGTAGATTTTCCAAGTCGATCTTGAAGGGAGGGAGCTTCCGCTAGGAGTCGATTTAAAAGAATACTACAAAAAAGCTGAAGACCTACTACCAAATTTAAAAACAAACAATTTTCTCGGAGTCTTACTGAAGTTAATAATTTTTAGCGGTGCTCAATCGGCGTACCTTGCATGCCATATTCCATTTGTTTGCCCTGCAGCCTTCAAATTTGAGTTTTCCAGTCGCGAGCTTCCTTCCACCAATTTTCACCGGTGTCAGCAGACAATATCATATTTTGATCAGTGGGTAGCCTTTTTTTGCAAAGCTCAATAAGTGGGCCAACGAAGCCAGTTTTGACACGTTCCCCGACTTTTAATTCCGATCCAAAACCAAAGGTTGAGCCATGTTTCTGCGGCTCAAAAAGTGACCAGCGCGGGCCTCTTTGGTTTTGACAAGGCCTTGAGAAACACCTTTCGAAAACCCATTAAACCCGGGGTCCCGCAGCGATGTGCTGGTATGAACGCAGAAAACCGTGGGGATACCGGTTGAGCTCGACATCCATTGAGCCGTGATCAAGTGCCAATGATGATGGCAGGTAGTGTGGGGTACGGTAGCGCCGTCGTGAAATCGGTGCACTGATAACACACAAAAAAGATGATAGCGTCAGGCGGTTTTGGATACTGTAGTAGTGGTAAGAACTAAAACTCCAAAGTGAATGCTTTGAAGAGACGAGTTACCGTAACGTTCCTTGGCTTGTAATGGACTCCAGGCCTCGGTCTTCGGAAGGCTACCGTAACCCACTGCTAAAATGCAATTGTAAAAAAATCACCAAATGGTGCTACGGTAGCAGATTTTCTTGAGCGTTAGCCGGTTGAGCAATCGTGTAGGTTGCTGTAATCGTGGTGTTGAAACCAAATTGTAAAGGAATACGGTAGCCGTTTTCCAAGACCTAACTGGTCCAGAATATACGGTAACTGCTGCAGAATGGAATCGTCTTAACGAAAGACACGCACTGTTGTCTTGAAAAGTTCGAAAAGCACCTTTTATTGATTTTTTTGCGTACGAGCGTAGAACATAGTAGTAGAACCCTTTAGAAAAACGACAAATCAAACGCATTTTCTTATTTTTAGTTTTTCAGACGATTTCGCAGTGGAAAAAATAGGAATGGTTACCGTAGGCGTAGGATTCTTTCCGGAACTGAGCCTACGGTAGTTGCAGTGCACGTTCGGCCGCTAATCTCTTAGTTTCATGTTTTCATCTTGTATTTTTTAGTCTGTTTTAGCTTAAATTTTCTGTTACGGTAGTTCGGGCTTCGTTTTTTTGCTTACAAGGGAACCTCAAGTTGGCACGGTGGGGTTTCGAAAAATTCTAGTTTTATACATATATTTGTTATTATTTGTTAGATTTGTTTGTTAGATTCGGGGGCTCAACATCTAGCTCGGCAAATTACCAGGAAATGGGTACACATAGGATAACGGGGGGGGATTAAAATAACGGGGGGCACTCATTATTATGAAATTTGCAATTACTGAGGGATTTTGCAAGTGCCATTCGATAGAGCGTCGAAAAATATACTAAGAGAATTAATTTCAGCTCGAAATAATGTAATAGAAATTTTTTATTGAATAAACAAAAATTGAGGAAAATCTATGGGCAGCACATAGGATGACGGGGGGGGAGGGAAAGTCAAATTTTCGAAATTTTCGACATTTTCGGTATTTTGACAACGTGATTCGGTAAAGCGTCGAAAACTGCCCTAGGAAAATTAATTTCAGCCCGAAATAATGTAAATGAAATTTTTTATCGAATAAACAAAAATTGATCCAAATCTATGGGCAGCACATAGGATAACGGGGGGATTTTCGGCGTTTTGAATTATTTCGAAATTTTGAAAATGCCATTCGATAGAGGACCGAAAAATATACTAAGAGTTTTTTTTACAGCCCGAAAAAAGCTTATTTAAAAATACTTTTATCATATAAAAAGTTGGAGTGCCCCCCCCGTTATTCCCCCCCCCGTTATCCTATGTGTACCAGGAAATGTGACGCCTGTCGTCCAAGTTTCGGAATGGAACCCGTATTTTTAATTTCCATATTTTACGTCGAGGACCGTACTATTTGTTTTCCGTACATAGTTTTACAGTTCCTCGGCCCATAGTAACACCCATCTGACCAAAATAGGCCCATCCCAATTTATCACCCATTAATGGGTACTTTCAAGGTTTCAGATGTTCCGACCGACCTCGCCTTCACTCTCTGCTCTTCCCACTATCGCCCACTCTCTATCGAGAATCATAAAACCGTCCTCTTCAGGGAAAAGAAGGGGCACTAAATAGCCTCGCGCTCATCCACACGCACGAGCCGAGGAACAGTTTCGAGGTTTGAGAGCTCAGTGTCTGGCGGAGTTGATCAAATGATCCCTACGGGTCAGGTCAAAGACGCACTGTATGTCTTATCGAAACTTTTGAGCAGGTGATCTCAGCCACAAAAGTAAAAACCAAAATACTCGTGGATAAGCTTCAAAAATTGTTTAAATGAAGCTGAAAAAATTTGACGCTCCGTTGTGGTAAGCGGCTTAGGAATAGCCACTTGCCAGCGTCCTGGTCGATTCAAAACCTTTAACTTACCGTAACCTTCAAAATCCGGCTGTTTCAGTGGTTACAGTAAATTTCTGCTTTTCACGATTTCCCTTATTACGTGAAGGCGCGGTGCCAAGAAGAAATCGGTGCAGAGAACTTGGGTAATTGGGCGGAAAATTGCTCGGACTAGGTTACGGTGGCCGCCGATAGGTGATTCGTTCGAAAGGTGTGATTAGGAAATAAAGGCCGAATCTGGATTTTAGGTACTGTGACTCTGTCACTTACTACTCTGTTCTCGCTGTAACTCATTTTTAAGGCACTGCAAAATAACTACAACACAGTAACCCCAATTTTTAATGATTAGTTGTCAGATTTCATTTATTTGATTTGATTTGATTTAATGATTCAGATTAGCGGTTTTCGTAGCTTCAGAATATCGTAAGTTAACTGTTTTACCGCCTCTTTAAAACGAACATTATCATTTTAATTTTTCTCATAGCCACTTCCAAATCTCCAAAACAAAGTCCCAGAGATTCCTCAATCGAGCTGATGTGCGCATTCGTGTTCGCAGAAAAGCGTGCCCCCAGGCGGGAGATGGCTTCCGGGAGCGAGAGAAAGAGAGAGAGAGAGAGAGAGAGACAGAGAGAGAGAGAGAAAACTGTGATATTTTGGGCCGATCGCCTCGTGAGCCTTCCTGGTTGTTTGGGAGGGTGATCAAGATCAGCGCCGCTGGGGGTTCCCCCAGATTCGGATAGGATTACGATAGCTAATTCGGTTTTTCACGTGTCTGGGTGAATTTTCGAGGCGTGAATCGGGTTACGATAGCCAAATGCACTTTCTACCGTACTTCTAATTTTTCACAATCCGTTTCTGGACTCTGGACGTACGAAGTGCAAAAACCTTTCACTTGGGGTTTGCTTGAACTTCGAAGAAAAGAGAGAGAGAGAGAGAGAGAGAGAGAGAGAGAGAGAGAGAGAATGAGGCATATCGAGAGCGCAAAATGCGTCAAGCGCTCTGGCTATTCGCCGATGAGGAGAATCAACAAGCCCATAAATTTCTCAATCTCTCACATCCGGTCGGGCGCCCTTCACATGCTCCTCATGCTATTTCGGAGTGACAGCTAGGGCCTAAAATAGCCAAGAGTCTTTGAATTCTGAGTAATCCACCTGGTTCAACACTCGGTCTACCCGGAAATCATATAGGGCGAATGAGAGTGAGATAGAGTGAGAGAGAGAGAACGAGAAAAAGCATCAGACTAAGAAAATGCATTAGTGAATGGAAAAACCAGCATACTGCAAAATTTTCGATTTGTCCATGCAGTCTACTGTGCCTGCCCCCGGTATTTGTCGAGATCTAGTGGATAAAAAGGGTAGATTTTTGAGCTTCACAGCAGAAAAAATAATGTAGGCTACTATAAAGCTGAAGTTTACACGAATTATAATCCGGAACCAATCCGGAATTTTTTACCTTTTGTCTAGCTTAATCGGAAATTCACCAGAACAGATCATTCTTTAAAATTTAGACATCACGCTAAAGTCCACAATTTTTCATTTTAAGGATTTTAAGGACTAAAACCAACAGTTTGAAATTTCGATCCCCCATCCGCATTGGTCTAAAAACCAAAAATTCTCGCGACCAACCCAAAGATATCCCTTTCCGGGTGGGTCTCCCTCGACAGGTTGGGGCTCAGTCACCACGGTTGACCGGTCAAATTTTTTATTAGTATTTTTCGGGACGGGTGGGATCCGGATACGATCCTCTCTATCGCCTCCCCTTTAACCCCACCCCCCTCGCTCCCGGATGGTAGCTCGGCCAAAATATATCAGTGGCGTTTAGGGCTCAGTTTCCGGAGTTCATCGGCTTAACTAGTCGAAACCCCACAACTTCTCCTCGTTTTCTAACGGTATTGCGTGACGTGACGGTTCTAATTTTAAAGCGTTGCGTGACGAGGCAAAATCCATATGATGAAGGAACCACAAATTTATGAATAGTTCCAATGTCACGTTTTTCTCTATCCTGATTCTCGATCTTCTATAGCTTGCAACTCACTTATTCAAGTGTTTTTCTGTTTTCTGAATTTTTCAAACTCAAGCTTACAACGTTTTTCTTACTTTAAATTTTGATCGTAGCTAAATTAAACCTGAAAACGTCCTTATTCTTATTTTTTCTGGCTAATTTTTTTACCTTCGCGCCCTATAAAAGCAGAACCGATTTACACTTATAAAATCCTCGAATTGAAACAAAACTAGCGTAGTGTACAGCGCCCCCAAAAAAAACTTAATTTATACTCTTAACGCGAGCAAAATACCGTAAAAAACTTCTTTGAACCGCCCGGATTCAGGTTCCTATCAGATTTTTTAAGGATTTGCTACGCATTTTTTTTTAACGAAACCGTCTGTCCATCCGTTCATACGCGGAAAAAATGGTGATTCCGGTCCTCCCCCAAAAATAATACCAGGCCGACCATGGGATTATGCGGGGCGTGTGAACCTGTTCAGCCCGCCGAACATAGCGCGAGAGAGTGATGAGAGAGAGAACGAGAGCGAGAGAGAGAGAGAGAGAGAGAACGAGAGAGTGAGAGAGCGGGAGAGAAAGAGCGAGAGAGAGAGAGGGAGAGAAAGAGAGAGAAAACCATACAGTCAGAACGCGAATGATGGTCGTTTTGTTTGGCGCGGGGGGGGGGGGGAGGCTGACCCATCCGCCAGCTCAAAAATTGATAAATGCCGATGTTGGCACAGTTTCGCCTAGTAAGCACGCCCCGGATCATCAACACGCTTATTTTTCCACTTTTTGGCGGGCGATTTATGGGGGGTATTTTATGCCGGAAGTGAGCTGTCCCAACGGTGGATCTTCAGTGTTCACAGATAGCCACTTGAAATTTCCCAAATTTTCCCTTCCCCTGCCCTTTTTCGGATTATACCACGAACGTACCCAACTCAAAGCTTTGAACAACATTAGAATTTTTATCAGGCCTTCTTTTTTTGAGCATAGTTGACCGGTCGAGCGGTTTGACCACCCTCTCTCCACTCTCTCTCCACCACTCGCCTTTTTCATAAAACTGCTCAATATTTGAAAATTTTCTGATTTTTTGTAAACCTCGTGGTTGTCGATTTCGTATTCTCAAATAATTTCTATGTTTTATACGTCGAATAAATAATTTCAGAACTCGCTTGTTAAATGGCGGGCCAAGAACCACAGACCAAGCTCCAGCCTCTCAAAATGCCAAAGTGAGTTCTATGTTTTTTTAGGATTTCGAAAACCTACTCGATAATTTATGGAGCAGCAAAACATTTTAGAAAGCTGAAATATCAAATATCCAGACGATGAATAGGATTGTAAAACTTCTTTTTAGCGGCAAGCCCCAAGAAAAAGTGGTCCCTCACCGCCCTCGCCGATCTTTTGCCATCCGTCTCTACCATTGGCTCTGTATTCGTCACTTGTTCATCTCCGGGCTGTTGCTCGGATTCACTTTCCTATCCGCGTGGGCCATCTGGCAAGTTGAGAAGGCTGCTGAGGAGCAGGTACGTCAACCTGTTACCTTTCTCTATCTCTCTCTCTCGCTCTCTGTCTCTTCTTCTTCTCTTCATCCAACATTTTCAGCAAGTGCTCGACTACCATGAACAAATCGAGGCTTACCTTGACGATGTCGTGCATGAGATCCAGGGCGAAACCTTGAAAAACAAGAATTTACTGACCGATCCCGTCGTCATGGAGGAGCTGCTAAAGGTACCGTAACTTTTGAGGATTTTTATAGCAATTCAAAAAGGATGATTTTTTATATTTCTATTTCAGTCTCTTTACGTAAAAATGGAGAAGAAAGAGAACATCTACGTGGGGTCGACGCTGCACAAGGCCGAGAAACCCGAGGACAACATGATGTGGCGATTCTGGCCTTCGGTGTTCTATGCCTCGAATATTTACATGACTGTTGGTTACGGTAAGTGGATGGTACCTTATTGACCGACCGGGCCAAGCGTTCGGGCTTTCGAGATTTTTCGAGAATTCTAATTACGGTAATCTTCAGGTGCCATCCATTGCTTCACCTCGTGGGGCCAGTTCTTCTCGATTGTCTACGGCTTCATCACAATCCCCTTTTCTCTGGTCGTCATCCGAGATCTATCCCAATGGATTCTCGTCATCCTCACCCGCATCTACGGGCGTGCCGTCATTAGGTGGAGGTGCGTACTCTATAGAATGTCTTGAGGCGATTTCGCTGCGGAATGGCGCGCCTAAAATCGTTCAATAAAAACGATAATAAGTGGGACTGAAACTTTTCAAGGTTTTCAAACGTCTGAAAATGTGGTTTCAAACGACATAGCGCGTCTAAAACGCCAAAAATTCTCAGAATTACCATTTTCAAATTGCAAAATTTTCAAAAGATTTTTGTGCGCGTTTTAAAACTATATCATGCGTGCAGCAACGTCGAAAAAATAAGCCCAAATATTTTTGAAGTTTTGAAAATTTGTGAGCCTTTTTAGCACGACGTGTTGCATCCGGTTACGGCACGAAAAGCACTCTAAATCGCTTTTTTTCAGAAAAGACCACGGTATCGAGACGGACCCGAATGAAGAATTCGCATTCCCCATCAAATTCACCGTTGTGCTATGGTTTGGCAGCTGGTTCTCGGTCGCCTTCCTTACCTACTGCTATGATGCCATTTGGGCGCTGAAATGGGGTGGTCCTGGAGGTCAGTGTTGCCTACAATGGCCCTTTAAACCGTTCTCTTCCTATCCCTCGCATTCTCACCACTCTCCCCCCCCCCTCTCTCTTTCTCTCTCTCTCTCTCTCTCTCTCTCTCTCTCTCTTTCTCTCTCTCGCCTAAAGCCTAAGCTCGTAATTTTCAGCTGATTCGCAAGATTACTTCGGAGCCGTCTGGTATTCGTGGATCACTATTACCTCCATCGGTATGAGCGATGACATGCCGCTTAATGCTACGGTGAGTACCAAAAATTCGTGATGGGATCTTGACTTGCCTAGCGTAATCTGATCGATGCTTTTAGACATCTCCCCTTCTCTCCCTGTGGTACTTCCTGTCTCTCCCCATGTACAAAATCAGTCTCCGTATCATCTACATTATGATGGAGAACGGAATCCTCGGATCGTTGGCTGTGCTGGAGAGAAAACTGGAGGGCGCCCAAGCGGTAAGAATTTAAAATTTCCAGAAACGCATTTGTGGTAGTTGCATTGCGTTCATTAGAGGTAGAGATATAACGGGAGAAAGAGAAACAGAGCGAGAGAGTGAGAGAGATACTTTCTTATATTCCCGAGTTAATATGTATTTTCAGATCGAAGACGCCAGCATGGAGAATGCTCGTCCGATTCAATCTCACCGTGCTTCCCGAATGTCTCGAGCCCAGACGGTAGAGGAAGCCGAGCAGGAGCAGGTAAATTTGAGAAATTTAGAGCTGGGAGAAGCCTTTGGGCGGTCAAATAGCGTAGTATTTATTACATAGTCTTAGTGGAAAACTCGAATTATCTTCTTTTTCAGGAGGAACGCGACCGTATCGACAAGGACGTGAACAACTTCACGGTCGGGTCGATTGGAGGATTTATGAGATCTCAGGTATGTTTAAAAATTCGCTTAACTTGCTTTCGAAAACTTATATATTTGATACTTAATTGTAATGATAAAGATATACGTAAAAAATTTTGGAACCTTGCCGATGCGCGATAATTGAATCAGTTAATTCTCATGGGCATTTTAGCTCGAATAAACCTTTTTTTAAGATATTCTTTACGCAATAGTTCGCGTTTTTCGTATGTTAATTACATGCATTCTTTTTAGGCCGACGCCTATGCTGGAGATTTCGGAAGAGTGCGTGTCAGCCGCGATTCACATGAATAAGTATTTCCGTAAATAATTTTATCTTATCGAAAGTTTCTGCAATTTTTGCTCAGCTTGCCAATCCGGTTATTGTCTCGGTTCCGGGTCCACCTATCCATTTCCCAGCCCTTATCAAGCAATCCATCAGCTTTTTATGAAAAAAAATAATTGATCTCTTCGTGCGACTGGATCAGCTGTCACTTTTGGACAGTGTTGATGTTGGTTCCACAAAACAACTATGTACACCCATGGGTATTGAATAAAGTATCATTTCTAAAAATCGTAAAAACTTACAAAAAGGAAAAAATACAAACGTCAAAAAATCCATAAAGTCTTACAACTTGTTAGCAGAGCAAAGGAAACCTAAGAGAGAGGAGAGAGAGCGCGAGAGAGAGCGAGCGAGAGAAGCAAAAACTGGTGCCACATCAACCTGAAATTCAATTAAAAATCGGTCATTTACTTGGAATCCCAGCCCAAGAAGAGCAATCCACCAAAGATCCTTGGGGAATTGGATGGTCTACGCTACGTTTTAGGACAATATAACTTTTAAAGTTTGTGAAAAGCACCGCTAGCTTCGTAAAAATCTGAAATAATACAAAAACTTAAATTCGAGCAGCAGACTGTATTTCCATTTGTTTTGTTACTTACCGTAACGCATTAAGCCTTTCGATCAGATTTTGATTTCAGTTTTATGCCTCTTGAAGCACGATAACTAAAAATCCGTAATGACTTCCGATCGGGTGGCCATTTGTTGTTTGGGGTGGCTTAGCTCCGATTTAACCGATCAGCTGCGCAACCCGGAAAACGGGACCTGGCCAACCGCGCGCGCTCAGGCAAAATATTGGTATCATGATCACAGATCTGGAACTGCCGTGTGACGGCGAGGAGATTGACTTTTTTATGAGCATAAAATCCACTTTTAAATTACGTAATTCAGATCTTCCACTGCTCTACCGTAAGATTAGTCGTTTGCATGGCGTAATCGCTTGGCTTTTTGCCAAATGAAATCCCTAGAAATAATGGCCATGCAATTCTTCTAATACCAGCGGGGGAGGAGCCGCTTCGCGACTCTCCCCCGCTGGACCCCATCTAGGCCCTATGAATCGAGCGCCCTTCCACATAAAGTTACCCTGAAGAAAGAAAAACGCATCTCCCATGAAACCCTCTTTGTATTGGCATGCTGCGGAAACTTGAACCGCTAGTCTCGTTATTAGGCCTGCGGCGCATGTTTGTGGCTACCTCATCCTGCGGCCCAAGCTTGCAGGATTAGCTTCCTTTTTTTGGCCTGCGGCGCCAGTTTGAGCGGCTTGCTTCGATATAAAGCCTGCGGCGCAAGTTCGAGCGGTTACCTCCTCCCTTAAGCCTGCGGCGCTAGCTTCAATGGTTGGCTTTATTCCTTAGCCTGCGGCGCTAGCTTGTGGGGTTAGCTTCGTTCTAAAGCCTGCGGCGCTGGCTTGTGCGGCTAGCTTCGTTCTAAAGCCTGCGGCGCTAGCTTGAGCGGCTAACTTCGTTCTAAAGCCTGCGGCGCTAACTTGAGCGGCTAGCTTCGTTCTAAAGCCTGCGGCGCTAGCTTGAGCGGCTAGCCTCGTTCTAAAGCCTGCGGCGCTAGCTTGAGCGGCGAGCTTCGTTCTAAAGCCTGCGGCGCTAGCTTGAGCGGCTAGCTTCGTTCTAAAGCCTGCGGCGCTAGCTTGAGCGGCTAGCTTCGTTCTAAAGCCTGCGGCGCTAGCTTGAGCGGCGAGCTTCGTTCTAAAAGCCTGCGGCGCTAGCTTGAGCGGCTAGCTTCGTTCTAAAGCCTGCGGCGCTAGCTTGAGCGGCGAGCTTCGTTCTAAAGCCTGTGGCGCTAGCTTGAGCGGCTAGCTTAGTTCTAAAGCCTGCGGCGCTAGCTTGAGCGGCTAGCTTCGTTCTAAAGCCTGCGGCGCTAGCTTGTGGGGTTAGCTTCGTTCTAAAGCCTGCGGCGCTAGCTTGAGCGGCTAGCTTCGTTCTAAAGCCTGCGGCGCTAGCTTGAGCGGCTAGCTTCGTTCTAAAGCCTGCGGCGCTAGCTTGAGCGGCTAGCTTCGTTCTAAAGCCTGCGGCGCTAGCTTGAGCGGCTAGCTTCGTTCTAAAGCCTGCGGCGCTAGCTTGAGCGGCTAGCTTCGTTCTAAAGCCTGCGGCGCTAGCTTGAGCGGCTAGCTTCGTTCTAAAGCCTGCGGCGCTAGCTTGAGCGGCGAGCTTCGTTCTAAAGCCTGCGGCGCTAGCTTGAGCGGCTAGCTTCGTTCTAAAGCCTGCGGCGCTAGCTTGAGCGGCTAGCTTCGTTCTAAAGCCTGCGGCGCTAGCTTGAGCGGCTAGCTTCGTTCTAAAGCTTGCGGCGCTAGCTTGAGCGGCTAGCTTCGTTCTAAAGCTTGCGGCGCTAGCTTGTGGGGTTAGCTTCGTTCTAAAGCCTGCGGCGCTGGCTTGTGCGGCTAGCTTCGTTCTAAAGCCTGCGGCGCTAGCTTGAGCGGCTAACTTCGTTCTAAAGCCTGCGGCGCTAGCTTGAGCGGCTAGCTTCGTTCTAAAGCCTGCGGCGCTAGCTTGAGCGGCTAGCTTCGTTCTAAAGCCTGCGGCGCTAGCTTGAGCGGCTAGCTTCGTTCTAAAGCCTGCGGCGCTAGCTTGAGCGGCTAGCTTCGTTCTAAAGCCTGCGGCGCTAGCTTGAGCGGCTAGCTTCGTTCTAAAGCCTGCGGCGCTAGCTTGAGCGGCTAGCTTCGTTCTAAAGCCTGCGGCGCATGCTTGAGCGGGGAGCATCATTCTATAGGCTGAGGCTTGAGTGACTAACTTCATAATAACCTCCCTACACGTCAAACACCCTCAAGGGGACTGCCCGGGGCAGAGGAAGGAAAGGCATCGAGAGACGACCAAACTCGCGAGTGCAACTGGCAAGAATGAAGAAATTTGTATTTTTTTCACATATATTTACTTATTTACTTATTTACCTAAGCCTAAGCCTAAGCATTGTATTTACTTATTTCCCAGAACCGCGTAAGCAGGTTTGGAAATCCTTGTTTCTGGGGATTTCGGGTGCGTCATGTTTTGAGGAGTGGTCATTTGCTCTGGATGTAGGTGTGCTTTGAGTAGAGATTAACAAAAAACGACAATTTAAATGATCCTCTTGAAAGTTTATGGCTGCCAAATTCTTCTACGCTTTGCACACGTTACGCTCATGGGACCCACACGCTACGTATACGCTACGCACTCACACGATGCGCATACGCTACGCACAAGTTGCGCACACGCTATGCACGCGCTTTACAAACGTTACCCTCTCTACGCATACACCCGATTTTTCCAGGCTGTAATCCATTCAGATGCAGCCGCTGCGTGCGCGTCACGTGTCGCAGGTTTGCGGTTTATGCAAAACCTAGGGGGGAACAGTTTCTGGCTTTCCAGTGCCATTAAAGGGCCCAGGAAAGGCAATAATCGACCCCTTGGACTCTCGACAGCTACGCGATGTGCTAAAAAACGCGCGCCATTCTGTTTGCTTTTCTAAAGATTAGCTCCACTAGTAAAAACTTCAAAGGCGGTTGGAAACGTTTTGGAACCTTGCGTCGTTGGTTGCCTCGTTGTCGAGACCTAGTAGATGAAGAGGGTAGAATTTACACTTCTCAGTTCCTTTAATATCTCTTTTCAACCAACATGTGCGCAAGCTAGGGCTTTCCAAAAATATCCCATATTTCATGTTATCCATGCTAAAGTGCGTCATAACTCCATTCCGCGAACGCGCCAGTCCTCCGTACACCCCACCGGAAGTCCTGGGTGCGCCTTGTATTTTGTTGACGAGATCGCCGTGATCTTTTGATGATTGTACAACCTCTATCTCAGGCTCATGCTCCTCTCTCTATCCCCAGCTGATGCTCCCCATGCCTCGTTTTCCCTTTATCGTCTCGCCCCTCCCGGTCTCTCGCTTTTTGAGCTCTCGCTGAGCTCTCACCCGGGTCGACCGTACTCCCCCCAAAAAGGGATGGCCCCAGAGGTGGTGCTCCTCCCTTTTCTCCTCCCCCTTTTCGGATTTATGGATTTTGTCGGGACCTCCCCCAACCGGAAATCTGTTTAAAACCTATTCAGGTCTCCGGATTTGGCCAGGCTATGGCATTCTCGAGCTTGGAATCCGAATCCGGAAATGCATTTCGTGATTTTGCCGGATTTCTCAAACTAGACCGGACATTCCGGACCAAAACCTTACCGTGGGATTTTGCGGCTTAGCGTTTTTTAAGTTTAAGCCCAAGCGCGCAATTAAGCCTGGGGCGGATCCGGAAATGAAAATTTTCTGCCGGAAAATCGCTAGCGGATCCGGAAAATAGGTTTCTTTCCGATTTTTCGAAGTTCCACTTTGCGCATTGGCGATATGAGAATTTTACAATCTTTTCTTCCTTTTTCGAAAGAGAAGCCTTGTTTCTGACCGGAAATCGGATCCGGAAAGCTAAAAAATAAAAAAATAACTTTTTGATGCTACATGTTCTGATGTGAAGATTCTGCTCCTATCCAATATCCTCGATCAATCGATAATTCTGCTTTTTCGTGTGTTTCTAATTTTAAGTGTTCTATTACGTTACTTTATTAATTTCTATTTTCAGAAACCCCTCTCCAAAAATGAAAGAAGAAAAGAAGATTGTGATGCCCGCCCCGAGGAGGCGGAGGGCCACAATTCGAAAGGATATTGTGCCGATTGAGGGCGCAAACAGGAATCGTACGTACTTTTTCTTTATGCCAAACTTCAGTATGATTGAAATATATTTAATTGGAATCCTTAAACTTTAAAATTTTACAAATTTTCTTCCACTATCAAAATTAAAGTTTGTTAGAAATCAATTGATCCGAAAAGGTTCTATTTTTCAGGCTTTGCCCACTCTCTCTACTGGCTCGCCTACAGACATACCGGAATTGCTTTCCGGCATGTGATGATGCTCGTCCTGATGGGCGCCCTGACGATTGTTGGTGGATGGTGCTTTTTGCAGATTGAGAGGCCGGCTGAGCAGCAGGTAGTTGTCCTTTTTGTTCTTAAAGACCGTCAGAACGATGAAATTCCGTTGAGAGCAAGAAAGTTGCGCACCGGGCGGGAGTCGAACCAGCGATGGTTCGCTCCACAGTCCGACGCGCTAGCCACTACCCCACAGGGCCAAGTGGGGAAGGGAGTCAGAGACGCCCCAAACCCCAGGGGGCCTTTGCCCAGTACGGGGCACCACTAATGACGCATCTCTCCGCGCGTTCTTGGGGGCAGCACCCTCGGGGTGACAGGCGCGCGTTCCATCGTTCTGGTAGTCTTTAAGTGACGCTATTTCTAACCTTACATTTTATAAATTTTACTAACCTTAGTTAGCCCACTGTCTTGTTCCCTTTACAAAGCATTTTTAGATCTATGAAGACTCGATGAACAAACTGAATGACATGCTAAAGATCCAGTCCAAAGACTTGGTTGCTCAATTGAAATCTCAAAATGGGTCGGATCCAAATTTGTTGAAGAATAAAATTAGGGTAAGTTTAAAGATATGGAGAGATAGATAGGGAGAGAGAGAGAGAGAGAGAGAGAGAGAGAAAGAGAGAGAAAGAGAGAGAGATAGAGAGAGAGAAAGAAAGAAAGAGAGATCGAGAGAGAGAAAGAGAGAGCGAGTAAGAGATAAAGAGAAAGCGAGAGATAGAGAGAGACAGAGAGACAGAGAGATCGAGAGAGAAAGAGAGAGCGAGAGAGAGAGCGAGTAAGAGATAAAGAGTGAGCGAGAGATAGAGAGAGCGAGAGAGCGAGAGAGGCAGAGTGACAGAGAGAGCGAGTAGCAAAGCTAAAATTCGATTTTTAGACAGCCTACCATGCCCTCCTCACAGCGGAAGAGCGATATACCAAATCGGTGTACTTCAAGGTCGAAGACCCGGACGCGAATTACGCGTGGAAATGGTACTCCGCTGCCGTATTCTTTTGTACTAACGCCTTCATGACCGTGGATTATGGTAGGTTTTGAAAAATCGCGTTCTCTTAAATTTTTCATTTTCCCGGACTCTTGAATTTTGTTAGATTATGCAAGCTTTGAGAAAGTTAAAGATTGTATTTTCTTAATGAATTATTGATTTTTAGGTACGGTACCCGCCGTGACGGATCTTGGACGCTTAATGACGATCTGCTTCACGCTAATCTCCATCCCACTGGCCGTCGTTGTAACTCGTGACTTGGGACAGGCTATCCTCTACCAGATCACTAAGATGTACAGCTACTGCGCCCGACTGTAGGTTGTTGTGTAACGTAGCGGGTCGCATCGTCGCGGGACGTAGCGTGGCGTAGCGTATCATAGCACAGTTTAGCGTAACGTAAAGGCCGAACGTACGCAGCCGTGTAGGATTTTTACGCTACTATCCCGTAATCTATCCCGTATATACCGTAGCTTAGCGTACCGTAACGTAGCTGACCGTCGCCTAGCGTAGCATGCGGTTTCGTAACGTATTGGCGTTACATGCCTAGCGCGCAGCCGTTTTCTCGCCTACCGTACTGCCGTAGTGTTTAGTAGCGTACAAGAATATTCTCAATTTTGAAAGCTTAAGACGGCACCTAAGCCTTAAAGTGTCAAAATATCTCCTCCAAGACTTGCTAATTCCTGTAAAACCAGTAAATTCCAGTGGAACCCCGACGAAAGATGAGCCGGACGGAGTATCGATTGGCATCACAATGGCTGTGGTGTTGATGTTTGGTAAGTCAATTTCCAGCATTGTTATAAGCTAAAAAAATCTGTTTTTCTAAATTTAAACAAATTATTGAAAATTGTTTCGGCAAGAAATTTCAAACGAAACGTTTTGTTATACTTTGACCATTAAACGCCACCTGCTGCCCTTTCCCGATCTCTCGACGATGACCCGTTTTTCTGTATATCTGTCCCATTTCGATGTGACTTTGCCGATTTCGTCGCGTAAAATTTATTGGCTTTCCAATAAGGGAGCTCTTGAGCTACCGTAGCCCTAAAAAATTTTAAATAACGACGATTGTATAGCGGATTCAAAAGGTAAGTTGCTTCGGCATTGTTCCCTCAACAAAAACCGTCAGAAAAGTGGTGAGAACCGGAAGCGAGAAAAATAAATTAATACATTAAATTAATCCAAAAAGATTAATTTACTACATAAAGTAAATCCAAAGAATCTAGATGTAGATCGTATGAAATTCCTCTTTTTCAGTATCCTGGTTCTCGTGTGCGGCATTCACCTACTGGTACGACGGTCTGTTCGGCCCGAATAGCATCACGTACTGGGGCGCCGTATACCTTGCCTATCTTACCGTCACTACCATTGGATTGGGAGATTTAATGCCAACCTATACTTTCGTAAGTATTACTCAACTATTACTCTACTTGTCGATAGCTGAATGTGGCATTTCGAAAGTATAAAGTCAGACAGAAGATTTATATATATTTTTAGCGCGATCCCGCCTGGAAATTCGTCCATTTCTTCGTTGGCATGCCATTCAGGGTGAATTTTTGAGCATTTAAGTTGATTTTAACCAAATTTTACGGATTTAGATTTTTATACAACTAATTCCAGATCGTCAACCGCTGCACTTTCGTCGGAATCGAGAAAAGTGTCTTCGGCGCGTTCAAGGGCTTCGAGCAGCGCACGGAAGCGCTCTTCCAAAATCATGTTGCCGAAAGGAGGGATTCGGTCAGTTTTAAAAACTATTTAGAACGTATTAAAAAATGCCTACCGTTTTAAACCCCGTGTAAAAATGTAAAGTTACTAATTTAATTTGGAAAATTGATTAAATAAAATTTAGCACCAAGATAGAAAGCGCGTGGTGTAGCTTGAAAGATAAATTATTTATTTTGCTAGCATGATTTAGCTCCTTTTTTATAAATCAGACAAAACTGTTTGAATCACAAATATAACAAGGTTTCTTTCAGAGCTCAACCCCATCGGAAGCTGGTCCCGGCTCCCCAACAATCGATGTGTTTGGCGGAGATTTCGGTCGTGTCCGCATCGCTGGAAAGCAACTCGACTAATGCCATTTTTTACATTTATCCGATCTCGCAATTCTATCGGTATTTTCTGCCTTCAATTCTGTGGATGTCGCAACGGGTATTTTGCATAAACATGTACGAAAAACCTTTTATATACATTTTCTTTTGAAGATGACGAAAATAAAATACAGAAACACAAATAGCAAAATTCCAAAAATCCTCATAAATTTTTTAAAGCCGTGAAAAATTTGAGCAGTCTTGGGACACAGTACAAAAGAAAAATCGAGAAAATACTAGAAATTTATAGCCTGTACTCCTCCAACACCTCGTACCAAAAGTCGAAGTCTTCGTCGGTGAGGTAGCCGCCGTTCGCGTATACCTAGAAAAGTATCCTAATATATTGTCAGAGAGCGCGCGAGAGACTGGGCGAAAGCGAGAGAGAGAGAGAGAGAGAGAGAGAGAACGATAGTGACAGAGATATATAAAATCATTTTGCTACCTTTTCGATATGTGCCTCCCCGATGGTGTGCCGGATCAACTCCTCAAGGTTTGGCAGCGTTTTCTGGCAGTTATGGCAGTGCTAAAAACAAAAAAATCATAACGTTATTTTTGCAGTTTGTAATCCTCAATCAAGCAAAAACCAACCACTCTCAAGTCCACAAGTGCCACCTCCTTGTTAGCGCACGTCCAAAAGTCGAATTTCTGTGAGAAGTGCTTGCGGAGTTGGCCGGCTTTGGCTTGGCTTTCGTTTTCTGAATCAAAATTTTTTTGGTCAAATCATAAAGGTCTTATCAAGGCAAAAATCTTCCAAGGGTCTAATGTAGTAGAGTATACATGGGTCGGGGCCTGGGGGCGCCGCCAAATGCCCCTCTCGAGGAGCCTTTTGGGGGCGTCTTGGGTGGGGCCTTTTTCCGGTATGCAGCGATGTAAATTGCAAAAAGTCATCTGAAAAGCGTTTTTTCGCAATTTGCATCGCTGCATACCGGAAAAATGCCCCACCCAGGGCGCCCGCCGGCCCCCACCCAAGACGCCCCCAAAAGGCTCCTCGAGAGGGGCATTTGGCGGCGCCCGCAGGCCCCGACCCATATATATAGTAGAGTAACTTTATTTGGTTTTAAAATACCGCCAAAAATGTAAAAATTTTTGGACTATTTTAATGGTATTAGTGGACCAGGATGAAACCATAGGATGATCTGAAACCTGATGAATACTTGAATGCCCTGTAAACAAAAAAAAAATTAAAATTAGGTAAAATAGGAATAACGAAAACAACTAAACGTTTTAAAGGACCTCTGAAGTCAGTGGCTTTCTAATAACTAAAAGCTGAATTAAATCTAATTAATAAAATCACGAAAATCATCTTAGACCTACCAGTTAGCCGGCAATTTATCGAATTCCTGGATGAGGCAGTGAATACTGGTAAATCTACCGTAGCTGCTTGCATTGCTTTGAGTTTTCAAGGATAGACGGATGAATCGTGTTTTGGTGGATCTTTTCGGCTTATATTCGCCCTTATTCTCTATCCTTTTTCGGGCATCACCCACCTAGTCCAACGTAATTTCACTCAAAGCGATAAAATCTTTGGTTCTCGACAGCTTCGAGAACGGTCTGTTATTTTGTGTCTACCCTCAAAAAGATGGTCAAAAACGGACCCCATGAGGAGATCGAAAAGGAAGGCAACTTGAGACTTTGGTAACACGCAACTTCAGCAAAATCGTTAAAGACCGTCAGAAAGATCAAAATTTCGTTAAAAGCGAGAAATTGCGCACCGGGCGGGGTCGAACCCGCGATAGTTCGCTCCAGAGTCCGACGCGCTAGCCACTATGCCACATGGCCGAGTGGAGAAGGAAGTCAGAGGCGCCCCAAACCCCAGAGGGCCTTTGCCCAGTACGGGGTGCAACTAATGACGCCTCTCTCTGCGCGTCCTTGGGGGCAGCACCCTCGGGGTGACAGTGCGCGTTCAAGAGTTCTAGCGGTCTTTAAGTGATCCTGAAACCTAGAGGAATAGTGATAGTCGCAGTAAAGAAGGACGATCTGCAAATAGCAACGATTTTCGGCCATTTGAAATGAAAAATTATTTAACAGACTTTTAAAGGTGTTCAGAAATAGCCATTCTTGTCGGAAAATCGATATCTTTTATTTTTAAAACCTACATTTGTAAAGTTTCCTTGCGGCTAGGCGTGTTAAAAATAATTTGGCACGTTTCCTCCTTTTACCTGGATAGCTATGCCTCCAATCCCGTTTTTACGTGCCGTTCCTTCAGATAAATCGGGGTCCAAAATGGCATCGGGAAGTGATGATTATTCCCTTAAAATGCCATTTACAATCTTTGGTCGCCTGCCGTAAATTGCAGCCGTTTTTTGACCAATTTTACTATCAATTTACGGGGGTCCCGTGGTCATTCCCTGACTACCTCTCTATCTCTCACTCTCTGACTCTCTCACTCTCTCTCACTTTCTCACTCTCTCACTCTCTCTCTCTCTCTCTCTCTCTCTCTCTCTCCTTACGGATGCAATCGTGGAAAACTAGAGATCGAGGTATGCCTCGATGGATTCTGAAAAACTGATAAGACAGCAGCAGGGCACACCTTAAAATTTGTGTACCACCGTTTATAGCCTCTCCCGGGCGTCAACAAACGTAAATTCGTATTTCCACGGATACTCTCAGTTTTTTGCGTGATTTCCAAAGGTAAATGATCCATTTAAGAACGACCGTAATCCGCTAATTTTCAGACAATTCTCTGGCTAAATAGACTAGATTATTTGTTACTACGCTATAATATCTGGTTTTTGTTGAGCTTTTTATGATATTTTCTGCCTGCTAATGCTTGCCCGAATTCTACCTTAATCTTCCGGCGGGATGCACGGGTTTGGGCGGTGTTTTTGGGTATTTGCGGCCCTCGCCTTATTGTTGGCTCTTTTGGGCGTATTCCTAGTTGGTCCTTTCTATTTTGTGCTATTTGAGAAGCTGGTGCACGGGCAGATACCGCTGCGGTGAGTAACTTTTATAAAAAACCGCAGAAGATATTGTCAAAATTTAGACTTCTAAATTCTTGAAGATAATAGAGAACTAACTTTTTTTTCTGGCGCGCATGGTAAAATTTAGCGGAAACTCAGATAGAGAGCGAGGGAGAGAGAGAGACAGAGAGAGAGAGAGAGAGAGAGAGAGAGAGAGAGAGAGAGAGAGAGAGAATGAGAGAGAGAAAGCGCGAGAGAAATAAGAGAGAGAAAGAGAAAGAGCGAGAGGGAGACACAGAGAGAGAGAGAGAGAGAGAGTGATAGGGAGAGATATGTTCTTAATTCATAATAAAATGGAATTGGTTGGAATGGAACTGATTACGCTATGGAATTGGGTGGGAAAATGAAACCCACTTGGTCAAATGGTGCGCATTAATGGGATAACTTTTACCTTCCCATCGCTTTGTGAAAATATTCATAAATAGCGGGTTTTGGAGCGTAACGGAAACTTCGATGAGCGCAAAAAGTGGAGTCGTGCAAGAAACGGTTTTTTTCTTGCGCGCGCTAAAAATCTCTTAATTCCAGAGAAAACGAGGATGGCAGCTACGCAAAGTTGACGTATTATTGGCAGAGTATGCCGGTCGACGAGTTCTGGGCTCATTATATTTTTAACATTACCAATCCCGAAGAGGTGGTCTATAACGGGGAAATGCCGAGATTAGCCGAGATTGGGCCGTATGTTTACAGGTTTGTCTAGATTTTATTGAGCTTGATTTAAAAATATTTACTTTCAAAAAATTTTTATGTAAATTCCGATGTGAACTAACTCTTTAATTTATATAAAATCCTGCCTGTATTGAATGACAATAATTTCGTTCTCTTGCTTTCAGAGAAACGGAATTTAAGCAAGAGATCCGTTTTATGGATGATGGGAATATGGTGTACTACCGTAATAATAAATCGTGGTTTTATCAGCCGGATCGGAGCTGCTCGTACTGTAGATATAACGATTATATCATTATGCCGAATCCGGCTTTTATGGTATGTTTGAGAAATCCGAGAATTCTGGACATATTTTAATAGCGTAAAATTGATCTAGGCTTTTTCAAATGTAGTAAATCCAATTTACCGAATCCAGAAAACATCACCGTTTATTTTAATTTAAACGCGGAAAGGCCTCTGAAAATGGCTTTTAGGCAGTCGCAGGTGAAATGTTGAAATGGAACGAGACGAATCGGCACGGCCCAAACAATTTTATTCTGAACTTGGCGATGTTGCTGGTGGGGGAGAATCCGTTACGGTAGGAAACACGGGGGCTTTCTAGGCTTCGAATTTGGCCAAAAATCGTAAATTTCATTCTAAAAAACCGAATAAAAAGGAAGTAAAGGCACTTTTAGTTTTGAAAAATCACTTTCTATCTGCAATCTAGCAGAGATTCTTCAAGGAATTGGATTCGACCAGAAATAAACGGGCAAATCATATAAAGAAGACTTTTAGGAGAATCCCGGTCGCGGGAATCCTATTCGATTCCTACAACGATCCCCTAATCGACCTCATCAATAGCTGGCTGTACACAGCACTCCTTGATGACGAGGGAAAACTATTCGGGTTGAAAATCCCGCCGATGAAGGCGTTGGGATACTTTCCGCTGGTAAGAGAGAAGGAGAGCGAGAGAAAAGGGGAAAGAGTGATAGGAGAGAGAGAGAGAAATGCTCCCATTTTTGTAGTTCAACCACACTTGCGATGAGGACTACGTTGCCTGGACTGGCAAGGATGACGTCAAGAAAACTGGGGTCATTATTAAATGGTGCGCTACTGTACTAAATACGGCAAGTGACCAAAATTTAGGGCCGGAAATACGTCGCTCGACTGGTGGAAGGGCGACTATGCAAGCTCGCTGAATTGTAGTGGTAGGGAGGATTCCAAAATTGAAAAACTCGCATTTTTCCTCCAAAAATTGCCTAGAAATAATGGAATAACCTAAAAATTGGGTGATCATTTTTAGATGGCTCCTTCAACAAGCCGGGCCTGAAAAAGGACGACGAGCTCAAGATTTTCCAATCGCTGGGGTGTCGGTGCGGT